ACCTCAGCTTAGATGCTCTGTCCAGCCTCTCTCAAGTCCCTTCCCTCTTCAAAGTCCCGATGGCTCTCCCGGGCCATGTTCCTTGGAGGGTACATTGGAGACAGAACCATCCAATAGTGGAAAGGCCATCACCAGCAGTGACCAGTCCTGAGTTTACGACTCAGCCAGCAGGAGCTTCTGTGCTCCCATCCTCAGTGCTAGAGAGAACCTGGGTGGAAGAGGGACAAGCTCTTTCCAGCACCACTTTTTACCAGAAATGAGCCTCTCCCTTCTGCCACAGGCCGGGCAGCTCCTTCTTGGGCTGGTGGGTGGGAAGCCTACCCTCTGTACCCTCTGGCTACATCTCTATTTCACCATCTGTCCTGGGCCACCTGAAAACCCTTGGTTCCCAGGTTCGTCATGTTGGTCTTCAACTCTGCTTTCGTACCCTTTGTTGTTTGATCTTTATCGTCTCATCCAATCTATCATCATGATGGCTACAGAGCCACATACCCATCTGGCTCAGCTCCTGATGAGGCGACGTCCTGAGGGGCCATAAACAGAACCCACGCACCACACCCACCCACCAAGCACCACAGCGTGGCAACACACAGCACAGAATGTCAGCTGTGTGTCCTGGTGATCTCGGGAGCATCAGATGGCAGGCACATCCCTGGCCTAGGAAAGGAATAAAATTCAAAATTCCAAGTATGGTTTCTATCAAATGTGTATCAGGAGATCTGTTGCAAAGTTGAAAATCTGCACCATGGCAAAGTTAAAATATCGGTAAGCCAAACCGTCATAAGTAGGAAACCATCTAGAGCTATTTTTAAAAGTTGCTTCTCTTTCTTTCTTTTTTTCTTTTTCTTTCTTTCTTTCTTTGCTGGATCTTTCTTTCTTTGCTGGATCTTTATTTGCTGGATTTTTTTTTTTTTGCTGGATCTTTATGGTTATACATAGCAGCTGGGTTCATCCCGACAAATTCAGACAGGCATGGAAATCAATTTCAGTTCATGATGACCCCTTTTCCTCTCCCCACCCCCACAGGTTCATTATTTTAAAAATGATTCTTGAGTCTGTAAACTTTGTATGAGATTTGTTATTCCTTAGAACTATCAAGAGAAAAATGCTACAAGGTCCCTAGGAGTCCCACGGTCCTGCCATCTCAAAGGAAGCCATTTTTATGTAGTTGTACTCTTACACGTAGAAGCAAGACCAGGAGCCCCAGCTTCCTGGTTAGGAGTTTTCAGGAGGAAGACTTCATGTGACAGCAACTGGGAGGGTGTTGGAAGGGTGTATTTGGACAATTTATTTGTTGCTGGTGACTTTAGTGGGTGAACGATGTGGAGGCTGAAAAACACAGGTCTAGATCTAGGTCTCAGTCCGTTTTCTGTGACTATAACAAAATGACCAAGGCTGCATATTGTATAAACAAAAGAATTTTACTTAGCTTACAGTTTTGTGAAAGTCCAAGATCATGTGGCCCCATCTGTCAGTTCTCTTGTGAGGGCGTACTTGACAGTGTTACAACATGATGGAGAAACAGATATGGAACCTCTGTGTGCAAAGGGGGCCCGAGCATGTTGGGTGGCCTTGCTTCACCACAACTCACTGTCCTGGGAATGGACCACTCCTTCAAGAACAGCATCCAGGGGTAATGTGCTCCCAAGATCCAACCACCTTCTACCAGGCCCCACCGCTTCTCAGTTGCCACCACCCTGGGGACCACACTTGCAGTACATGAAACTTTGGAGCATGCACTGAAACCATATCCAAACCATAGCACTGGATTCATTCCTTCATTATTAGCTGTGTTTCCTTGGAAAGTGACTCTGCCACCCTGTACCTCAGTTTCTCCATCTACAAAATGGAAATAATGTCATTGACCAAAGGAAAGGGTGTTTGTGAAGTGCCCAGCGTGGTCCTTTGACCTGTTCAGAAACAGAGGAGAAACTGAGGTATGGCTTTTCCACGCCAAGCAACTTTCGCCCTCTGTGGGCTCCCAGGAATTTCCTGCTAGGCAATTCCATTCTTGACCCCCACCTGGAGGGAGCACAGACCCACAGGTGAGGGGCTCAGTCCCCCGAGACGCAGATGCCAACTGCAAATCCCAGCCTCCTGTTCTTCTGACCAGCTGATGTTAAGTCAGGGGTCCCGCAATCCCCTCCTCCTATTGGATAATTTGCTGTAACAGTCCCCAGAACTCGGGAGGTTTTCTTTCTGAGTTTGTTCTAAAGAATCTAGTTGAGGAGCGTCCAAATGGAAGAGAGGAATAGGGTGAGATCTGTGGGAAGGGGTGGGGGCGTCCATACCCTCTGGACATGCCACCCTCCCCGCACCTCCACGTGCTCATCAACCTGGAAACTCTCCAAACTCCATTGTTGAACATTTTTATGGAGGTCCTACTACACAGGCCTCATGGATTAAATCATTGGCCTTCGGTAATTAACTCCAGGGGTCTCTCTGCTCCCTGGGTGACATCAAGACATAGGGCTGAGAGTTCCAACCCCCCGGTGTACGCCCCATCTGTCCAAGAGGCCCCAGTCCCCAGCCATCCCACCAGCATCCAAAATGACTCTTTATGTGTGTGTGTGTGTATATATATGAGTACGTGTGTGTGCATGCGTGCGTGTGTGTGCATTTGTTATTTTTGAGATGGGGCCTTCCTGTGTTGTCCAGGTTGGTCTCAAACTCCCAGGATCAAGTGACCCTTCTACCTCAGCCTCCCAAGTAGCCAGGACTGTAGGACATGCATGGCACCGTGCCAGGCTAAAAGGGTTGTTTAACACTGGTGTTCAAACAAGTGGCTAATCATTGAGAATATGTGGAAGTTAGGCCTTTGCAGATTATTTCTCTTAGTTCTACATATGATTAGGGTTCATTTTATATGATTATATAAGCATGGGATCTCATTTGCTCTGATTCAGTCCCAGAACTTCCACTCTCCCCTCCTTCTCCTCTCCCAGTTCCCCTTCCCTCTGCTGATCTTCCCTCTCTCTATTTATAGTTTTGTGTGTTTTTTTTTTTTTAATTAGTACCTCATGGCTGCACATGAAGGTGGGGTCCACGGTGGTACACTCCCTTGTGTACATGGAAAGTGAGGTCAGATGCATCCCACTCTTCTTCCCCTTTCCAGTCCCCACCCTCTCCCTCCCCCTCAGTCCCCCCCACCCCCCGCACTCCACAGACCTCTCTTCTACACAAAAGGCCTATCACTGGGAATTTCCAAAGGTCTTAGAGGCTTTTGTATCATGAATTATTGGGAATTAAGACCAAATATTATATTATATGAAAAGATGCTCAGGTCAAGAAATTAGAAGAGAATTCAGAGCTCCGTGTTATAAACTGGGGACAAAGATCAAATTGTGTCTTTTTCATGTCACAGTTATTAAAAGGACAATACCAGGAAGCCCCATGAGACAAGTTCTGGAGCCGCAGACACACGCAGCCTCATTGCACTTTCTCTGTATTCTTCCTACAGCTTTCTAAGAAGGAAGGTGTGGGTGCTTAGCTTGGTGATCCTTGTCGGTCCAGTGAATGCAACCTGCCTTTCACAGATGCCCAGGTCGGTGCTCTCTGCCATCAACTCTCTGCCTTCAGGAGCAGAGAGGACTCTGATCTCTCAGATCGTGGCAAGAGAAACCACCTGCTTTAAGACAGAGATGTGGATCACAATAGGACCAAATGTGGGCACTCCCTTCAGGACCTAGGCATAGCTTTCCACTGAGCAAAACAGCATGTACAGCAACACAAAAGAACCTTTCTCACATGTGCTCAAGAAAAAGGAGCCTTCAAGATGTCGTCTAAAAAGAATTCAGGCTGCAGTGTATCTCCTCTTGTGTACAGAGCATAGTTTCTTTATCCATTCATCCATTGATGGACACATAGGCTGATACCACATCCAGGCTGTTATGACTACTATTCAGCTTTTAAAAGAAGGACATTCTGGCATTTGCCAAAACACAGACAGATCTGGAGGACATTATGCTAAGTGAAATAGACACAGAGAGACAAATACCACATGGTTTCACTTACTTGTGGAATCTAAAAAATAAACTGATCAAACTAGAAAATACAATGGAGTGACCAGAGCCTGGGGGTGGGGAGAAGTTCAGCCAATCAGTATGAGTGGGCAGGTATCCCATGGATCGATTTTCTCCCCCAGAATCCAGGAAGCTGGCTCCTATCACTCCAGGAACTTGTAGAAGAGAAGTAACACATCAGCACTAGGTAGATGATGCAAGACCATTCAGAAGCCTGTGGGCAGGCGTCGGTGTGCATATGAGAGTGTGTTTGTGGGTTGGTGTGAAACTTCCCTGGAAATTACATTCATTCACAGTACAACTGTACTCTTCTGGTATCTATGAAAAACCGCTCTATTATGAATTTGAAGCTTTCGTATTCTTTTCTTCCTTTTAATTTTTTTTTCCTGAGGATTGAAACCAGGGTCACTTTACTGCTGAGCTACATACCTAAGCCTTTCATTCTTTTTTTTTTTTTTAATTTTGAGACACACTCTCGGTAAGTTAATGAGACTAAGACGAAACATGAAACATCTTCCTGCCTCAGCCTCCTGAGACTCTAGAATCACAGCCACCTGGCCAGCTCTGGCGCACCTTTTTTTACACTGTTGCATAATTAGAAACTTATCATACTCAGTAACTATTCAAGTATGTTTTGCAATATACTTAAAACATACTGGTATGGGCTATTAAAATAGAGACTTTAAGGAGCTAGATATAACACAAAAATATCTTTAAAACCATGGGATTAATTATTATTTTTGAAACATCTAGACATAGATGTATAATTACTGTATTACAACTGTGTTATCCAATACAATTATATTCAAGTCATGCTTAACTTTATGCAATTGGATAAGGCCAAAGGATATAATAAAAAGGGGGAATGAGGAGATACTGTAATCAACTAATTCTGCATGAAAATATGTGTGCGATTCCAAGGCAGTAATAATGCTCCTGTAAAGGTAATTTTATAACAATCTTGTAACATTTGTCAAGGACTGACACAGACAACTGCGAACAAGTCTATTGCAGACACCAGAAATGAGGCTACTTCATCCACAAGTCTTCAATCTTGGGATCCAAACAACTTGGCAAATACCCGGCGGACAACCAGTCTGTTCATAAAAACAGTGCTTCCTCCTGGGAACACAGGACAACACAGGACAACCTCACAGGATTCAAAAACATCCCATCACGTTCCCACTCCTGAAACAAATGCCCAGCTAACAGAAACTGGCTTAGTGCCAGTTACAAGTACAACAGAAAGACTGAAAAACAGCCCAGAGACAAAACTGACACAGCGCAGTGCGCCCACACCCCGGGATTCCAAAGAACCACACATGAGTGGGGCGTCCACTGTGACTACAAAGACAAGTGCAAAGACCCCAAGTTCTGGAGCAGATACCAAGACCAGGACTTCCGCAGGGGCACCTCTTTCCAAAGGAAGGGATGCAGAGACGACAGTTCCCACAGGGTCCCGGACACATTCACATACACCAACCACACACCTTGGGAACATGTCCTCTCACACGCCGTCCTTTGAAAGAAGCTCAACGGGAGAAGAAAGGAAAACCACAGGAGCTTTTGCAAAGGGGCTTCCAACCAAGGCCTCTTCTGCCCCCGCAGCTTCCACCCCAGGAAGATCCACATCCTCCTCACCTCGCTCTACAGCCAAAGGGGAAGGCACTATGTGGTCCCACACCAACGCAGAGTATGTCACCACCACAATTTCACATCGGAGGGCCACGGCAACCAGGGTGACGGAGTTACCCCAGGGCACAGTAACAAACACAAGCTCTGCACCTCCAGACACGGCGCAGACCAGCGTGGAAACGGCCGAGTCTCCACCAGAATCCCCTCCACCGCCCTCAGCTAGACCACAACCAACTACGACAAGCAGTGCGATCAAGAACATCTTCACTGTCACAGAAGAACATCAGACCTCAGAGGAGGCCTCTCCATCCACCACCACTCCTGGCCCATCCTCAACTAAGAGCGCACTATCTGGAAAACTAAAACACACGATGAGTTCTCTGGGAACGTCCGAGGTCGAATCTTCCAACCCTCCTACATCTCTCAACACGGGGGCACCCAGTACCTCGTCAGCTGGTTCTAGGGTCTCGGGCCACACCAACACCCAGCGAGGAAACATGCACACATTACGGACAAACTATCTGCCCATCACCAGCCAACATCCAAGGAACGAAGCCTGGGAAGAGACCAGCCGAAAAATTACCATGGCCACTCACACTGCACCCACGAGGCATGGTTCCAAAGACGCTGCAGAGATCACTGACTACAGCACCAAACCCGAACCCCAAGGACACTCCCTGGCCTCCCCAAGGTCAACGACAGCACCAGAAACCACTGAACACCAGGAAGTCATCACTAGGTCCCAGACACATTCACCCTCACCAAAGACCCCTCAGAGGAGCACTTCCACTCACCACCCAGAACCTGAGACAACCACACCTGTGACGGCGGGCAGCCCTGCAGGAACTCCAAAGGTGCCCGAACAGAGCATTTCAGGGGTCCTGCCCTCAGCAAAACAATCCACTCCATCCTCGCCTGGTTCTACGGTCCATGAAGAGGACACTCCGGAATCCAGAACCAACAAACAGGCTATCACGAGCCCCTTTCCCACCTCGACTGCCAGTGGGACGGTGATTTCCAATGACACACAGGGCATAGGACCTGAACCAACCTCTGCCCCTCCACACACAGCCCTCTCCAGCCAGGACACCACCAGGTCTCCACCAGAATCCTTTTCCTCACCCTCTGCTCCCTCACAAGCAACCATGGCCACCAATGCTCTCAAGAACCACTCCACTACCAAACACACACTTCCACACTCACAGAGGGACACTCCTCCCGCCACCTCTTCTGGAACGCAGGGCCCCAAAAGCAACCTCTCATGGACACAGAGCAGGCCTGCGGGTTCTCAGGGGACATCCCATAGCGTCTCCTCCCTTCCTCCTACAGCTCTCCACAGTGGGACAACCAGGTCCTCCACAACGAGCTCTTCGACCTCAATCCTCACCACCACCCTGCCAGGAACCACACAGGCATGGAGGACAGGCTCTCTGCCCATCACCAGCCCACACACCAGGACCAATGCACAGGATCACAACAGCCTGGCCACTTTCCAGGCTGCTCCCTCTCCACACACAACTCATGTGTCCACGGACACTGCGGTGACACCTGCAGGAACCAACACACCGGGAACCCAGGCACACTCCTCTGCCTCTCCACACTCACTTCATTCACAGGAGACCACAGCACAGTGGACAGTCAGCCCTGGGCCACAGACATTACCACACTCACACTCCACCCTTCTGGGGAGCACTTCCATTCACACTCCATTATCTCCAAGAAACCCACCTTTGCAGGAAAGCAGCCCTGCAGAATCCACAAAAGTGACACTGGTCAGTGCCTCCAAGACCCCTGGAGCCTCCTCCCGAGGAGAATCCACTCCCCCCTGCCCTGGGACTGCAGCCCCCATGTTCCTCACCACTGAGGACGATGTCCCTACCTTCCCCAACACAGACCCACAAGCTGTCAGCCAGGCAGTCTCCACTGGGGCTGCCAGTAAGACCATCATGCAGGAGGTGTCCAAGGACCTCACACCAAACACAAGCTCTGCACCTCCACAGAGCGCAATAACTGGCTTGGAAACTACCAGGTCTCAACCACAATCCCTTCCATCACCCTCCGCTGGCTCACAACCCACCATGACCACCATGGAATCCAAGATCCTTTCCACTGTCACAAACTCTCTTGCACACTCAGAGAAGGCCACCACTTCCAGCAGAACTTCTGGTCCAGTGCCACCTGAAAGCACCCTTTGTGAGAATCCAAGACACCCTGTAAGTTCTCTGGGGACGTCCTCTGATGGATCATCCCCTCCTATTACACCTCTCAACACTGGGTCACCCAGAACCTCCTCACCAGAACCTAGGTTCTCAGACCTCACCACCCCCCAGCCAGGAATCATGCAGACATCGAGGACAAGCTCTCCACCCATCTCCAGCCTGCTTGTGAGGACCACCACCCAGGCACAGAAGACCCTGGACACTGACCTGACCACTCACACTCCACCAACAAGTCAAGTTTCCACAGAAGAGGCAATGGCCAGTGAAGTGACCACATCTGGACCCCAAGAACAGTCCCCTGCCTCCACAGGGTCACATCCTTCACTCAAAAGCCCTACACAGTGGGAATTCATCACTGGGTCCCAGATGCCTTCACGCTCAGCAAACACCCCTCTGAGGAGCATTTCCTCTCACCCTCCAACACCTGACAGAACCTCACCTGTGATGACAAGCAGACCCCAAGGACCTCCAAAGGTCCCTCAAACCAGCGTTTCATGGGAACATACTGCTTCAACCCCAGAAAGATCCAGTCCCTACTCACCTGATTCTACAGTCCATAAAGAAGACACTACAGAATCCAGCACCAACACACAGTCTCTCACCAGCCCCCTTCCCACTTGGACTGGCAGTGGGACCTTGATTTCTAATGACACACAGGGCATAGGACCTGAACCAACCTCTGCCCCTCCACACACAGCCCTCTCCAGCCAGGACACCACCAGGTCTCCACCAGAATCCTTTTCCTCACCCTCTGCTCCCTCACAACCAACCACGGCCACCAATGCTCTCAAGGACCACTCCACTACCAAACACACACTTCCACACTCACAGAGGGACACTCCTCCCACCTCCTCCTCCGGAACTCTGTCCCCCAAAAGCAACCTCTCAAGGACACAGAGCAGGCCTCCTGGTTCTCAGGGGACATCCCATAGCGTCTCCTCCCCTCCTCCTACAGCTCTCCACAGTGGGACACCCAGGTCCTCCACAACGAGCTCTTCGACCTCAGTCCTCACCACAGTTCTGCCAGGAACCACACAGGCATGGAGGACAGGCTCCCCGCCCACCACCAGCCCACACACCAGGACCACTGCCCAGGATCACAACAGCCTGGCCACTTCCCGGGATGCTCCCACTCCACACACAACTCATGTGTCCACGAACACTGCGGTGACACCTGTAGGTGCCACCACAACGGCAACCCAAGCACACTCCTCTGCCTCTCCACACTCACTTCATTCACAGGAGACCACAGTACAGTGGACAGTCAGCCCAGGGCCACAGAAGTTTCCTCACTCACACTCCACCCTTCTGGGGAGCACTTCCTCTCACACTCCATTATCTCCAAGAAACCCACCTTTGCAGGAAAGCAGCCCTGCAGAATCCACAAAGGTGACCCTGGTCAGTTCCTCCAAGACCCTTGGATCCTCCTCCCCAAAACCATCCACTCCCCACTGGCCTGGGACTCCAGCCCCCATCTTCCTCACCACTGAAGACGATATTTCTACATCGTCACGAGGTCGAGAAGCATCCACTCCTTCCTCACCTGGGTCTCCAGCCCCCATGTTCCTCACCACTGAGGACGATATCCCTACCTTCCCCAACACAGTCCCACAAGCTGTCAGCCAGGCAGTCTCCACTGGGACTGGCAGTAGGACCATCATGCAGGAGGTGTCCAAGGACCTCACACCAAACACAAGCTCCTCACTTCCACAGAGGGCAATAACCAGCGTGGAAACCACCAGGTCTCAATCACAATCCCTTCCATCACCCTCCTCTGGGTCACAACCCACCATGAACACCACGGCATCCAAGATCCTTTCCACTGTCACAAACTCTCTTGCACCCTCAGAGAAGGCCACCACTTCCAGCAGAACTTCTGGTCCAGTGCCACCTGAAAGCACCCTTTTGGAGAATCCAAGACACCCTGTAAGTTCTCTGGGGACGTCCTCTGTTGGATCATCCCCTCCTATTACACCTCTCAACACTGGGTCACCCAGAACCTCCTCACCAGGACCTAGGTTCTCAGACCTCACCACCCCCCAGCCAGGAATCATGCAGACATCGAGGACAAGCTCTCCACCCATCTCCAGCCTCCATGTGAGGACCACCACCCAGGAACAGAAGACCCTGGACACTATCCTGACCACTCACACTCCACCAACAAGTCAAGTTTCCACAGAAGAGGCAGTGACCAGTGAAGTGACCACATCTGGACCCCAAGAACAGTCCCCTGCCTCCACAGGGTCACATCCTTCACTCAAAAGCCCTACACAGTGGGAATTCAGCACTGGGTCCCAGATGCCTTCAGGCTCAGCAAACACCCCTCTGAGGAGCATTTCCTCTCACCCTCCAACAACTGAGAGAACCTCACCTGTGATGACAAGCAGACCCCAAGGACCTCCAAAGGTCCCTCAAACCAGTATTTCATGGGCACATCCTGCTTCAACCCCAGAAGGACCCAGTCCCTATTCATCTGGTTCCACAGTCCATAAAGAAGACACTACACTATCCAGCACCAACACACAGTCTCTCACCAGCCCCCTTCCCACTTGGAGTGGCGGTTGGACAGTGATTTCTAATGACACACAGGGCATACGACCAGAACCAACCTCTGCCCCTCCACACACAGCCCTCTCCAGCCAGGAAACCACCAAGTCTCCACCAGAATCCTTTTCCTCCCCCTCTGCTCCCTCACAACCAACCATGTCCACCAATGCTCTCAAGAACCACTCCACTACCAAACACACACTTCCACACTCACAGAGGGACACTCCTCCCACCTCCTCTTCCGGAACTCTGTCCCCCAAAAGCAACCTCCTCTCAGGGACACAGAGCAGGCCTGAGGGTTCTCAAGGGACATCCAATAGTGTCTCCTCCCCTCCTCCTATAGCTCCCCAAACTGGGACAACCAGGTCCTCCACAATGATTTCTTCGACCTCAGTCCTCACCACAGTTCTGCCAGGAACCACACAGGTATGGAGGACAGGCTACCTACCCATCACCAGCCCACATCCCAGTACCTCTGCCCAGGATCATGACAGCCTGGCCACTTCCTGGGAGACTCCCACTCCACACACAACTCATGTGTCCACGAACACTGTGGTGACACCTGCAGCAACCAACACACTGGGAACCCAGGCACACTCCTCTGCCTCTCCACACTCACTTCCTGCACAGGAGACTGCTGCACAGTGGACAGTCAGCCCTGGGCCACAGACGATTCCTCAAACACACTCCACCCTTCTGGGGAGCACCTCCTCTCACACTCCATTATCTCCAAGAAACCCACCTTTGCAGGAAAGCAGCCCTGCAGAATCCACAAAGGTGACCCTGCTCAGTGCCTCCAAGACCCCTGGAGCCTCCTCCCCAAAACCATCCACTCCCCACTGGCCTGGGTCTCCAGCCCTTTTGTTCCTCACCAGTGAGGATGGGATCTCTCCATTGTCGGGAAGCCCAGAAGCATCCACTCCCTACCCACCTGGGTCTCCAACACCCATCTTCCTCACCACTGGGAACCATGACCACACCTTCTCCAACACAGGCACACAGCCTGTCAGCCAGGCAGTCTCCACTGGGACTGGCAGTAGGACCATCATCATGGAGGTGTCAAGAGACCTCACTCCCAACACAAGCTCTACACCTCCACAGAGCACTCTGATCAGTGTGGAAACCACCAGGTCTCAACCACAATCCCTGACTTCACCCTCCGCTGGGTCACAACCCACCATGACCAAGGTGGCATCTGAGAACCTTTCAAGTCTCTCAACGTCTCTTGCACCCTCAGAGAAGGCCACCTTTTCCAGCCACTCTTCTGGCTCAGTGCCACCTCAGAGCACCCAGTCTGTGAATCAAAGACAATCTGTGTTTTCTCTGGGGACATCCCATGTCAACACAGGGTCGCCTAGGACCTCCTCAGCAGGTCCTGGGTTCCCAGACCTCACCACCACTCAGCCAGGAATCATGCAGGCATCGAGGACAAGCTCACTACCCATCACCAGCCCGCAGGCCAGGACCACTGCCCAGGCACAGAAGACCCTGGACACTGACCGGACCACTAACACTACAACAACACGTCATGGTTCCACAGATGGGGAAGTGACTGGTGAAGTGACCACATCTGGATCCCAAGAACAGTCCCCTGCCTTCATAGGGTCACATCCATCACTCAAAACCACTGCACATCAGGTAATCTCCACTGGTTCCCAGAGGCTTTCAACCTCACCAAAGATGCCTCTGAGGAGGTCTTCCACTCACCCTCCAACAACTGAGAGAACCTCACCCGAGACGGCCAGCAGCCCTCAAACCAGCGCTTCAGGGGCACCTCCGGCTTCAGCCCAAGGTGGATCCACTGCCTCCTTGACTCGTTCTACACTCCATGAAGAGAACACTGTGGAACTCAGCACCAACACACAGTCACTCACCAGCCCCCTTCCCACGTGGACTGGCAGTGGGACGGTGATTTCTAATGACACACAGGGCATAGGACCTGAACCAACCTCTGCCCCTCCACACACAGCCCTCTCCAGCCAGGACACCACCAGGTCTCCACCGGAATCCTTTTCCTCACCCTCTGCTCCCTCACAAGCAACCATGGCCACCAATGCTCTCAAGAACCACTCCACTACCAAACACACACTTCCACACTCACAGAGGGACACTCCTCCCACCTCCTCTTCTGGAAATCTGGCCCCCAAAAGCAACCTCTCATGGACACAGAGCAGGCCTGCGGGTTCCCAGGGGACATCCCATAGCGTCTCCTCCCCTCTTCCTACAGCTCTCCACAGTGGGACACCCTGGTCCTCCACAATGATGTCTTCAACCTCAGTCCTCACCACAATCCTGCCAAGAACCACACAGGCATGGAGGGCAGGGTCTCCGCCCGTCACCAGCCCGCACACAAGGACCACTGCCCAGGATCACAACAGCCTGGCCACTTCCCGGGATGCTCCCACTCCACACACAACTCATGTGTCCACAAATACTGCGGTGACATATGTAGGTGCCACCACAATGGCAACCCAGGCACACTCCTCTGCCTCTTCACACTCACTTCCTTCACAGGAGACTGCTGCACAGTGGACAGTCAGCCCTGGGCCACAGAAGTTTCCACACTCACACTCCACCCTTCTGGGGAGCACTTCCACTCACACTCCATTATCTCCAAGATACCCACCTTTGCAAGAAAGCAGACCTGCAGAATCCACAAAGGTGACCCTGGTCAGTGTCTCCAAGACCCCTGGAGCCTCCTCCCCAAAACCATCCACTCCCTCCTGGCCTGGGACTCTAGACCCCATCTTCTTCACCACTGAAGACGATATTTCTACATCGTTACGAGGTCGAGAAGCATCCACTCCTTCCTCACCTGGGTCTCCAGCCCCCATGTTCCTCACCACTGAGGACGATGTCCCTACCTTCCCCAACACAGTCCCACAAGCTGTCAGCCAGGCAGTGTCCACTGGGACTGGCAGTAGGACCATCATGCAGGAGGTGTCCAAGGACCTCACACCAAACACAAGCTCTGCACCTCCACAGAGGGCAATAACCAGCGTAGAAACCACCAGGTCTCAACCACAATCCCTTCCATCACCATCCTCTGGGTCACAACCCACCATGAACACCACGGCATCCAAGATCCTTTCCAATGTCACAAAATCTCTTGCACCCTCAGAGAAGGCCACCACTTCCAGCAGAACTTCTGGTCCAGTGCCACCTGAAAGCACCCTTTCTGAGAATCCAAGACACCCTGTAAGTTCTCTGGGGACTTCCCCTGTTGGATCATCCCCTCCTATTACACCTCTCAACACTGGGTCACCCAGAACCTCCTCACCAGAACCTAGGTTCTCAGACCTCACAACCCCCCAGCCAGGAATCATGCAGACATCGAGGACAAGCTCTCCACCCATCTCCAGCCTGCATGTGAGGACCACCACCCAGGAACAGAAGACCCTGGACACTAACCTGACCACTCACACTCCACCAACAAGTCAATTTTCCACAGAAGAGGCAGTGACCAGTGAACAGACCACATCGGGACCCCAAGAACAGTCCCCTGCCTCCACAGGGTCACGTCCTTCACTCAAAAGCCCTACACAGTGGGAATTCAGCACTGGGTCCCAGATGCCTTCTCGCTCAACAAACACCCCTTTGAGGACCATTTCTTCTCCCCCTCCAACACCTGAGAGAACCTCACCTGTGATGACAAGCAGACCCCAAGGACCTCCAAAGGTCCCTCAAACCAGCGTTCCATGGGAACATCCTGCTTCAACCCCAGAAAGATCCCGTCCCTACTCACCTGATTCTACAGTCCATGAAGAAGACACTACAGAATCCAGCACCAACACACAGTCTCTCACCAGCCCCCTTCCCACGTGGACTGGCAGTGGGACCTTGATTTCTAATGACACACAGGGCATAGGACCTGAACCAACCTCTGCCCCTCCACACACAGCCCTCTCCAGCCAGGAAACCACCAGGTCTCCACCAGAATCCTTTTCCTCACCCTCTACTCCCTCACAACCAAACATGGCCACCAATGCTCTCAAGAACCACTCCACTACCAAACACACACTTCCACACTCACAGAGGGACACTCCTCCCACCATGTCTTCTGGAACTCTGTCCCCCAAAAACAACCTCTCAGGGTCACAGAGCAGGCGTGCAGGTTCTCAAGGGACATCCAATAGCGTCTCCTCCCCTCCTCTTACACCTCTCCACACTGGGACAACCAGGTCCTCCACAATGAGCTCTTTGACCTCATTCCTCACAACAGTTCTGCCAAGAACCACACAGGCATGGAGGACAGGCTATCTGCCCATCACCAGCCCACACATGAGCACCACTGCCCAGGATCACGACAGCCTGGCCACTTCCCGGACTATTCCCACTCCACACAGAACTCATGTGTCCACGGACACTGTGGTGACCCCGGCAAGTACCAACACACCGGGAACCCAGGCACACTCCTCTGCCTCTACACACTCACTTCCTTCACAGGAGACTGCTGCACAGTGGACACTCAGCCCTGGGCCACAGACATTTCTACACTCACACTCCACCATTCTTGGGAGCACGTCCACTCATACTCCATTATCTCCAAGAAACCCACCTTTGCAAGAAAGCAGCCCTGCAGAATCCACAAAGGTGACCCTGGTCAGTGCCTCCAAGACCCCTGGAGCCTCCTCCCCAAAACCATCCACTCCCCACTGGCCTGGGACTCCAGCCCCCATCTTCCTCACCACTGAAGACGATATTTCTACATCGTCACGAGGTCGAGAAGCATCCACTCCTTCCTCACCTGGGACTGCAGCCCCCATGTTCCTCACCACTGAGGACGATGTCCCTACCTTCCCCAACACAGTCCCACAAGCTGTCAGCCAGGCAGTGTCCACTGGGACTGGCAGTAGGACCATCATGCAGGAGGTGTCCAAGGACCTCACACCAAACACAAGCTCTGCACCTCCACAGAGGGCAATAACCAGCGTAGAAACCACCAGGTCTCAACCACAATCATTTCCATCACCCTCCACTGGGTCACAACCAACCATGACCACCACGGCATCCAAGATCCTTTCCACTGTCACAAAGTCTCTTGCAACCTCAGAGAAGGCCACCACTTCCAGCAGAACTTCTGGTCTAGTGCCACCTGAAAGCACCCTTTGTGAGAATCCAAGACACCCTGTAAGTTCTCTGGGGACGTCCTCTGTTGGATCATCCCCTCCTATTACACCTCTCAACACTGGGTCACCCAGAACCTCCTCACCAGAACCTAGGTTCTCAGACCTCACCACCCCCCAGCCAGGAATCATGCAGACATCGAGGACAAGCTCTCCACCCATCTCCAGCCTCCATGTGAGGACCACCACCCAGGCACAGAAGACCCTGGACACTGACCTGACCACTCACACTCCACCAACAAGTCAAGTTTCCACAGAAGAGGCAATGGCCAGTGAAGTGACCACATCTGGACCCCAAGAACAGTCCCCTGCCTCCACAGGGTCACATCCTTCACTCAAAAGCCCTACACAGTGGGAATTCAGCACTGGGTCCCAGATGCCTTCACGCTCAGCAAACACCCCTCTGAGGAGCATTTCCTCTCACCCTCCAACACCTGACAGAACCTCACCTGTGATGACAAGCAGACCCCAAGGACCTCCAAAGGTCCCTCAAACCAGCGTTTCATGGGAACATACTGCTTCAACCCCAGAAAGATCCAGTCCCTACTCACCTGATTCTACAGTCCATAAAGAAGACACTACAGAATCCAGCACCAACACACAGTCTCTCACCAGCGCCCTTCCCACTTGGACTGGCAGTGGGACCTTGATTTCTAATGACACACAGGGCATAGGACCTGAACCAACCTCTGCCCCTCCACACACAGCCCTCTCCAGCCAGGACACCACCAGGTCTCCACCAGAATCCTTTTCCTCACCCTCTGCTCCCTCACAACCAACCACGGCCACCAATGCTCTCAAGGACCACTCCACTACCAAACACACACTTCCACACTCACAGAGGGACACTCCTCCCACCTCCTCCTCCGGAACTCTGTCCCCCAAAAGCAACCTCTCAGGGACACAGAGCAGGCCTTCTGGTTCTCAGGGGACATCCCATAGCGTCTCCTCCCCTCCTCCTACAGCTCTCCACAGTGGGACACCCAGGTCCTCCACAACGAGCTCTTCGACCTCAGTCCTCACCACAGTTCTGCCAGGAACCACACAGGCATGGAGGACAGGCTCCCCGCCCACCACCAGCCCACACACCAGGACCACTGCCCAGGATCACAACAGCCTGGCCACTTCCCGGGATGCTCCCACTCCACACACAACTCATGTGTCCACGAACACTGTGGTGACACCTGTAGGTGCCACCACAACGGCAACACAGGCACACTCCTCTGCCTCTTCACACTCACTTCCTTCACAGGAGACTGCTGCACAGTGGACAGTCAGCCCTGGGCCACAGAAGTTTCCACACTCACACTCCACCCTTCTGGGGAGCACTTCCACTCACACTCCATTATCTCCAAGATACCCACCTTTGCAAGAAAGCAGACCTGCAGAATCCACAAAGGTGACCCTGGTCAGTGTCTCCAAGACCCCTGGAGCCTCCTCCCCAAAACCATCCACTCCCTCCTGGCCTGGGACTCTAGACCCCATCTTCTTCACCACTGAAGACGATATTTCTACGTCGTTACGAGGTCGAGAAGCATCCACTCCTTCCTCACCTGGGTCTCCAGCCCCCATGTTCCTCACCACTGAGGACGATGTCCCTACCTTCCCCAACACAGTCCCACAAGCTGTCAGCCAGGCAGTGTCCACTGGGACTGGCAGTAGGACCATCATGCAGGAGGTGTCCAAGGACCTCACACCAAACACAAGCTCTGCACCTCCACAGAGGGCAATAACCAGCGTAGAAACCACCAGGTCTCAACCACAATCCCTTCCATCACCCTCCTCTGGGTCACAACCCACCATGAACACCACGGCATCCAAGATCCTTTCCAATGTCACAAACTCTCTTGCACCCTCAGAGAAGGCCACCACTTCCAGCAGAACTTCTGGTCTAGTGCCACCTGAAAGCACCCTTTCTGAGAATCCAAGACACCCTGTAAGTTCTCTGGGGACTTCCCCTGTTGGATCATCCCCTCCTATTACACCTCTCAACACTGGGTCACCCAGAACCTCCTCACCAGAACCTAGGTTCTCAGACCTCACCACCCCCCAGCCAGGAATCATGCAGACATCGAGGACAAGCTCTCCACCCATCTCCAGCCTGCATGTGAGGACCACCACCCAGGAACAGAAGACCCTGGACACTAACCTGACCACTCACACTCCACCAACAAGTCAATTTTCCACAGAAGAGGCAGTGACCAGTGAACAGACCACATCTGGACCCCAAGAACAGTCCCCTGCCTCCACAGGGTCACGTCCTTCACTCAAAAGCCCTACACAGTGGGAATTCAGCACTGGGTCCCAGATGCCTTCACGCTCAACAAACACCCCTCTGAGGAGCATTTCCTCTCCCCCTCCAACACCTGAGAGAACCTCACCTGTGATGACAAGCAGACCCCAAGGACCTCCAAAGGTCCCTCAAACCAGCGTTCCATGGGAACATCCTGCTTCAACCCCAGAAAGATCCCGTCCCTACTCACCTGATTCTACAGTCCATGAAGAAGACACTACAGAATCCAGCACCAACACACAGTCTCTCACCAGCCCCCTTCCCACGTGGACTGGCAGTGGGACCTTGATTTCTAATGACACACAGGGCATAGGACCTGAACCAACCTCTGCCTCTCCACACACAGCCCTCTCCAGCCAGGACACCACCAGGTCTCCACCAGAATCCTTTTCCTCACCCTCTGCTCCCTCACAACCAACCATGGCCACCAATGCTCTCAAGAACCACTCCACTACCAAACACACACTTCCACACTCACAGAGGGACACTCCTCCCACCATGTCTTCTGGAACTCTGTCCCCCAAAAACAACCTCTCAGGGTCACAGAGCAGGCCTCCGGGTCCTCAAGGGACATCCAATAGTGTCTCCTCCCCTCCTCCTACACCTCTCCACACTGGGACAACCAGGTCCTCCACAATGAGCTCTTCGACCTCATTCCTCACAACAGTTCTGCCAAGAACCACACAGGCATGGAGGACAGGCTATCTGCCCATCACCAGCCCACACATGAGCACCACTGCCCAGGATCACGACAGCCTGGCCACTTCCCGGACTATTCCCACTCCACACAGAACTCATGTGTCCACGGACACTGTGGTGACCCCGGCAAGTACCAACACACCGGGAACCCAGGCACACTCCTCTGCCTCTACACACTCACTTCCTTCACAGGAGACTGCTGCACAGTGGACACTCAGCCCTGGGCCACAGAAGTTTCCACACTCACACTCCACCCTTCTGGGGAGCACTTCCACTCACACTCCATTATCTCCAAGAAACCCACCTTTGCAAGAAAGCAGCCCTGCAGAATCCACAAAGGTGACCCTGGTCAGTGTCTCCAAGACCCCTGGAGCCTCCTCCTCAAAACCATCCACTCCCTCCTGGCCTGGGACTCTAGACCCCATCTTCTTCACCACTGAAGACGATATTTCTACGTCGTTACGAGGTCGAGAAGCATCCACTCCTTCCTCACCTGGGTCTCCAGCCCCCATGTTCCTCACCACTGAGGACGATGTCCCTACCTTCCCCAACACAGTCCCACAAGCTGTCAGCCAGGCAGTCTCCACTGGGACTGGAAGTAGGACCATCATGCAGGAGGTGTCCAAGGACCTCACACCAAACACAAGCTCTGCACCTCCACAGAGGGCAATAACCAGCGTAGAAACCACCAGGTCTCAACCACAATCCCTTCCATCACCCTCCTCTGGGTCACAACCCACCATGAACACCACGGCATCCAAGATCCTTTCCAATGTCACAAACTCTCTTGCACCCTCAGAGAAGGCCACCACTTCCAGCAGAACTTCTGGTCTAGTGCCACCTGAAAGCACCCTTTCTGAGAATCCAAGACACCCTGTAAGTTCTCTGGGGACTTCCCCTGTTGGATCATCCCCTCCTATTACACCTCTCAACACTGGGTCACCCAGAACCTCCTCACCAGAACCTAGGTTCTCAGACCTCACCACCCCCCAGCCAGGAATCATGCAGACATCGAGGACAAGCTCTCCACCCATCTCCAGCCTGCATGTGAGGACCACCACCCGGGTACAGAAGACCCTGGACACTGACCTGACCACTCACACTCCACCAACAAGTCAAGTTTCCACAGAAGAGGCAATGGCCAGTGAAGTGACCACATCTGGACCCCAAGAACAGTCCCCTGCCTCCACAGGGTCACATCCTTCACTCAAAAGCCCTACACAGTGGGAATTCAGCACTGGGTCCCAGATGCCTTCACGCTCAACAAACACCCCTCTGAGGAGCATTTCCTCTCACCCTCCAACACCTGAGAGAACCTCACCTGTGATGACAAGCAGACCCCAAGGACCTCCAAAGGTCCCTCAAACCAGCGTTCCATGGGAACATCCTGCTTCAACCCCAGAAAGATCACGTCCCTACTCACCTGATTCTACAGTCCATGAAGAAGACACTACAGAATCCAGCACCAACACACAGTCTCTCACCAGCCCCCTTCCCACCTGGACTGGCGGTTGGACAGTGATTTCTAATGACACACAGGGCATAGGACCTGAACCAACCTCTGCCACTCCACACACAGCCCTCTCCAGCCAGGACACCACCAGGTCTCCACCAGAATCCTTTTCCTCACCCTCTGCTCCCTCACAACCAACCATGGCCACCAATGCTCTCAAGAACCACTCCACTACCAAACACACACTTCCACACTCACAGAGGGACACTCCTCCCACCTCCTCCTCCGGAACTCTGTCCCCCAAAAGCAACCTCCTCTCAGGGACACAGAGCAGGCCTGAGGGTTCTCAAGGGACATCCAATAGTGTCTCCTCCCCTCCTCCTACAGCTCCCCAAACTGGGACAACCAGGTCCTCCACAATGATTTCTTCGACCTCAGTCCTCACCACAGTTCTGCCAGGAACCACACAGGCATGGATGACAGGCTACCTACCCATCACCAGCCCACATTCCAATACCTCTGCCCAGGATCATGACAGCCTGGCCACTTCCTGGGAGGCTCCCACTCCACACACAACTCATGTGTCCACGAACACTGTGGTGACACCTGCAGCAACCAACACACTGGGAACCCAGGCACACTCCTCTGCCTCTCCACACTCACTTCATTCACAGGAGACTGCTGCACAGTGGACAGTCAGCCCTGGGCCACAGACGATTTCTCACTCGCACTCCACCCTTCTGGGGAGCACCTCCTCTCACACTCCATTATCTCCAAAAAACCCACCTTTGCAGGAAAGCAGCCCTGCAGAATCCACAAAGGTGACCCTGCTCAGTGCCTCCAAGACCCCTGGAGCCTCCTCCCCAAAACCATCCACTCCCCACTGGCCTGGGTCTCCAGCCCTTTTGTTCCTCACCAGTGAGGATGGGATCTCTCCATTGTCGGGAAGCCCAGAAGCATCCACTCCCTACCCACCTGGGTCTCCAACACCCATCTTCCTCACCACTGGGAACCATGACCACACCTTCTCCAACACAGGCACACAGCCTGTCAGCCAGGCAGTCTCCACTGGGACTGGCAGTAGGACCATCATCATGGAGGTGTCAAGGGACCTCACTCCCAACACAAGCTCTACACCTCCACAGAGCACTCTGATCAGTGTGGAAACCACCAGGTCTCAACCACAATCCCTGACTTCACCCTCCGCTGGGTCACAACCCACCATGACCACGGTGGCATCTGAGAACCTTTCAAGTCTCTCATCGTCTCTTGCACCCTCAGAGAAGGCCACCTTTTCCAGCCACTCTTCTGGCTCAGTGCCACCTCAGAGCACCCAGTCTGTGAATCAAAGACAATCTGTGTTTTCTCTGGGGACATCCCATGTCAACACAGGGTCGCCTAGGACCTCCTCAGCAGGTCCTGGGTTCCCAGACCTCACCACCACTCAGCCAGGAATCATGCAGGCATCGAGGACAAGCTCACTACCCATCACCAGCCCGCAGGCCAGGACCACTGCCCAGGCACAGAAGACCCTGGACACTGACCGGACCACTAACACTACAACAACACGTCATGGTTCCACAGATGGGGAAGTGACTGGTGAAGTGACCACATCTGGATCCCAAGAACAGTCCCCTGCCTTCATAGGGTCACGTCCATCACTCAAAACCACTGCACATCAGGTAATCTCCACTGGTTCCCAGAGGCTTTCAACCTCACCAAAGATGCCTCTGAGGAGGTCTTCCACTCACCCTCCAACAACTGAGAGAACCTCACCCGAGACGGCCAGCAGCCCTCAAACCAGCGCTTCAGGGGTACCTCCGGTTTCAGCCCAAGGTGGATCCACTGCCTCCTTGACTCGTTCTAGACTCCATGAAGAGAACACTGTGGAACTCAGCACCAACACACAGTCTCTCACCAGCCCCCTTCCCACGTGGATTGGCAGTGGGACGGTGATTTCTAATGACACACAGGGCATACGACCTGAACCAACCTCTGCCCCTCCAAACTCAGCCCTCTCCAGCCAGGAAACCACCAGGTCTCCACCACAATCCTTTTCCTCACCCTCTGCTCCCTCACAAGCAACCGTGTCCACTAATGCTTTCAAGAACCACTCCACTACCAAACACACACTTCCACACTCACAGAGGGACACTCCTCCCACCTCCTCTTCTGGAAATCTGGCCCCCAAAAGCAACCTCTCATGGAGACAGAGCAGGCCTGCGGGTTCCCAGGGGACATCCCATAGCGTCTCCTCCCCTCTTCCTACAGCTCTCCACATTGGGACACCCTGGTCCTCCACAATGATGTCTTCAAACTCAGTCCTCACCACAATCCTGCCAAGAACCACACAGGCATGGAGGGCAGGGTCTCCGCCCGTCACCAGCCCACACACAAGGACCACTGCCCAGGATCACAACAGCCTGGCCACTTCCCGGGATGCTCCCACTCCACACACAACTCATGTGTCCACAAATACTGCGGTGACATATGTAGGTGCCACCACAACGGCAACCCAGGCACACTCCTCTGCCTCTTCACACTCACTTCCTTCACAGGAGACTGCTGCACAGTGGACACTCAGCCCTGGGCCACAGAAGTTTCCACACTCACACTCCACCCTTCTGGGGAGCACTTCCACTCACACTCCATTATCTCCAAGAAACCCACCTTTGCAGGAAAGCAGCCCTGCAGAATCCACAAAGGTGACCCTGGTCAGTGTCTCCAAGACCCCTGGAGCCTCCTCCCCAAAACCATCCACTCCCTCCTGGCCTGGGACTCTAGACCCCATCTTCTTCACCACTGAAGACGATATTTCTACGTCGTTACGAGGTCGAGAAGCATCCACTCCTTCCTCACCTGGGTCTCCAGCCCCCATGTTCCTCACCACTGAGGACGATGTCCCTACCTTCCCCAACACAGTCCCACAAGCTGTCAGCCAGGCAGTGTCCACTGGGACTGGCAGTAGGACCATCATGCAGGAGGTGTCCAAGGACCTCACACCAAACACAAGCTCTGCACCTCCACAGAGGGCAATAACCAGCGTAGAAACCACCAGGTCTCAACCACAATCCCTTCCATCACCCTCCTCTGGGTCACAACCCACCATGAACACCACGGCATCCAAGATCCTTTCCAATGTCACAAACTCTCTTGCACCCTCAGAGAAGGCCACCACTTCCAGCAGAACTTCTGGTCTAGTGCCACCTGAAAGCACCCTTTCTGAGAATCCAAGACACCCTGTAAGTTCTCTGGGGACTTCCCCTGTTGGATCATCCCCTCCTATTACACCTCTCAACACTGGGTCACCCAGAACCTCCTCACCAGGACCTAGGTTCTCAGACCTCACCACCCCCCAGCCAGGAATCATGCAGACATCGAGGACAAGCTCTCCACCCATCTCCAGCCTCCATGTGAGGACCACCACCCAGGAACAGAAGACCCTGGACACTGACCTGACCACTCACACTCCACCAACAAGTCAATTTTCCACAGAAGAGGCAGTGACCAGTGAACAGACCACATCTGGACCCCAAGAACAATCCCCTGCCTCCACAGGGTCACGTCCTTCACTCAAAAGCCCTACACAGTGGGAATTCAGCACTGGGTCCCAGATGCCTTCACGCTCAACAAACACCCCTCTGAGGAGCATTTCCTCTCCCCCTCCAACACCTGAGAGAACCTCACCTGTGATGACAAGCAGACCCCAAGGACCTCCAAAGGTCCCTCAAACCAGCGTTCCATGGGAACATCCTGCTTCAACCCCAGAAAGATCCCGTCCCTACTCACCTGATTCTACAGTCCATGAAGAAGACACTACAGAATCCAGCACCAACACACAGTCTCTCACCAGCCCCCTTCCCACGTGGACTGGCAGTGGGACCTTGATTTCTAATGACACACAGGGCATAGGACCTGAACCAACCTCTGCCCCTCCACACACAGCCCTCTCCAGCCAGGACACCACCAGGTCTCCACCAGAATCCTTTTCCTCACCCTCTGCTCCCTCACAACCAACCATGGCCACCAATGCTCTCAAGAACCACTCCACTACCAAACACACACTTCCACACTCACAGAGGGACACTCCTCCCACCATGTCTTCTGGAACTCTGTCCCCCAAAAACAACCTCTCAGGGTCACAGAGCAGGCCTCCGGGTCCTCAAGGGACATCCAATAGTGTCTCCTCCCCTCCTCCTACACCTCTCCACACTGGGACAACCAGGTCCTCCACAATGAGCTCTTCGACCTCATTCCTCACAACAGTTCTGCCAAGAACCACACAGACATGGAGGACAGGCTATCTGCCCACCACCAGCCCACACACGAGCACCACTGCCCAGGATCATGACAGCCTGGCCACTTCCCAGGAGGCTCCCACTCTACACACAACTAATGTGTCCACTGACACTACGGTGACCCCTGCAGGAACCACCATGCCGGGAACCCAGGCACCCTTCTCTACCTCTCCACCCTCACTTCCTTCACAAGAGACCACGGCACAGTGGACAGTCAGCCCTGGGCCACAGACATTTCTGCACTCACACTCCACCATTCTTGGGAGCACGTCCACTCACACTCCATTATCTCCAAGAAACCCACCTTTGCAAGAAAGCAGCCCTGCAGAATCCACAAAGGTGATCCTGGTCAGTGCCTCCAAGACCCCTGGAGCCTCCTCCCCAAAACCATCCACTCCCCACTGGCCTGGGACTCCAGCCCCCATCTTCCTCACCACTGAAGACGATATTTCTACATCGTCACAAGGTCGAGAAGCATCCACTCCTTCCTCACCTGGGTCTCCAGCCCCCATGTTCCTCACCACTGAGGACGATGTCCCTACCTTCCCCAACACAGTCCCACAAGCTGTCAGCCAGGCAGTCTCCACTGGGACTACCAGTAGGACCATCATGCAGGAGGTGTCCAAAGACCTCACACCAAACACAAGCTCCTCACCTCCACAGAGGGCAATAACCAGCGTAGAAACCACCAGGTCTCAACCACAATCCCTTCCTTCATCCTCCGCTGGGTCACAACCCACCATGACCACCACGGCATCCAAGATCCTTTCCACTGTCACAAAGTATCTTGAAACCTCAGAGAAGGCCACCACTTCCAGCAGAACTTCTGGTCCAGTGCCACCTGAAAGCACCCTTTCTGAGAATCCAAGACACCCTGTAAGTTCTCTGGGGACGTCCTCTGTTGGATCATCCCCTCCTATTACACCTCTCAACACTGGGTCACCCAGAACCTCCTCACCAGGACCTAGGTTCTCAGACCTCACCACCCCCCAGCCAGGAATCATGCAGACATCGAGGACAAGCTCTCCACCCATCTCCAGCCTGCATGTGAGGACCACCACCCGGGTACAGAAGACCCTGGACACTGACCTGAACACTCACAGTCCACCAACAAGTCAAGTTTCCACAGAAGAGGCAGTGACCAGTGAAGTGACCACATCTGGACCCCAAGAACAGTCCCCTGCCTCCACAGGGTCACATCCTTCACTCAAAAGCCCTACACAGTGGGAATTCAGCACTGGGTCCCAGATGCCTTCAGGCTCAGCAAACACCCCTCTGAGGAGCATTTCCTCTCACCCTCCAACACCTGAGAGAACCTCACCTGTGATGACAAGCAGACCCCAAGGACCTCCAAAGGTCCCTCAAACCAGTATTTCATGGGAACATCCTGCTTCAACCCCAGAAATATCCACTCCATCCTCAACTGGTTCTACAGTCCATGAAGGGGGCACTCCGGAATCCAGCACCAACACACAGTCTCTCACCAGCCCCCTTCCCACCTGGACTGGCGGTTGGACAGTGATTTCTAATGACACACAGGGCATAGGACCAGAACCAACCTCTGCCCCTGCACACACAGCCCTCTCCAGCCAGGACACCACCAGGTCTCCACCAGAATCCTATTCCTCCCCCTCTGCTCCTTCACAACCAACCATGGCCACCAATGCTCTCAAGAACCACTCCACTACCAAACACACACTTCCACACTCACAGAGGGACACTCCTCCCACCTCCTCCTCCGGAACTCTGTCCCCCAAAAGCAACCTCTCAGGAACACAGAGCAGGCCTGAGGGTTCTCAAGGGACATCCAATAGTGTCTCCTCCCCTCCTCCTACAGCTCCCCAAACTGGTTCAACCAGGTCCTCCACAATGATGTCTTCGACCTCAGTCCTCACCACAGTTCTGCCAGGAACCACACAGGCATGGAGGACAGGCTCTCTGCCCATCACAAGCCCACACACCAGGACCACTGCCCAGGATCATGACAGCCTGGCCACTTCCTGGGAGGCTCACACTCCACACACAACTCATGTGTCCACGAACACTGCGGTGACACCTGCAGCAACCAACACACTGGGAACCCAGGCACACTCCTCTGCCTCTCCACACTCACTTCATTCACAGGAGACTGCTGCACAGTGGACAGTCAGCCCTGGGCCACAGATGATTCCTCACTCACACTCCATCCTTCTGGGGAGCACTTCCTCTCACACTCCATTATCTCCAAGAAACCCACCTTTGCAGGAAAGCAGCCCTGCAGAATCCACAAAGGTGACCCTGGTCAGAGCCTCCAAGACCCCTGGAGCCTCCTCCCCAGGAGAATCCACTCCCCCCTGGCCTGGGTCTCCAGCCCTTTTGTTCCTCACCAGTGAGGATGGGATCTCTCAATTGTCGGGAAGCCCAGAAGCATCCACTCCCTACCCACCTGGGTCTCCAACACCCATCTTCCTCACCACTGGGAACCATGACCACACCTTCTCCAACACAGGCACACAGCCTGTCAGCCAGGCAGTCTCCACTGGGACTGGCAGTAGGACCATCATCATGGAGGTGTCAAGGGACCTCACTCCCAACACAAGCTCTACACCTCCACAGAGCACTCTGATCAGTGTGGAAACCACCAGGTCTCAACCACAATCCCTGACTTCACCCTCCGCTGGGTCACAACCCACCATGACCACGGTGGCATCTGAGAACCTTTCAAGTCTCTCAACGTCTCTTGCACCCTCAGAGAAGGCCACCTTTTCCAGCCACTCTTCTGGCTCAGTGCCACCTCAGAGCACCCAGTCTGTGAATCAAAGACAATCTGTGTTTTCTCTGGGGACATCCCATGTCAACACAGGGTTGCCTAGGACCTCCTCAGCAGGTCCTGTGTTCCCAGACCTCACCACCATCCATCCAGGAATCATGCAGGTATTGAGGACAAGCTCTCCACCCATCTCCAGCCTCCATGTGAGGACCACCACCCAGGCACAGAAGACCCTGGACACTGACCTGACCACTCACACTCCACCAACAAGTCAAGTTTCCACAGAAGAGGCAGTGACCAGTGAACAGACCACATCTGGACCCCAAGAACAGTCCCCTGCCTCCACAGGGTCACATCCTTCACTCAAAAGCCCTACACAGTGGGAATTCAGCACTGGGTCCCAGATGCCTTCAGGCTCAGCAAACACCCCTCTGAGGAGCATTTCCTCTCCCCCTCCAACACCTGAGAAAACCTCACCTGTGATGACAAGCAGACCCCAAGGACCTCCAAAGGTCCCTCAAACCACCCTTTCATGGACACATCCTCCTTCAAACCCACAAGGATCCACTCCATCCTCAACTGGTTCTACAGTCCATGAAGAAGACACTACAGAATCCAGCACCAACACACAGTCTCTCACCAGCCCCCTTCCCACTTGGAGTGGCAGTGGGACCTTGATTTCTAATGACACACAGGGCATAGGACCTGAACCAACATCTGGCCCTCCACACACAGCAATCTCCAGCCAGGAAATCACCAGGTCTCCACCAGAATCATATTCCTCAAACTCTGCTTCCTCACAAACATCCATGGCCACCAATGTTCTCAAGAACCACTCCACTACCAAACACACACTTCCACACTCACAGAGGGACACTCCTCCCACCTCCTCTTCTGGAACTCTGGGACCCCAAAGCAACCTCTCAAGGACACAGAGCAGGCCTGCGTGTTCTCAGGGGACATCCCATAGCGACTCCTCCCCTCCTCCTACAGCTCCCCACAGTGGGACACCCAGGTCCTCCACAACGAGCTCTTCCACCTCAGTCCTCTCCACCACCCTGCCAGGAACCACACAGGCATGGAGGACAGGCTCTCTGCCCATCACCAGCCCACAGACCAGGACCACTGCCCAGGATCACCACAGCCTGGATATTTCCAGGGCTTCTCCCACTCCACACACAACTCATGTGTCCATGGACACTGAGGTGACACCTGCAGGGACCACAATGGCAACCCAGGCACACTCCACTGCCTCTCCACACTCACTTCCTGCACAGGAGACTGCTGCACAGTGGACAGTCAGCCCTGGGCCACAGATGTTTCCGCACTCACACTCCACACTTCTGGGGAGCACTTCCTCTCACACTCCATTATCTCCAAGAAACCCACCTTTGCAGGAAAGCAGCCCTGCAGAATCCACAAAGGTGACCCTGCTCAGTGCCTCCAAGACCCCTGGAGCCTCCTCCCCAGGAGAATCCACTCCCCCCTGGCCTGGGTCTCCAGCCCTTTTGCTCCTCACCAGTGAGTCTGGGATCTCTCCATTGTCAGGAAGCCCAGAAGATTCCACTCCCTACCCACCTGGGTCTCCAACACCCATCTTCCTCACCACTGGGAACCATGACCACACCTTCTCCAACACAGGCACACAGCCTGTCAGCCAGGCAGTCTCCACTGGGACTGGCAGTAGGACCATCATCATGGAGGTGTCAAGGGACCTCACTCCCAACACAAGCTCTACACCTCCACAGAGCACCCTGATCAGTGTGGAAACCACCAGGTCTCAACCACAATCCCTGACATCACCCTCCGCTGGGTCACAACCCACCATGACCACGGTGGCATCCGAGAACCTTTCAACTCTCTCAACGTCTCTTGTACCCTCAGAGAAGGCCACCTTTTCCAGCCACTCTTCTGGCCCAGTGCCACCTCAGAGCACCCAGTTTGTGAATCAAAGACAATCTGTGAGTCCTCTGGAGACATCCATTATTGACTCTTCCACTCCTCTTACACCTGTCAGCAGTGGGGGGCCCAGGACCTCCTCACCAGACTCTAGGTTCTCAGACGGCACCAACACCCATCCAGGAATCATGCACCCATCGAGGACAAGCTCTCTGCCCTTCACCAGCACCCAGGCAAGGAACACTGCCCAGGCACAGGCCAGCCTGTACACTACCTTGACAGCTCACACTTCACCCCCGATTCCTATGTCCACTGATGCAGCAGTGACTAGTGCAGTGACTTCATCTGGAGCACAAGAGGAGTCTCATGCTTCTGCAGAGTTATGTCCTTTACACCAAATCTCTGCACAGCAGACTGTCACCCCTGGGACACAGACATTACTGCACTCACACGCCACCCTTCTTGGGAGTACCTCTTCTCACACTCCATTATCTTCAGGAAACCCACCTTTGCAAGAAAGCAGCTCTGGGGAATCAGCCAAGGTGACTCTGGGCAGTGCCTCCATCACCCCTGTTGCTTCTACCCCAGGGGAATCCACTCCCTACCCACCTGGGTCTCCAACACCCATTTTCCTCACCACTGGGAACCATGACCACACCTTCTCCAACACAGTCACACAGCCTGTCAGCCAGGCAGTCTCCACTGGGACTGGCAGTTGGACCATCATGCAGGAGGTGTCAAGGGACCTCACACCAAACACAAGATCTGCACCTCCACAGAGCACCCTGATCACTGTGGAAACTACCAGTTCTCAACCACAATCCGTTCCATCAGCTTACCCTGGGTCTCAACCCACCCTGACTACCACAGCATCCAAGGTCCTTTCCACTGACACAAAGTCTATTGCAACCTCAGAGAAGGCCACCACTTCCAGCAGCTATTCTGGCCCCATGCCACCTAAAAGCACCCTTGCTGAAAATCGAAGGCATCCTTTGAGTTCTCTGGGGACAAACCAAATTGCATTGTCCCCTTCTCTCACACCTCTCAACACTGGGTCCACCAAGACCTACTCACCGGATGCTAGGTTCTCAGACCTCACCACCCCCCAGCCAGGAATCATGCAGACATCGAGGACAAGCTCTCCACCCATCTCCAGCCTGCATGTGAGGACCACCACCCAGGAACAGAAGACCCTGGACACTAATCTGACCACTCACAGTCCACCAACAAGTCAAGTTTCCACAGAAGAGGCAGTGACCAGTGAAGTGACCACATCTGGAACCCAAGAACAGTCCCCTGCCTCCACAGGGTCACATCTTTCACAAAAAAGCCCTACACAGTGGGAATTCAGCACTGGGTCCCAGATGCCTTCACGCTCAGCAAACACCCCTCTGAGGAGCATTTCCCCTCACCCTCCAACACCTGAGAGAACCTCACCTGTGATGACAAGCAGACCCCAAGGACCTCCAAAGGTCCCTCAAACCAGTATTTCATGGGCACATCCTGCTTCAACCCCAGAAGGATCCACTCCATCCTCAACTGGTTCTACAGTCCATGAAGGGGGCACTCCGGAATCCAGCACCAACACACAGTCTCTCACCAACCCCCTTCCCACGTGGACTGGCAGTGAGACCTTGATTTCTAATGACACACAGGGCATAGGACCTGAACCAACCTCTGCCCCTCCACACACAGCCCTCTCCAGCCAGGAAACCACCAGGTCTCCACCAGAATCCTTTTCCTCCCCCTCTGCTCCCTCACAACCAACCATGGCCACCAATGCTCTCAAGAACCACTCCACTACCAAACACACACTTCCACACTCACAGAGGGACACTCCTCCCACCTCCTCTTCTGAAACTCTGTCCTCCAAAAACAACCTCTCAGGGACACAGAGCAGGCCTGCTGGTTCCCAGGGCACATCCCATAGCGTCTCCTCCCCTCCTCCTACAGCTATCCACACTGGGACACCCAGGTCCTCCACAATGAGCTCTGCGACCTCAATCCTCACCTCCACCCTGCCAAGAACGACACATGCATGGAGAACAGGCTCCCCACCCATCACCAGAGCACATCCCAGGACCACTGCCCAGGATCACAACAGCCTGGATACTTCCTGGGTTGCTCCCACTCCACACACAAGTCATGTGTCCACGAACACTGCAGTGACCCCTGCAGGAACCACCAAACCGAGAACCCAGGCACACTCCTCTGCCTCTCCACAATCACTTCCTTCCCAGGAGACCACAGCACAGTGGACAGTCAGCCCAGGGTCACAGACGTATCCGCACTCACACTCCACCCTTCTGGGGAGCACTTCCTCTCACACTCCATTATCTCCAAGAAACCCACCTTTACAAGAAAGCAGCCCTGCAGAATCCACAAAGGTGACCCTGGTCAGTGCCTCCAAGAAACTTGGATCCTCCTCCCCAAAACCATCCACTCCCCACTGGCCTGGGACTCTAGCCCCCATCTTCCTCACCACCGAGGACGACGTCCCTACCTTCCCCAACACAGTCCCACAAGCTGTCAGCCAGGCAGTCTCCACTGAGGCTGGCAGTAGGACCATCATGCAGGAGGTGTCCAAGGACCTCACACCAAACACAAGATCTGCACCTCCACAGAGGGCAATAACCAGCGTGGAAACCACCAGGTCTCAACCACAATCCCTTCCATCACCCTCCACTGGGTCACAACCCACCATGACCACCACGGCATCCAAGATCCTTTCCACTGTCACAAAGTCTATTGCAACCTCAGAGAAGGCCACCACTTCCAGCAGAACTTCTGGTCTAGTGCCACCTGAAAGCACCCTTTTTGAGAATCCAAGACACCCTGTAAGTTCTCTGGGGACATCCCCTGTTGGATCATCCCCTCCTATTACACCTCTCAACACTGGGTCACCCAGAACCATCTCACCAGGCCCTAGGTTCTCAGACCTCACCACCCCCCAGCCAGGAATCATGCAGACATCGAGGATAAGCTCTCCACCCATCTCCAGCCTGCATGTGAGGACCACCACCCAGGCACAGAAGACCCTGGACACTGACCTGACCACTCACACTCCACCAACAAGTCAAGTTTCCATGGAAGAGGCAGTGACCAGTGAAGTGACCACATCTGGAACCCAAGAACAGTTCCCTGCCTCCACAGGGTCACATCCTTCACTCAAAAGCCCTACACAGTGGGAATTCAGCACTGGGTCCCAGATGCCTTCACGCTCAACAAACACCCCTCTGAGGAGCATTTCCTCTCACCCTCCAACACCTGAGAGAACCTCACCTGTGATGACAAGCAGACTCCAAGGACCTCCAAAGGTCCCTCAAACCAGCGTTCCATGGGCACATCCTGCTTCAACCCCAGAAATATCCACTCCATCCTCAACTGGTTCTACAGTCCATGAAGGGGGCACTCCGGAATCCAGCACCAACACACAGTCTCTCACCAGCCCCCTTCCCACGTGGACTGGCAGTGGGACAGTGATTTCTAATGACACACAGGGCATAGGACCTGAACCAACCTCTGCCCCTCCACACACAGCCCTCTCCAGCCAGGACACCACCAGGTCTCCACCAGAATCCTTTTCCTCACCCTCTGTTCCCTCACAACCAACCATGGCCACCAATGCTCTCAAGAACCACTCCACTACCAAACACACACTTCCACACTCACAGAGGGACACTCCTCCCACCTCCTCTTCCGGAACTCTGTCCCCCAAAAGCAACCTCTCATGGACACAGAGCAGGCCTGCGGGTGCTCAGGGGACATCCCAGAGCGTCTCCTCCCCTCCTCCTACAGCTCTCCACAGTGGGACACCCAGGTCCTCCACAATGAGCTCTGCGACCTCAGTCCTCACCACAGTTCTGCCAAGAACCACACAGACATGGAGGGCAGGGTCTCCGCCCATCACCAGCCCATATCCACGGACCACTGCCCAGGATCATGACAGCCTGGCCACTTCCGGGGCTGCTCCCATTCCACACACAACTCATGTGTCCACGAACACTGTGGTGACACCTGCAGGAACCCACACACCGGGAACCCAGGCACACTCCTCTGCCTCTCCACACTCACTTCCTGCACAGGAGACTGCTGCACAGTGGACAGTCAGCCCTGGGCCACAGATGTTTCCTCACTCACACTCCACCCTTCTGGGGAGCACCTCCTCTCACACTCCATTATCTCCAAGAAACCCACCTTTGCAGGAAAGCAGCCCTGCAGAATCCACAAAGGTGACACTGGTCAGAGCCTCCAAGACCCCTGGAGCCTCCTCCCCAGGAGAATCCACTCCCCCCTGGCCTGGGTCTCCAGCCCTTTTGCTCCTCACCAGTGAGGATGGGATCTCTCCATTGTCGGGAAGCCCAGAAGCATCCACTGCCTACCCACCTGGGTCTCCAACACCCATCTTCCTCACCACTGGGAACCATGACCACACCTTCTCCAACACAGGCACACAGCCTGTCAGCCAGGCAGTCTCCACTGGGACTGGCAGTAGGACCACAATGCAGGAGGTGTCAAGGGACCTGACTCCCAACACAAGCTCTGCACCACAGTCTCAGAGGTCTGAACCACAGTCTCTTCCATCCCTCTCCACTGGTTCTCAACCTACCATGACAACCTGGGCATCCAAGATCCTTTCAACTGTCACAACGTCCCTTGCACCTTCGGAGAAGGCCAGCCGTTTCAGTAGCTCTTCTCGCCCAGTCCCCCCTCAGATCACCCTTTCTGTGCATGAAAGTCAACCTGTGAGTTCTCTGGGGACATCTCAAGTTGAGTCATCCCCTCCTCTTATACCTGTCAACACTGGGTCACCCGGGACCTCTTTCACTGGTCCTAGGATCTCAGGCCTCACCACCACCCTGCCAGGAAGCATGCGTCCATTGGGGACAAGCTCTTTGCCCATGGCCAGCCTACCTCACAGTGCAAGCTCCGCATATGAGAATGTCCCCACTTCAGTGCGTCCCTCCCATTTACACTCAGTGTCTGTTTCCCCCGAGGTGGCCATGGTCAGCGCGGGAACCAGCAGCTATGGCTTGCAGCGCGGCTCTACCGCCTCTCCTGTGGCCCTTCCATCAATGTCCTCAGATGCAGTGCCCACTCTCTCCGGTCACTCTCGGACTTTGTTTCTCACGGGGACCTCCTCTCCATCTCCTGACCGTGTTTCCTCCCTAAGCATGTCATCCGTCACCTCCTCCAGATCCTCACCGGAAACCGTTCCCTCTTCTCCAGCCACCACACTCTTACACAGTAATTATGCTCCCCCAAGCACAGTGTTGGCTCCGGTGTCTCCCACCAATTCTAGGCAGGAGTCTCAGTCCTCTCTGTCATCTGACTCAGAGCTTTCCACATCAACATCTCCCAGGGCTACCTCTTACACCACAATGGAGACCTTTATTTTCACATCAAAGCCTAGCTCTTCTGAGGCTGCAAGTATTCAGATGGAGTCATTGTCTACCCTTTCCCCTGGATTGACAAAGTCTAACACCTCTGATAAGACCAACTCCTGCACAAATACAAGCTGTCTCCTCTACAGTGTACCCACTGATGCCAGTTCTTTGATCTCCAAGACGGACATCCTTCCCTCTTCCAGAACACCCATCCCTTATCTTGCTCAGTTCACTAATTCTCCAGACTTCTCCACTCGGACAATAGCCAGGCTCTTCGCCTCCTCCACCAAGACAGATTCTGCAGAAGTAACTATCACCACCCACACAAGTCCTTCTAAGGATACAACACAGGATACCCTTACCTGGGAGACATCAACCACCAGATCCTGGGCAGAGTCCCATTCACCTGGCCATGCTACTATGTCCATCATTGCAGGGAACTTGCCTTCATCCACTTTTATACCATTATCCTCTTCTGTCTCCACTACGACTGGCTCTTCAACCAGCCCAGCCCTCCCTCGGATTACTTCCTCTCCCACTACCCATCTTGGGACAGAGAGCATCCCTACTGAAGGATCCTTGATTACGCTCAGTGTGTTGGAGTCCAGCACCCAGCCAGTCAAGACATCTGTATCACCCACTTTGAATATCACAGCAATTGAGAGTATTGACTCAAAAACAGATACAAGTGCTTTTGCAGTTCCTCCACCCTCCACCCAGTTCACAAGTAAGGACCTATATCTCCTACACACCCACTCATGAGAGGATCATAGGAAATAGCACTTTCCTAAGAGGGAAAAGGAAAATAATGAGGAGTATTTCCTGTACCTGAATGTTTTTTTGCAAACATCTGTTAATCTCATTTCAACTCCAAGTGCTGGGCTAGGCATGGGGAAGCATAGGTGATAAGCAAGTGGTGGGAAAATTATAACCCATGACAGATGCTCTGCTATTGCTACTACTGAGGATGATGACGAGGATGACAGCTAATGTTTATAGCATGTATTCCACATTAAGCACTTTTTCATTAAGGTTTCAAATCCTCATTGCAACATTAGTTGGAGTGGGGGCTCTTCACGAGCCTCTTTTGCAGATGAAGAAGTTGTGAGATGCAGAGAAGTTACCTGCTCAAGATAACAAAGATGATAAGTTACAGAACTAGAATAAGAACTCAGACTATGTAGCACTAGGAATCCGTGCTGTTAACCCTTAGGCTAAACCAGAATGCTCAGAGTTAGCTAGAAAAGCCAGAGATTCTAAGATCTCTGAAGCCACAGGAGGGTGCTGTTTTAGGGAGAAAAGATGAGTTCTGTCAAATGCTACTAAACGGCAGGGATCCTCAGAGATTCTAATGAAGGGTGTATCCCTGAGGTTAGGGGACTAAGAGAAGAGCTCAAAGGTACGAGCGAGAGGTTTCACCTTTGGGTGGAGCATGTTTCTGTAGGGGAGAAGAGTCCAAACAGGCACAAGTGAGATCAGAGGTGAGCACATGAAACCTGGGGAGACAGGGTACTCAGGGATGTGGGATGGACCTGGAGACAGGAAAACGCCACTTCCCAGAGAGCAACCCATCAGGGAAGAAACCTCTTGGAGAGTCTATTCTTCTGAAAGGGTTGAGCTAATCCCCAGTTCTTGTTCTGAACACAAGTCCAAAGAGGCCCCACAATTAGTCCAGCACCTGCTTCACTACCGTGTCTCCCCAGGATCCTAATGTGATCCCCTCCCCCCAGCTGGCTTGGACAATCCCCAGCCCACGTCTCCAAGCCACGGTTCCCTAGTTAGGGCATGAGTGTTGATTAAGCAAGAGGTGCGTGAGCTGGCAGGAAGGTGAAGGTGTGGCCGGATGGAGGGAGGGGGGAAAGAATGGAGAGATGGAGGGACAGAAGGCAGGAGAGAAAGAAGGCAGCCCTGAAGGCAATTGATAACTGAAAGACGGTGGAAGGATGATGGGAGGGAGTAAAGATTGAAGAGGAGAGGGGAAAGGGAGAGAGGAACAAGGGAAAGGCGAAGGGTGGGCAGCGGGGGATAAAGGGTTAAAAGGAAGCAAAGATGGAAGAGAAGGCGGTCAGCTCTGGACTGGGCGAAGGACGGGCGGCCCTACGGGCAGATGGATGGGTCTGTGGACGGGTCACATGCAGGACTGGCGTGAGTTCGTACAGAAGGACATGAGGGGCAGAGTGATGACGTGGACACACCTGGACATGGGCTCCTTCTGGGTGAGATGAGTTACCCCAGTTTTCTCCCTACCCTCTCCTATAGAACCCGATGACACTGTGGAGCGGCACACAAAGAAACCCAATGGAGCGGCCCCCAGAGGCACCGCGGGACCCGTCGAGGGCCCTCCGGCAGCCACATCCCCTGCTGGTTCTAAAGGTAGGTTTGACTGCTTCCTAGAAACCCCACCTGTGCCCTGGCCTCCAACTCCAGCCACGAAGCTGACTTCTTTGGAAGGAGAATCGTGTGTGACTGTCACGAATCTCCCTGCCTCAGCTGGATCTTTGTCTCATGGTGACTGGGCGGATGCTACCACTTTTCTTCTCTTCAGAGCAATGCTGAGGGTCTTTAGTTCAAGGTCAGAGATGTTCAAGGTCAGAGAATTTGACCCGGTTTACCTTAATTCTCAAGACCTCTATTGATAACTCACTGACACTCTGGTATAAATCAAGGAAGCGCAGGATGAAAACATTTTGGTATCGCATCCATGAGAGACGGCAAAGGAACAAAATAACTATGTTGTAGATTTAAACGTAGGCCATGAAGGCACCCTGGAGCCACAGAGGGAAAGCTTCACGGAGGAGGGAACATTTGCCTTGGGTTGTACAGGATGAATAGGAGTTTGCCAGGAAGACAGGGGGAGTGGAGGAAGACCTACTAGATGCAGGACAGAGCGGCCCATTAGGCACAAAGAGAAGTGAAACCCAGGGATAGCTGGGTATGACTAAATCATAGTAGTGATGATTTGCTCAAGTATGAGATGTATGTGGTCAGTGGGAGATAAAGCTGGAGGTGGGGGCAGAAAACCTCCTAATCCTTCATAATGCTTGTCTACCTCTGAACAAAAGGGCAAAGAAGTTTGTGGTCCAAGAGGTTTAGCATACATATTGCTCCTTCTTAGCGTGGTCGCGTGCACAGGCATATTAAAAGCTCTGAGCAAGTCCTGTAAAGAAACCTGTTTAGCTTTGTTCAATCTGGGCTTTAAGAAGGTTAGGTGATGGCATCGTCTTTTCCTCTGAAAGACACTTACCACTCTGTGGTATTATTATTCCATGTAACTGTCAGAGGTACAGGTGTACTTAGCAGGGGTCCTCCTCACCGTGTGGTTAAAGGTAAAGCTTCCCATATCCGTGAAGTTATTCCCAAATTGTTCAGAAGCCAGGCTATTTTATCAACCCACTTGTTCCAAGACATAGTCACCTCCAAGCCTCGCTATTGGTTTTCTCATGGGACCCAAGCATCTTGGGTTGGGTTTCCCCAGAAGCAGACCACGGTAGGTCAAAGAAACAGGGATAAGTAGTTTGTGTTCTGTTGGGGGGTGGTCCCAGGAAGCCCTGGTGGAGGAGACAGAGAAGAGAAGGAGGCAGCAGAAGGGACACCCTGAGCGGGTCACAGAGCACCAATCCCACCAGGATCTCTGAGGGGCAGTCCCCTTGGCACTGTCCCCTCCAAATGGAGAGGTGGCTGGGGTATTTGCCATCCCACTCCCCTCTCTCGGTGGCTGTGAGCTGCTTACTCCTGGAGGGGATGACAGCCCTGCGGACCTGTCCACACCTGGGCTGAGTGACCTCTCTCGGGCATGGAGGCACAGAGCTGTAGTAGGGACACTTTGGGGGGCTCTCCTGCAGCAGCCAGTGCTGGTAGGATCAGCTACATCAATCAGGTCACTAGAAGAGGCTCACCGGCCTTCAGGTGACGACCAACACTGAGAGGGCAAAATGTCTGTGGGGCAGTCAGCACCCCCTCATTTAATACAAAGTGGGGTTCATCGGCCTCCGAGCTACTGGCATTTGGGGCAGGAGGTTCTGCCTAGTGCACAACTTCCCTGTGTGTTGTAGAATAACTAGCAGCGTCTCTGGCCTCTACTCCAGGGGACAGCTGCACCCACCCACAGCTGTGCTGAGAAGCAAAACGGACCCAGTAGAGAGCCACCGAGCCAGGGATCTGTCCCCAGATGGACATTTTCTCCTCACTCCTTTCTCTTCCATCCCAGCGCTCACAAGATCCTGAAATTCATTCAGGGGATGGAGCAGTGGTTAAGAGCCGAGGTCTGGAACTCAGAACCACATTCAAATTTCCAGTCGCTAGCCATTTGACTCTGGGCAAATCATGATCTCTCTAAGTTTCTATCCTTCTGCCCGTAAAATGACGGGAACAATAGAATGTGGTCGTCAGGGTAGCCACAGCCACAGCCACAGGTGGTGGTGACAGGGGTAAGAGCATCGTGCCAGCAGCCAGTTAGGCACAGCAGTGAATAACAGGAGCGGTGGCCACCAGAGACAGCGGCAGCAACAGCAGTGTGGCAGGAGCCGGAACATGACCCTGGAGGCACCACGCTCCGTGCCTTTGACCAGCATCCTGAGACGGCTGCTCACCTCCACTCTGTAGATAAGAAAAGGCACATTTATCAAGGTTTGGTAACTCCAAAAGTCACCCATCTCTTCAGCCAAAGAGTCTCAGCACGGGGCCCAGGTTCCCAAGTGCAAGATGCACAATCTCTCTCTCAGGCCGGAGGAGACTCCTCTTGGACATCCATCCACGTGTCCATCCATTCATTTAATTCACTGAAGCAAACTCTCCTTGAGCTCCTACTGTGTGCCTCGCAGTCAGACCACAGGAGCAGTTACTAACTAGATTGGGAGGGAGTGGTACAGCGCAGGCACAGGCAGTGCCACAAGGAAACAGGGAGAAGCAGAGATGGCTTCTGACACAGGGTTAGGAGGGTGGATCTGATTTGGGTGGCACAGAGAGATGATGTGGAGCAGAGGCTCAGGCACCAGCAGAGCAGAAGGCAACGGGGACAGGGAGTAGAGCTGCGGCCGTGCATCCCCAGAGGAGTCACAGCCCAGGATGTGACCATAAGGTAGGGCACGACCCTTTTCCATGCCAGAGTCACCCCACCCACATCCCAGAGGATAGATGTCTCTCTCTCTTTCCTCACATAGAAGAGGAAAAAAAGGCTATTTGCAGTCTAGTAAGTGTGATGATTTTGACTGACTTGTGGGTCCATCCCCCAATTCACAGGTCCAGCCACAGGAAGGACAGGAAGAGCAGAGACCACTGCCACACCTCTGAAGACCACCGCCATCCCCTCTTTCATCACCTGGATCTCCATTCCCACCTCAGAAGACCTGAAGCTCCAGATATCAGGGGAAACCATCAGCACAGCTCCAGAGGCAACGGCTTCCTCGGCCACGGGTCTTAGAGAGGGTATCACCAGCACAGCTGTTCCCGGGACAACCCCCTCTCTACTCAACAGAGAACCAGAGGCCACAGCCTTATTGGTCCCCAGTCCTGGGGCACAGACCAGTCCAGCTGTCCCAACTCTGGCTGCGTCTTCTCCTGAGTCAGATTCAACAGCCTCACAGGTCACCCAACCTGAGATACAGGCAGGTCACTCCACTACAACCCCGCCTGTCTCCTCGGGGGCATCAGGACTGGAGGCCTCTCTGACCACTAGTTCCGAGGCAGTGACCACAGCACCTTTCTCTAGAACAAGCCCCAATTTTTCCCAGGGTCAACCACACATCCCTTCCTCAATGGATACCAGTACTGGGACAGAATCCGCTTCTGCTGTTCCAACAATGACTGTATCACCTGACATACTAGAATTGGTGACCTCACAGGTCCCTAGCTCTGGGACAGACACCAGTTCAACTAAACCAACTCAAACTCCTTCTGATAAACCAGAGGCCACAGCCTCTCTGGCCACCAGCCGCGGCACACCAAAGATTCCAACCACTCCAAATCCCTCCCTCTCACCGGACGTATCAGAGGGGGCAACGTCACTGGTCACTAGTTCTGGGAGAGAGACGAGTACTACTCCTCCAGATCTCACTGCTTCCCCAGGTCACCCGGAGACCTCATGGGTCACCCAGGCTGAGATAGAAGCCAGTTCCCTTGTTTCAACAGAGACTATTTCACCTGGAGAACCAGATATCACAACCTCACGGGTCACTCACCCTGCAGAGGCCAGCACAACAGTCCCCAGGACAACCCTAAGTTTTTCCCATGGTGAATCAGATACCATGCCCTCAACAGCCGCTGCTCCTGGAGAAAAAGCCAGTTCTGATATCCCAGCGACAGGGGTCCCACCTGATATCCCAGACACGGTGACTTCACTTGCGACTCCTTCTACATCAGTGACCATTAGGAATATTCCAACCCTGACTGTTCCAGCCGGTGAGCCGGAGACCACAGCCTCAATGGTCACCCATCCTGGGCCACCGACAGGTTCACCCACTCCAGCTCTGACTGTCTCCCCTCGTGCGCCAGGGACACTGACTGCATGGGTCACTAGTTCTGGAGCACAGACAAGTTTGCTTCCAACTCGGACTCTTTCCCCTGACCAACCAGAGACCACAGCCTGGTGGGTCACCCGTCCTGGGTCAGACGCCAGTTCTGCTGTCCCGACTCTGATGGCTTCACCTAGTAGGAGAGCTACCACAGATTCATTGGTCCTCCATCCTACGGAGACCAGCCCAGTGGTTCCCAGGACAACCCTAAGCTTTTCTCATAGTGAATCAGATACCACACCCTCAACAGCCATTGTTCCTGGGGAAGAAGCCAGTTCAGCTATCTCAGCATCCACTGTTTCACCTAAGGTGCAAGAGGCAGTGACCTCACTGGTCACTAGTTCTCTGGCAGTGACCAGTACAAGTCCTCCAAGTCTGGCTCTTTCTTCTCAATCAGATACCACAGCCTCACCGGTCACCCAGACTGGGGAGCAGACAAGTCCAGCCATTCTAACTAGGACTGTCTCTCCTGGTGGAAAAGGACTGGTGACCTCACTGGTCACTAGTTCTGGGACAGAGACAAGTACAACCACTCCAGCTCTGACCCTTTCCCCAGATCAACTGGGCACCACAACCTCGCGGGTCCCTCATCCCGGGGCCATTGCCAGTTCAGCTGTGCCCACTCTGACCATTTCCCCTGGTGAGCCAGCTGCAACAGCTCGAGTCATTCGTCCTACAGAGACTAGCCCGGCCGTCCCCAGGACACCCTCAGATTTTCCCCATAGTGGATCAGACACCACACCCTCAACGGCCGCCAGTCCTGGGACAGAAGCCAGTTCAGCTGTGCCAGTCAGGACTGCCTCACCTGAAGCACCTGAAGACACGGTGACCTCACAGGTCACTAGTTCTGAACTGCCAGCCAGGATGACTCTTCTAATGACAACTCTCTCTCCCGGTGAACCAGAAACCGCAGCCTCATTGGTCACCCCTCCCAGGGCAGAGACAAGCACCAAAGTCCCCGCCTCAACTCTAGTTCATCCTTTATCAGAGACCACAGCCTCACTGTCCATCGGACCTGGGGTGGAGGTTAGTACAGGTATCCTGACTCACGCTGCTTCACGTGGTGGACCAGAGACGACAACTCCTCTCTCCTCCTCGCCTGGGACTGAGACCAGCAGAGCTAATCCAGGCCCGGCTGTGTCAACGGGTGCTCCTGAAGAAGCAGCCTCACCTTCCACCCACCCCGGGACAGAGACCAGCAACACTGTTCCAACCCTGTCCCCTGGTTTAACATCAACCACGGGTGTACGGGCCCCCAGCGCCCCCAGCCCCTCAGCAGAGGCCAGCACAGGTATCCCAGCTCCGACCATTCCCCCCAGCGTCTCCTGGCTTGCCAGTGCCCCTACAACAAGTGAGCCCCCTACGGTGACCTCCTGGAGCACAGAGACTTCACTGCCTGCAACTTCAGTTGGACTCCCAGATATTTCCAGGACTGTCACAGATACCACTATGACCTTGATACCATCAGAGAGCCCAACACCACCTACAGCCAGTCATGGAGAAGGGGCAAGTCAAACCACTACCCTGAAAGCTACAACTGAGGGGACCCCTCATCTAGCTGCCACAGGTTGGAGCTCCACAATGGCTGACACCAGAATCACCTTTGGCACACTGCCCGGAAGGCCCTTGAGCCCTCTGACCACACCCGCGATGTCCACCTGGGGCCCTGAGAGCATGACTCCAGGAACAGGTCAGAAAGAGTGACTTCTCTTTGTTGTAGTGAAATACGTAGAGTTTGCCCTTTTAGGCATTTTAGACGTAGAGTTCAGCAGCATTGATTATAATCTTACTGTTGTGTAACCATTACCACTGTTTTTAAAACTCTGATCACCCCAACCTCTGTACCCTTTCTGCAATCACTACCTATTCCTGCCAGCCCTTGGTGACCTTTAATCTACTTACCCCCACGAATTTGCCCCTTCTGGAACATATCAGTGAAATCATACCACATTTTCCCTTTTGTATCTGGCTGACTTCACTTGGCGTAATGTTTTCAGTTAACTGGAATAGAATGTCCCCTCTTCTAGCTCTCTGTGAAATCTATACCAGGTTATCTTGAGCTCTATCACCCCACTGAGCTGGAGAACATCAGGGCTTTTTCTTTCTGTCTCTGTTTTTGTATCTGTTATTTAATTCTCTCTGTCCTCTCTACCCCCACCCTGCCCAACCTCAAGTTGCCACCATCTTTCACTCAGATTGAGTGTTTTAATGGTCGATTTTAGTTATACATAATATTGGGGTTCATTTTGACATAACTACACAAGCATGGAATCTCACTTGCTCTAATTCAGTCAGTCCCCACTGTTTTCCCCGTTCCCCCCCTCTACACACTGCAGACAGACCTCCTTTACACCCACACGGGGGAGAAAGAGTCTGTGGCACTTGTCTTTCCCCACCTGGTCTATATCACCTAACGTAATGTCCTCCAGTTCTTTTTTTCTAATTTTAAAATTTGTTTTAATTAGTTATACAGGACAGTAGAATGCATCTATGCACTTTGATAGATCATACATAGATGAGACATATTTCTCATTTTTCTGAGTGTACATGTTGCAGAATCACATTGGTCACACAGTCACATATATACATACAGTAATAATGTCATTCCACTGTCTTAACTATCCCCACATCACTTCCCCTCCCCTCCCCTCCCATCACTTCCCTCTACCTAATCTAAGGTAACACTATTCTTCCCTAGTGCCCCCCACCCCCTCACCTTATTGTGAATTAGCATCCACATATTAGAGAAAACATCCAGCCTTTGGTTTCTTGGGATTGGCTTATTTCACTTAACATGATATTCTCCAACTCCATCCATTTACTGGCAAATGCCATAATTTCACTCTTCTTTAAACCTGAGTCATATTCCATTGAGTATATATATATACCACATTTTCTTTATCCACTCATTTATTGAGGGACACCTAGATTGGTTCCATATTGTGAATTGAGCTGCTATAAACATTGATGTGGCTGCATTACTGTAGTATGCTGATTTTAAGTCCTTTGGGTATAAACCAAGGAGTGGGATAGCTGGGTCAAATGGTGGTGCCATTCCCAGTTTTCTGAGGAATCTCCATGCCCTCTAGTTCTTTGTGTCAGAGTAAGACATCATTCTTTTCCACGGTGGAGGAAGACCATGAGTGCACACCTTGTTTTCTTTATCCGTTCGCTCGTGGATGGGCACTAGGTTGAGCCCATATCTTGCCTCTGTGGACAGTGCTGTGATAAACATGGCCATGGTGATACCACCGGACGTGGGAACCCTCTCACTTTGAAAACTGAGCCTGCGCCCAGGAGTTCATACCTTCCTTAGCAAACTGGGACGGTTGTCACCTTGTGTAGGAAGTTCCTGGTGTGGGAACTCATGAAGCAGTTCCACAGGACAGACCCTCCCTGGGTGCCAGAGCTGAAGTTGGTCCTCAGAGCCCTGCCTCCCGCTCCTGCCCGGGACTGACAGTGCTGCCCTCTTCTCCCCTCCCCCATGCAGCTGAGGTTCCTCTGACGGTATATTTTACTATCAACTTCACCATCACCAACCTGCCCTACACGGAGGACATGGGGCTTCCAGGCTCTGGGATATTCAATGCCACCGAGAGGACCCTACAGTACCTGGTAAGATCCCCTCCCCAGTGGCCACCGCCCTGCTGCCTTGGCCCCTCCTGTTCATCTCTTTCTCCTTCCTCCCCAGCTCAAGCCCTTGTTCAGGAACAGCAGTCTCGGCTCCTTCTACGCTGACTGCAGGTTGAAAATGCTCAGGTGAGACTCCCTTCATGGCCAATGGCAACCTCAATTCTGTCTTAATTCTTGGCCCTCCACATCCTAGATAGCCACAGCTTCTTGGACTTTTGCTAAGAGGCAATATAGACTAGTGGACCCCAGGCTAGACTTTGAGCCTGTGCTCTTCCACTTGCTGGCTGTGTGACATCGGGCAAGACATATACCCTTTTGTTCCTCAATCACATTATCTATAGAATCTTGATAACAACAGACTCTTAGGCTTGTTCATTATTCAGCACAGTGAAATAAGCCAGATACTGCCTGGCCCAGTGTAGTGCCTGCTCTCGCTTAATTGGAGCTCATAGGGATAGCCAGTGTAGATCTTGGCCAACGCCATGCCCAGAACCCCCGGCATCTTCCCCGACCCAAACCATCTCTGCAGTTTGTTCCCTGAAAAAGAGGCAAGGACATGCCCAAGTCTCACTAAAATAGTGGAAAAGGAAGTAAATGTTGAGCTGGCGCAGGAGATCTTGCAATTGAAATAATCTTCAAGGGACCTAAACACTGCAGAAATAGCCTGCTGTCTCTGCTCTGCCTGGCTCCTTTGTGGTCCCTGGGGCTCAGCACCCTCCCCTTACAGCTTATGTCCCTAAGGTGTCTCCATGGAGTCCTCCATCCAATAAACTTGGATCATCCTGTCAAAAGGGAGGGCTTACCACTCCATCCTGTGAGTGGAGAGATTGCTGGAGCGTCATGGATGGGAACTGTCCTCATTGAGCTCCACCTATTCCTCCTGGCCCCCTCCCTCCACAGGTGGAGGGAATCAGTAATCATGGCATGGCCACATTCCACCCTCGGTCTAGTGCCTTACATGTTTTCATTTAGTCCCCAAGGATGAAAACCACACAAGTATGATCCCACTCTATAGATGAGAAGACTGAGGCTCAAAATAATCAATAATAACTGCTTGAGAAGAGCCAAGACTGGAGCCCGAGTGTTCTGGTTTGGGAGCCCTTGCTCTTAACCAGGATTCCAGCAGACCTCAAGGTCACTGGGGTCAACGCCTTTTGCACTCTTTTTTCCTATCAGCCTTAATGACCCATTGTGGACATTTAAGGTGTATGACTTGATGATGTGATGTATGTAGACATACCGCAATTCTTCAAATAATCACAATTCGGCTCATTAGCATGTCGACCACCTCTACGTAGTTGTACATGATTGCTGGGGAAGTTTACTTGAAGATCTATCTTCATAGCAAATTTCAAGGGTACAATGCAGTATTGTCAACTATCATCGACATGCTGCACATCAAATCTCCAGATCTGACCCATCTTATCCTAAAACTCTGTAGCCTTTTACCAACATCATCTCACTGACCCCTCCTAACAAATTACATTCTTAAAAAGTGCTCAGGAAAAAAAATTAAATTAAAAAGTGCTCAGAACTCCAGAGAGCTTGGGGGTTCTGTCCCCCCATATTTGCTGAATTGAAAATTATTAAAGCTGATATATTTTATAAGTACTTATTCATTCATTCAACATAATAAACCTAATGCAGCCATCATTAGCATTCATGGAGGATTTGCCCCAAGATCCACAAGGATACCAACATCTGCAGATGCTCGTGTCCCTTATATAAAGTGGCAGAGTATTTGCATAACCTACGCACAGCCTCTCATATCATCTCTAGATTGCTTATAACACCTAATAGAATGTAAAGACCGTGAAATAGTGGTTAGTGCATTGCTTAGGGGAAATGGCAAGGAGGACCATCTGAACATACTGAGTGCAGATACAACTTCATGTATGCATGTACATACTGTGGGGCTGGAGACCAAACCCAGGGTCTCATGCTGGGTAAGCACTGTACCACCAACCTGTGTCCTCAGCTCTAGATGCAATTTTTTGAAAAAGTATGTTTGATCCAAGATTGGTTCATTCTGCAAATGTGGATCCTATGGATATACAGACCTGACTACTCATATTAATGCAAATAATGTATTTTTAAGAACAATAGCCATATTTTTTTTAAATAGCATAAGGAGAAGAGAGGTATTGTTTATGTTTTTACCAAACTTTGCAATGTCTGGCCTAGAAGAAGATGGGTAGATATATGCTTCTGCCTTCAATCTGTTTGAATATTTTAGCTTAAGGGGCCACTGGGGGAAAAATCACTGTATACTCCTGAGTAAATGAAAAAGGAAAATGATGTCTTACCTGGTGGGCTCCTTGTAAGTCTTTTGGGGACAAAAGGAGTCCCTAGACTACACTTTGAGAGTAACTGTACTACACTCATGGGCATGAATGAGAAGAAATGCTTTGAGCAGCACAGATAACAGCAGCAGCATTCTCAGGCCAGGACCGGGCTACCTCTCCCTACCAGTACAGGTGTCCCCTAGCGGGCATCTCAGATAGGTCAGCTTAAACTCATGACAAAGATATTGTGCAATGACATTGCCTCACTGCTTCTCTAAAAATAAATTAGTGGCATCTATGTCTACAATACACTAATGAAAACATAAAAATCTAGATGATGCAAAATATTGTATTTATGGGTATGATGTGATATTCTGATACATGTACATAGTGTATAATGATCCCATCAGGGTGATTACATTTCCATCACTTCCAACACTTATCATTTCTTTGTACTGGGAATATGCAAAGTCTTCTGGCTATTTTGAAATATGCAATAAATTATTGCTAACTGTGGTTCCCTTCCTGTCCTGTGGAACACCAGAACCTATTTTTTTCTTACCCAGTCACCAATGTCTCTGCCTCCATCCACCTCTCCCCACCCCACCCCACCCTTCCCTGCCTCTGTTAACACTATTCTACTCTTCACATCTCTGAGATCAATATTTCTTAGTTTCCACGTATGATTTGAAAATGTGGTATTTGCCTTTCTGGCTCATTTCACTTAGCATAATGTTCTTCAGGCTCATCTTGTTGAAGGACAGGATTTCATTCACTTTTATGGTTGAATAATAGTGCATGCACGCACGTGTGTGTGTGTGTGTGTGTGTGTGTGTGTGACATTTAGATTGATTCTGCATCTTGGCTACTATGAACAGTGCCGCATGATACCATCTCTCCCCAGTTAGAGTGGCTATTATCAAACAGACAAAAGAAAATAACAAATACAGAGAAAGAGGAACTCTCATACACTTTTTTTTCAATCTTTTTTTAGTTGTTGATGGACCTTTATTTTATTCATTTATCCATATGCAGGGCTGAGAATCAAACCCAGTGCCTCACCTGTGTGAGGCAAGCGCTCTGTCACTGAGCCACAGCCCCAACTCTCTCAAATGCTTCTGGTGGGGATGTAAATTAGAACAGCTCTTATGGAAAACAGTGCGAAGTTTCCTCAAAAAACTAAAAAGAGAGCTACTCTGTGTCCCAACAAGGCTTCCTAATTACTTCTTATATTGGTTTTTTTTATGCCATTATACATTCTCATTCTCTCTCTCTCTCTCTCTCTCTCTCTCTCCAAACTGAGTTGCCTACCCAAAGGTTTTCCTGAAGGGCTGAACCCACCAACTTCTCATGAAGTCACCCTGTCAGGCCCCATGATGGCCGTTGCCCATGCAGCAGCCATGGGGAGATGGCCCACATGCCCGAGGTCCCCATTCTCCTTTCCACAGCGTTGCCGGGTCCCAGGCTTCTCAGTTCCCTCCCGGAGAGCTCCACCTCCCAGCCCCACGGCCCAGCAGGACTGGGCTCTTCCCAGAGTGGAGGGAGGGAGTGTGGTGGGGCTGGGGGTGGAAACAAAGAGCCGGGGGAGTTATAAGAAGAACAGGGAGTGGAGCAGCCCTGGGGGGGGCTACATTTAAAGAGATGGGGTCTGGATCCCCAGACGAAAGAGGAAAAGATACAGTCAGAGAACAGGGGCAACCCAGGCAGAGGTGCTGACTGAAAGACCAGGGGTACAACTGGAGGCAGCGTGGCGGAGTCTCCAGCCCTGTGCCCATGTCCCTCTCTCCCCAGAGCCGAAAAGGATAAGATGAGCACCAGGATCGACGCAGTGTGCAGCTACTATTCAGGTCCCACAGGCCCGAGGCTGGACAGGGAGCAGTTGTACTGGGAGCTGAGCCAGCTGACCCATGGTGTCACCCAGCTGGGCCCCTACTCTCTCGAAAGGAACAGTTTGTGTGTCAATGGTGAGTGGCTCTGCTTCAGCTGGTGTCCCCAGATCCCTGAAGGGTCTTCCTGAGCTGTGGTTTCTCCAGATTCACAGACAGAGTCCCGGGCCAACCTAGAATGTCCATGGGGGCTCATTCTTCTCCCCTCAAAATCTTAAAAGGATGTTTTTTATTTAATTTTTTTGTTTATATATGACAGCAGAATACATTACAATTCTTATTACATATATAGAGCACAATTTTTCATATCTCTCGTTGTATACATAGTATATTCACACCAATTCATGTCTTCATACATGTACTTTGGATAGTAATGATTATCACATTCCACCACCATTAATTATCCCCTGCCCCCTCCCTTCCCCTCCCACCCCTCTGCCCTATCTAGAGTTCGTCTATTCCTCCCATGCTCCCTCTCCCTATCCCACCATGAATCAGCCTCCTTACATCAAAGAAAACATTCAGCATCTGGTTTTGGGGGATTGGCTAACTTTACTTAGCATTATCTTCTCTAACTCCATCCATTTACCTGCAAATGCCATGATTTTACTCTCTTTTATTGCTGAGTAATATTCCCTTGTGTATATATGCCACATTTTTTATCCATTCATCTACTGAAGGGCATCTAGGTTGGTTCCACAATTTAGCTATTGTGAATTGTGTTGCTATAAACATTGATGTGGCTGTGTCCCTGTAGGATACTGTTTTTAAGTCCTTTGGATATAGACCAAAGAGAGGGGAGCTAGGACATATAGTGGTTCCATTCCCAGCTTTCCAAGGAATCTCCATACTGCTTTCCATATTGGCTGCACCAATTTGCTTAAGCTGCACACGAAGATTCCTTCCACATTCATTCCTGTGCCCATTCACAGACCCAGCGGGAGCAGCACATGGCATTAGGGAAGGAAGAGGGTAAACCAGCCCATGGTGGCTGTTGAGGTCAACTGTGCCCCTGGAGCCCCCAGCTTCCTAACCGCAGTGATTGGTAACCTCTTCCCCTCCCTAACGGCAGCCTGGGATCCTTCATTCATCTCCAAGGGCTAGCCAGAGCTACACCTGCCCTGACAAACTAACCTCAAAGCTCTTCGCAATGCTGGTGTCCTGTGCAACAACGCCTTGGGCAACAGCATCAACAGTAACACCTGTAAGAAAGGCTAATCATTACTGAGGAATTCCTATGACCCTGAACTTCACATACAAAGTCTAGTAATCCCACCCAAAACTCTATGCACATTATGTCATAGAATCATCACTCTATGAGAAGCACACACACACAAAAAAATAGAAGTAGTTAAGGGAAGAGAATCCCTCTGTAATGGATGAAGAAAACACAAAAGAGGCTAACTACACATATAATGCTGTCTCTATTATTCATTTAATGAGTTTGACTTTATTCCAGGTACGCACTAACCCACACACACAATAATGAAGGGGCCCTAATTGCTGCTATCTTTGTGATTAATGATAATGAGGATAATAATATTGTGAGCAACAAGAGCACAAGGCAATTAACTAATAACAGTAGATGTTATTTATTGATGAATCTCAGAGAAGAGCTCAGGAAGATGGGGTCTTGAATTCTGTTTTGACTTCTGCTTCTCACTCATTTTGATTTTTTTTCTTTTTAATTGACACCAAATAACTGCACGTTATATATAGGGTGCAGTGTGTTAATTCAGTCCATGTGTGTACTATGTAATGATCAAATCAAGCTAATTAACATTTCCATCTTCTTATCATTCCTTTGCATCTGAAGCCAATGGACACCTCTCTTCTGGTGCATCATAAAATAATAGTTTGTAATCTACCATCATCCTACTGTGGTGTAGAATATGAAAATTATTCTTCATATCTTAACTCTATTTATTTATTATTTATTTTTTTGGTACCAGGGTTTAAACCCAAGGACATTTAATCACTAGGCCATATCCCCAGCCCTTTTTTTCTTAATTTTTACTTTGAGACGAGGTCTCACTAAGTTTCCTAGGGCCTTGCTAAGTGGCTGAGGCTGGGGACCCTTGCAGCCCTGCTGCTCAGCTCCTCCAGTTGCTGGGATTACAGGCGCCCGCCACTGTGCCCAGCTCATATCTAACTATACTGAGATATTTATTATGCAATGGCCCTCTACCCCTCCCAGCCTCCAGCAATCACTATTTCACTCTCTTCCTCTTTGAGATCAACTTTCTTGGCTTCCACATGAGTGGGAACATGCAGTACACGTCCTTCTCTGTCTGGTTTATTTCACTGGACATAATGTCCCCAGGGAAATACAAATCAGCCCACAATGAGATAGCATCTCACCCTGATGCAGGACAGGTGCAGCTGGGCACCCAGGAATTAAGAGGAAGCAGGTTTAATGGCTGCACTAGTTCAAAGTAAGGCTCGTGCCTAAAAAAAATCCTACGAACCTGGAGTCCGGAAATGCTTGGAACCTTATACCCAATGGCGGGGGGGTAGGGGGCCTTGGAAGTTTACATTTTTGTAGGAGTCTACATAAAAGTATTCTCTTTTCTTTTTTTTTTTTTTTTTGAGTTCACATAAAGTGCTTTTTGTCCCCTTTTTTAGATTAGTCAGAGGTTTTTACAAGACATCATCAAGTCTGCAGCCAAACTTAGCTTTTGCAAGATAGAGCAACTTAGTCCTCACAAAGGCATAGGAAGTCCTAACCCACCTTGAGTTTTTTTGGCAGAAATTTTCGCTAATATTCTGTTAATAAGAACAATTATGGGGAGGGTTTCTGGAAAAGCTTAATTAAGACTCTTTAGTGGAGGAAGGGGCATTGCTACAACCCTAGTTGGAATGAACGGCTATTTCCAGAAAAGAAAAAAGAAAGTGGTGGTAAAGGTATGGACAAAGGAAAACTCTTAGGCACCGTTGGTGGGAATGTGAAGCACATCCATTACGTATGGAGAGTCTTCAGAAAACTAAAAATAGATGACCACATGACTTCACCCTTTCCAAGCCTCCTCCTAGCATCTCACTCTTTCTTCCCTCCCTCTGCAGGTTATACCCATCAGTACTGGGCTTCAACCAAGAGCAGTGAGTATGGATGGCCCTAAAGTCCCCATGCCCCAGTACCCTTCCTCCCCAAGCCTGAGGTAGTGTGCCCCATCCCCTGGGTTCTCAGCTCCAGAGAGGCCCCAGGCCAGTCAAAGGTCTCAGGATGGACCAAGTAGAGCCTCAAGTTCCCATTAACAGCTGGCTCTCTTGTGGCTTCCCAACGAAGCTCAGTAATCTTTATTTGTGTTGTATTTTCTTTCAGATCTAGTGACCTCCACATACCCTCTAGGATCCCCAACATCTGTGACCCCTATTTCCAGCTCTACAGGTAGGAGTCTGGACTCTGGGTCCCCCAAAACTTCATCTCCCATTCAGCAGCTGATGGATACCTGCATAGTCTGGAACCAATGTCCCCTGCCTCAGCCTGCCTCACCTCTGCCGTAGCAGCCTCATTTCTATTCCTCCAGGGTCCACACATCCCTCTCTCTTTAGGGTTATTGCATTTCCTGCCCTTGGAATTCATCTGCTGGTTCCTTCTTGTCCTGCAGGTCTCAGCCCAGCATGTACCTGTCAGGGAACGTCCCCCCTTCACATCCCATACACACCTCTGTGCTCTTTTCCTTCTTGGTCATGATTACTATTTGGGTTTTTTTACTGCTCACGTATTTGTGGCCTAAGACCTAAGAACAAAAGGTCTCGGCTCCTCCTCTTATCAATGAGAAGTCCCTTGTCAACCTTTGTCCTTCTGGGCTGAGAGGACTGGGGTTCTCTTCCTAGCTGAAGTCACACATCCACTCTGGTTGGCTGCAGGCTAGCCCAAATGGGCTATCCCAGGCCTCACCTGGTGGACACTGTGACTCTAGAGACGGTTAAGCTCTTCAGCCCACACCCAGCTAGGCACTAACCCGACAGGCTCTCTTTCCCCTGTCCTCCAGCTGCAGGTCTACAACCGGTCCTGGTGACATTTACCCTGAACCTGACAATCACCAACCTATATTACACCCCAGACATGGGGCGCCCAGGGTCCTTGAACTTTAACTCCACGGAGAAGGCCCTGATTCGCCTGGTAAGAGCCAGCCAATGCCTACAGGGGCCTGCTGTGTCTTATCCCCCACCAGGCCCCTCAGCCCACCCCACTCATCTCCCTGTCCTTCCTCCCAGCTCGAGTCTGTGTTCAGGAACACCAGCATCGGCTCCAGCTACTCTGGCTGCAGACTGTCTTTGCTCAGGTGAGTCTTCCCTCCATCACATCACGAGGGACTGTGCTGTCACAGGCAAACCTACCTGGAGGTGAGGGCCTGAGCCTGGTCCCTAGACGGCAAGGATCATAAATGGCTGCAGCCGTCCAGGAACGCAGACATGGAAGACACTCTCTTTGGCTAAGAGCATTAAAGAGAGGGATTGCCAAAAGAGCTGGCCTTCAGCTATTTGGACAAGCAGAGAACAGAGCAAGCAGGTTCATGGATCAGCAAGGGCAGCGCCAACTCATTAGCAAACAGGAATGACAACTTAGGCCATTCTTGCAATGGTACTGGGGACACTGAGGTGGACCATGAGTCCTTCCCTCTAGGTGCCCCAACTCGAGAGAGGCAAGCAGCCACATGAACTGAAACCATAATGTGAGCAGGGTTCCTGTGACCACTGAACTCTACACGGGGGCCACAGGAGCCCAGAGCGTGGACTTTGAGCTCATCACAGGGGTGCTGGGTAGAGGCTGCCCGGAGAGGGTGATGCCCGAGGCCGGTTTTGACAGCTGAGTGTACATTAGCCAGAGGAAGCACTGGCCAAGGTGGCATTTCAAGGGTGGGCCATCGTGAGTAATGGCACATGTGAGAAAGAGCATGATGTGTGGCAAAGTTCAGTGAAATAGGAGGAGAGGGAGGGACAAACAGCGGACAGATCAAGGAATGGAAAAGAAAGGGAGGGAGGGAGGGAGGGAGGGGAAGAGGGAGGGGGAGAGAAGCGGGGGATAGAGAAGGGAGGAAGGAGGTGGGTTGCCTGGGAACTGTGTGGATGGCTGAGATCACAGCTGCTGGGGCAGTGGAGAAACAGCATCCTGAGAGGAGACCCAGGGTGGAGACCCCAGGCCATACCAAGGAGTTGTCACCGTGTTTTGTATAGCAATGAGGTGACACACAAATAGTCTCTGGTGTCCAAATGTGTTACATCACACTCTGTTTCTGACCCTAGCTATATGATGTTTGGGAAATTCTTTACTATGTATGTGACTTTGTTTCCTCAGTGATAAAATGAGCATGGATAGAGTTAATGACGCTGCATCGCATACTTGAAATTTGCTAGGTAGATCTTGAGTATTCTCCACACAGAGACACACACAGGAGAAAAGCGCTATGTAAAGCGATGGAAATGTTAATCAGCTTGACTGCAAGTAATGCATACGGGTGTCAAAACATCGAATCGTATTTCAATAAAGCTGTAATTTTAAATGTTTAAGAAACAAGAATAGCATCCATATCTATTTTGTAGAGTTGTTGACAAGATAAAGTGGGACAGCCATGGCAAAAAGTCGAGTACCCGGTAAAAGTTGTCCCATAAATATTATCACCTAGAAGTTGTCTTGTAAATATTAGTCATAATTTTATTCAGAGCCGGGGGGTCTCTGGAGTTGTCAGTGCAGCTCTGATTGGCATGATGTGGCTTGTTTTAAGTAAGGCATTAGCAAATGTGGTCAGGGATCATTTAAAATGATGCTGGATCAGGAAAGTTGAGCGGGCCATTGAGAAGATAGAAGGGACCTGGGTGCACCATGGCCGTGGGGAGAAATGCTACAAGGAGGTCCAGGAGGCCTCCAGACCTCTGGCACTGACACGGACAGAGAAACATGGGGAAGGAGCAGGCTTTGTATTTCAGGGGGACAAGATGATAAGCTGAACTTGGGAAATACAGGATCAAAGGGGTCTGAGGGCATCCTTGAGGCTGTTGGTCACATGAAGTGATGCTCAGGAGAGAAGTCTCTTTAAAGTGCAATTGTGTCTTATGATCATGAGCTGGTACCTGACACAGTGGGTGTTAGCCAAGAAGAATGGGGATCCAAAAAGGAGAAGTTGGTTGAGGATGAGGCTCTGGAGATCAACCAGTTTACAGACAGGCAGGGAGCCTGCACAAAGGACCAGACAGGAATGTGTCTGAGAAACCAGACACGACCCATAGAGAAGGGTCACGAAATCAGGAAGGGCTCGGATTGAAGGAGAGACGTGACTCTCCCACGTCTCTGGGTGTCCCCACTCCCACATCCCTGTCATGGCAGGTCCAAGAGTGAGGCGGTCACCACCGTGAATGCCATCTGCACCTACCATCCTGACCCCATGAGTCCCAGTCTGGACCGAAAGCAGCTGTACCAGGAAGTGAGCCAGCTGACCCACGGAATCACCCGGCTGGGCCCCTACACCCTGGACAGAGACAGCCTCTATATCAATGGTGAGTGACCACTACAACAGGGGTCTCCACAGACCCAGATCTCTCTCTACTGGTAGTTCTTGACTGGGGGTGACTTTGCAACCCAGGGGACATTAGGCAATGTCTGGAGACATTTTCATGTGACCCCTGTAGGGATGCTCATAGCATCTACTAGGTAGAGGACAGGGTGCCCCTAACCTAGAAAACACAAGATTCTATGAAGAGTTAACTAGAGCAAAACAGCTCTGACACAAACCCAGGTCTCCTTGAGAGCTCGTTTTCCACGGTCAGCACACTAACAGAGGCTGATTTCTTCTCCCCTTCCACCTTCGGAGATGAAATGTCTCTTATTCTCATCTGCTTCCATAAAGCCCAGCGGGAGCACCCAGATGATGCAGGGGACATGGGGTGCTGCAGAGTCCTATGGTTAAGTGTCTCCCCCAAGAGTCTTCAGGGGCCTAGTTCAAGTTCAGCCCTCACTCCACTTTTTTCTGTTCATCGTGACAACGTAAGGCACATTCTCAGGCCCCAAGAGCCAGCTGACTCACACTGCCCTCTGGAAACATCACCACCTTCAGTCAATACATCAGGAATGGTAGCTGTTGACACATCATAGCCAAAAAATACCCACACTACAACACTACTGCCAAGAGTAAAGACCACAACTGCGGCTCCCATTTATTCAAAGTTTCCTGTGCACCAGGAACAGCGATGAGGACTTGGCTTGTATTGTTTCATGTTAATCTCACGCAAGACTCTGGGAGTAGTGATACTCGTTTTGACCTAGAGACACTGTCCATTCAGGGAGGAAGTCATTTGCCCAGGGATCACCCAATTATAACGCATGGCAAAATGAAGATGTTACCCAAGGACTGGAGGCACAGCTAAACCAGGAAACTCAGCAGACCATCCAAATAGAGCAAGCCCCAAACAGAAGGACAGGCAGGGGCATCTGGTGACCTCTAGCTTAACAGACTAACCAAATGCGTAGTTTTCTCCCATCTCTATCCACTTTCTCCACTTTCCTTTATGCCTGGTTTGCAATACCTATACTTCTTTGTATTATCTGTAGCACGCGTTATTCTTGGCCCTTAGAAGGTTTGCTCCAAAATTGCAACTAACTTGCAGCAGTGGTGAACAGTGTGGACGCTGTTGAGTGACGGTTCTGTTTCGTGTGATGCAGGACAAGTCCTGTTACCATCTCAGTGTTAGGGTTTAGTGTTTTACGCCTGCAGAATGGGGTAAAAATATCACGTGGGATTGTTCTGGGTAATCACATGAGATCATTCAGGAATAACCCTAGTAAGTCTCAGGCCTCCTCTGGAGCCAATCTTTCATCTCCCATTGAGGATCAGAAGAAATGCCAACCATGACCCAGGCCAAACAAAAAAATCCAGTCTTCTCCCCAGTTGCTTCTAGGCTCCAACCACGATAACGTCCATCTGACCCTCAAGTCTCTCTCTCCCTTTACACCATCCCATGCCATTATCCAAATTGTTCTTAATATTCCAAACCATGCATGTCACTCTCTTCCTCCATCTCTTCCATATTTTCACCTCCCCGTGCCCCTCCTCAATTCGCCACAACTTTGTCAATTCCACATCCCCGAAACCCAGACACTAAGCTAGAAAAAGACCCCACCATCACCAAATTTTGTGAAGGAGATGAAGCTGAGAGAGCAAAGATAGAATTAAATTATCCTTACGGAGGGAGAAAATGTCCCTGAGTGTGTTTTGACCTCGAGTGAAGCACCGTCACCAGGGCCCGGCAGGTCCCTCTTGGTTACCACAGGCACCTCTTGTTATCAACCCTCAGTAAAAACGATGGTGATGGTGTGCATCCCACCATCAAAGAACAAGGCACAGAACAGGGACCCAGGAAAACGTTGCTTGTCTTCCCGTCTCATAAGTGTCTTCAGGACTCGGGTCTCCGGGGCTGCCACCTTCTCCTGCCTTTGCTGTGGCCATCCTAACAGGCCTTTCTTGCTGTCTCCGCCTCTGCAGGTTACAACCAACGGTCCTTGGCCCTTACCACCAGCAGTGAGTATTCAAAGCTGCGACAGATCCCCCCAATGTCCCCAGGAGCTTTCCTCTCTTAGAGCCATGGGAGAGAACCCGACGGTGCCCTCCCCCGAGCCCTGCAGATTCCGGACAGAGCCCAGGATCCAATTAACAGCTTCCTCCCCACACGCTTTGAGGATGGAGCCAATTTCCACACATTCCCTCCTGTCCCTTGTTCCTCCAGGGACTTCCACCTTCTCTCCAGGACTTCCTACCTCCCCGACCCCAGCTCTAGGCAGGAACCTCTCTCTGGGGTCTCTGGCATGGGGTCTGGCCCCTGCTGACCAGCAGCCCCCCAGCTCTCTAGCCACTCTGTCCCTCGCTCCCCCACTTTGGCCGCCCCACAGATGTCCTTGCTTTCCTGGCACTGTCCCACCTGAGGACCTCCACTCCTCGCTGTTTCTGCAGACTGGCCACCCCCTTCCCTCATACCTCCTTATTTTCCAAACGTTCCCAAGCCCCCTGCTGTGGAATGGCACCTTCCCTGTATTCCCACCTTGCTCCCAAGGGTTTGCACCATCCCATCCCCCTTTGTGTTTGTCCCCGGGAACTCAGCACCCAGTCAACACCCACTTCCTATTAATTGTTTGAAGGAGTCCATGAATGAAAGAAGCCACCTCTGTATGTTATTTGTGGATTCAATTCAGACATCAGCAAATTGTTAAAAATCTAAATCAGGAGTTTGGTTCTTGCCCTGTCCCCTCGTTTTTCCCAGATGTGGGTCTGAGGGCTCCCGAAGCTTTAGAAACCTTTAGAAACTTGTGGGGCTTTCTTTATGCCATGAAAACTGTCCCATCCAAACTCTTAAGCCTGAGCCACACTCTAGGGGCCCAATCACTAACCTTATGTCATCGAGGAGACAAAGATTTGGCACAGAGAAAATGTCTCTTTAGTTCAGAAATAAACATCTTTCTATTGGCACATCCACGTTCACAGCAGCATTAGCCATAATAGCCAAAAGATAACGAACAACCCAAGTGTGCACTGACAGACAAACGGGTAAACAAAAATGGAACGCACCTGTGCAATGGAATACTATTTAGTCCTAAAAAGGAAAAAAATTCTGATCCATGTTAAAACTTGAAGATATGTTGCTAAAGAAATTAATTTAATATAGAGTTTCAGTTTTGCAAGATACAAAAGCTCTAGAGATTGTGGCACAACCAACACAACTGGCCCTTCACCCCACCACCCCAGACGGAGGTCAGAATGAGCCACGGCCCCCTCTCTCTCCAGCTGCAGGTACAAGCTCGTACCTGGTATCCTTCACCCTCAACTTCACCATCACCAGCCTGAACTACACAAAGGACATGGAGCCCCCAGGATCTGAGATATTCAAGACCATAGAGAGGATCTTGAAACGCCTGGTGAGAGTGCGCCCATGCTCACCGTCCCATCTCAGTCTTGTCCCCAGCCCTTTGTCCCACCAGCTCACCTCCCTCCCTCCCTCTCGTCCCCAGCTCAGATCCGTGTTCCAGAATAGCAGTATCGGGCACCTGTATTCTGACTGCAAACTGACCTTACTCAGGTGAGTGCTCCAGAGAGATAAGCAGGCCACGGGGGAGATGACCACAAGCTGGGCCCCAGCACCCTGCACCCCCTGTCCTGAGGGCAGCTGACTCCCAGCTCCCATTCAAGTCCTTTCCTTCCAGAAGCGAAATAAAAAATGTGGGCTCCCTGGATTCTTTCCTTCCTGAGAGACAAGGAGGAAAGCTTGTATTGAGCACTTACACAAATGTTAAGTGCCATTGGGTCTATACTGTGGCCTCATTTCAGAGATGAAGAAAATGAGGCACAGAGAGGCTGGGACATTTACCCAGAGTCACCCAGTGAGTGAGTGGCAGAACTGAGATTTAAACAAGTGGACACTGCCTTCTTTCACCTTGCCGAATTCCCAGATTCCTTTCTTCCACCCCTTTCATCCTGTTTCTGTCTTCAGGGCTTGTGAGGTCTTGTTGCAGATGTCATGTTAAAGTTTAGTACACATATTGAATTTTTTTTTTTTGGTACCAGGGATTGAACCAAGGGGTCCTTAACCATTGAGCCACATCCCTAGCCCTTTTTTATTTTTTATTTTTTTTATTTTGAGACAGGGTCCTGCTAAGTGCTGAGGCCAGCTTTGAACTTGTGATCCTCCTTCCTCACTCTCCTGAGATGCTAGGGTGTGCACCACCGTGCCTAACAAATATCAACATTTACAGATGCCACATCCTCTTTGTATGGGGACCATGGCTGTCCTATTCATTTCCAGCCCAAGGCCACTTGATTGCCCAGCATCCCCCCCCCACCTTCTTTATCCCCTCCTTCAATGGAAGAGTCTCCACCACCCCATCCCTATGTCCCTCTCTGCCCAGGCCTGAGAAAAACAGAACAGCTACTGGAGTGGACGCAGTCTGCACCTACCGTCCTGACCCCATGGGCCTCGAGCTGGACAGAAAGAAGCTGTACTGGGAGCTGCGCCATGAGACCCACGATGTCACCCAGCTGGGCTTCTTCACCCTAGACAGGGACAGTCTCTATGTCAATGGTGAGCAGCCTTTAGTAACCACAAGCCAAAGCTGAGAATCCGCACCTAAGAAGAGGTGCAGACTTTCCAGTTTGCCACAGACCTGTCCTGTGAATTGTCCTCCACCTAAACAGCCCCCCTTGAGTAACCAGAAGGCACCCATGAGCCCTCAAGTTTGCAAGTCCTTCTCTTTCCCTCATAACTCCACATTCCAGGGCTGTGACCTGCACCTGTCTGAGCCACAAAAGCCTTTTATTCAAATGCATGAAAGAGAATATCCCTCTTGCTGAAGCCAACGGGGATTCCAGAGTCTGACCATTCACCTTTCTCCCCATCGGTGTCTCAAAATCCCCTCGAGATCCTGAAAAGCACAGCTTGCAAATATACACCATAAGAATTGGGGGGGGTATTTATCTCCCCAAATAACTGCAAGCCCATGAAGACAGAGACTGGGTCTCCAGCTTTTCTCTTTTAGGAAAGCACACGGCCACTCCCAGATCCTAAGTATTCCACTGAGTCCGTCTGAAGCCTCTGCTGCAGATGGGGACGGATGGGCACCTTCTCCTGCCTGCACTCCAACCCTGTCTCCTTTTCTGGTTGCAGGTTATAACCATCAGGCCTCCGGTCCCTCTCTCAGCAGTGAGTACTTATCCTTGATGACCATGTGCACAAACCTCTTGTGAACAGCTGAGTTCTCCCACCCTGAGTCCAGGGACGTGGAGAGAAAAGAAACTAGTGGACTGTCTCACCCACCCCCACACACTCAGTGGCCCGGGCTTGTCAGGGAGACTCATGGTGGCACCCGTGCCCAGCCCGGATCCCCCTCCTCACTCCATTCTGTTTCTCCTCAGCCGCTGTGAGCTCTACTTTGTTCCCAACGACTTCCACGGCGCACGCCCACCTCTCCAGCTCCACAGGTGGGTGACTTCTCTTTCCAACCTCTTCCGGGAAGTCAGCGTGCACAGCCTCAAAGCGAGGACCTGGGAGATGCGGGGGAAAGGGCAGTGTGGGGGGTGGCCGGGAGCTGCCACAGCCACCTCCTGCTCCTCTGTGAACGCAAGAGCCAGGGGACCTGTGCTCCTCATTTCCCTAGCCACGTTGACCTTGGGCACTTACCTTCTTCATCTGCCAAGTGGAGCTATAACATTTCCGAAGTTTGTTATGAATGTTCAATGAAAAGACAGTTATGTGACCGGTGACAGCATTTCAGTCAAGGATGGATCACACATGGGACAGTGGTCCCTTGAGATTATATCGCCCAGTGACATTGTAGCCATCTTACTTGTGTAGGTACACTCTATATGTAAGAACCTCGCACAGGGCTGGCAGGAAATTTGAGTTTGACAAGTATTTATGGGGTGCCAGTTCTCTACTGGGCTGAGGAAATCAGATGTGGTCCTTCCCCGGGGTTAGTGCCCTGGGTCACCTGGAAGGTCCATCCAGGTAGAATTGATAATAAGAGAGAGCCATAGTATTCAGCACTTCCTGTGTGTCCTCACACATGCTGTATTCTTTCAATTCTCAGCTTTTCACTTTGAATAAATAATTATAGGTTCAGGGAATGTTGTAAAAGTAGTAGGCACTTCCCTTAAACTCTTCATCCAATTTCCCCAGTGGCTACACCTTGCACAACTCTAATACAGTATCGAAGTCAGGAAATCAACATTGTTAAAATCAAGACCTCAGTCAAATTTCACTAGTTTCTTACATGCACTCCTGAGTGTGTGGGCGTGTGTGTGTGTGTGTGTGTGTGTGACCATTTTATCATATGGGCAGATTCCTGTAACCACCCCCACAACCAAGAGACAGAACTGTTCCAGCCCCACGAGGATCTCCCTCCAGTTACTCCTGTACAGTCATGCTCACGCAGCCCACGCCCTGGCACTCATGGATCTGTGCTCTCTCTCTATAATTTTATTTTGAGAAAAATTAAATACAGGGCTGGGGTTGTCACTCAGTGGTAGAGCGCTTGCCCAGCATGCATGAGGCATGGGGTTCGATCCTCAGGACCACATAAAAATAAATAAATAAAATTAAAAAATGTTTCCTTTTAAAAAAAATAATTAAACACAAATATAAAATAAATGGAAATGGAAATATGCCAGTTGGGCCTTTGGGGATCAGCTTTATTTTGTTCTTGTGCGATGCCCTTGAGATGTGCTGACTCTCTAACAAACAGTCATCTCACTTTCATCATGTCCCTACAAAGTAGGGTCCCTACAAAGTGTAGGATTCCCCCCTTTATAGTGGAAGCAGCTGAGGTTCAGGCAGGTAAACTGTCCACAGTCATCCGGATGGTGAGGGGCAGAGAGGGAATTTGAAACCAGACCCCACTCAGCCGTGTGGCCATAACCACAGTAACAAAGCTCTCAGTGTGGCCTCTCTGTTAATGGACAAGTTCTGGGAGCCATGGGAGGGGGTGCGCAGGGGTAAGCCAGTTCAGTAGGTGAGAGAGGATCTCCTTTAAGGACTGCTGTTCGGCGGATGTTCAAAAAAAAAAAAAATAGTTTGTTACATGTTAAGTGGGACTGAATTGAATTTTTCCCTTATACTCCCAACCATGACATTTCCCCAATCCTGTTCCTTTTAGCTCTTTCTCCAGAACCTGTTAGGGCCAGAACTCAATCCCTGGCCACCCTGACGGGTTCCTTAATCTGCATCTGGGCTTCTAACCTACTTCTGCGGCAGTTTCCAACACCCGGCTTTCCTCCCTACCTGGCTGTCCCTCTTCCTGTCCTGCCGGCTGCAAACCCTCCAGCCAGGTCCTCTGAAGTTGTCTTGAGGCCCAGACTAGGTCTGCCATACATGCGGTCTCTGTTTCTGCTCCCCAGGTGCGGTGGCGGTCCCTTTCCAGCTGCCATTCACCCTCAACTTCACCATCACCAACCTGGAGTACGAGGAGGACATGCAGAACACGGGCTCCAGAAAGTTCAGCTCCACGGAAAGAATCCTGCAGTACCTGGTGAGAGCCCCGCCCACCTCGCTTGGCCCCGCCCACAACCCCCAGACGGGTTCCAGCCCCACCCACCTCACCCGGCCCCGCCCCGCCCACCGATGCTGCAGCTCCTGCAGGTTTGTCTGGTGGTTCTTTCTCACTTCCCCTTTCCCCTCTCGCAGCTCAAAACCATATTCAAGAACAGCAGTGTGGGATACCTCTATTCGGGCTGCCGATTATCCACGCTCAGGTGAGATCCTCCCCAGGAAAAACCCAGCTGCACAGGTGGATGGGACCCTAAGCTCTGGGCTCCCTGACTGTCCACACTTGGAACCACTACTGACCATGGACACTACGCATCAACAGCACCACCAGCGGCTGTTACTATGACCCAAAGCGCTGTGCTGTGTATTTCCGGTTTAACATTTTGTCTGTCCAATCAAGAGCCTCGTGAAGCTGTTAGGGGAACAGAACTGAGGCTCGGAGGGAACAAGTGGCTTGTGGAAGATCACACAGAGCAACCCCAGCCCTTCAGGTTCTAGATCCAGACTCCCAGCCCCGGGTTTGTGCCGCCCCCTCTGCCCAAGCTCTGGCCTTGCAGATGTGGAAAGTCGCGAGAATGGGGGAGGAAAGGCGAGCCGAGTGTCACAGGGAGACTCCCAAGTGGGCCGGACTCAGCCCTCAGGACCTGCCCTGCCCTGGGGTGGGTGGGAGGTGGGATGGACACTGTCCCTGGAGAGCTAGGAAGAGCAGGCAGCCTGGGTTGGAGACTACTGGACCTTTCTCCCCAACATCCCACATCTCTCAAAGAAGCTCTAGGTCCCGCTCTTGAGAGATTCCTGTTTTCTCATAGTCATCTACCCCCAGCTCTCCTCTCTCCCCAGGAAAAAAGGGGGAAGGGGGTCTAGTGGCCAAGGGCCTCAAAGTCACAGAGACCTAAGCTCCAGCCCCAACTCTGCTATTTACTACAGTCTATGACTGTGACTCAGGCAAAATGCCCAAACCTTTCTGCTCCATTTCCCCATGATACATGCCTCAGATCTGTGGGTTCAACCAACCATGGATTGACAAGTCAGAAAAAATAACTGCACCCATTCTGGACATGTACAGACTTATTCATGATTTCCTAAATAACAAAATATAACACCTAAAAACATTGCACTAGGTATTAGAAGTGTTCTAGAGAGGGCTGAAAGTCTATAGGAGGATATGTTGCATACAAATACTCCATTTTATTCAAGGAACTTGAGCATTTAAGGATTTTGGTATCCCTGGGGGCCCCAGACTCAATCCCTGACAGATACTGAAGGACAACCACGTGGGGAGGGGATATATCTATGTGTGTGTATATATTATGCTAGTTTAATATAAATATTTAGGCACAAATATAATGTATAACAGCCTAATCTATAATATAATTATACATAATATAATCATATATAAAATACATAGACCACATATATTTACATATTAAGTTCATATTTACCTATCCCTAGATTATATTTTAAATCACATGTACTTGGTTGTATGTAATATAGAGGTTTAATCATCATTGTGGGAATGGAGCAACAGCAGCCCATAGGAATGCTTTAAGAATGAAGTGAAGCGACTGTGAACAGAGCACTGGGTCTGTTGCATTAATTATTTAATACATGGTAGTTGTTGCCCTGGGAGGCAACCTCCCAAGCTCTGGAGCCCCTTTCCCTCTGAATTGCTCTCTATACGAGGGGTGGCTGGGCAGATGGGTCTGTATCCCGTAGCTAAAGATGCATGTGGGGTCATCAAACCTTGTGACCTCAGGTTGGACCAGCCATGGTTTCAGACAGACCCACCAAACAGCCATCTCTCCCATGTCCTTTACCAACCTAGCCTCCTTAGGAGTGTCCCAACCCTGCTATTCCATAGGATCTAGAGAGGGGAACTTTAGCCTCTGATGCCAGCTCTCTGAAGGACAATGTCACTCACTGTGCTATGGTCACCTTCCTGGGAGTCCTGCTGCCCATTACACCCTGACCCTGAGCACCATGTTGTGTCCATCAGAACCTGTGTCAGGACTCGGCTGTCCTGACATCCCTGGGATGGCTCGTCCCCATGGACAGCCCCCCTCTGCGTCTGTTATGTGTCCGGTGCTCCAGAGGACTGGCATTTTGATCCTAATAATTGTTCACGGTGGGCGTTTCCATGCGGACAGCAGCTTCCTTGTTAACGAGGGTTTCCCCAGTTTCTGTGTCAGGAATTGGCAAAGAAAAAGAGGGTAGAACGGAGAGTAGTTGGACCATGTACGATATTTATCCAGGCCTGAGAAGGACGGGGCAGCCACCAGAGTGGACCTGATCTGCACTCATCGCCCTGACCCTAAAGGCCACATATTGGACCGAGAAAGACTGTACTGGGAGCTGAGCCAGCTGACCTATAACATCACCCGGCTGGGACCTTACACCCTGGACAAGGACAGTCTCTATGTCAATGGTGAGCAGCTGGAGGGGGTTGGAGTCCTCCTTGTTGACCACACTCCTTTCCTGGCCCTGTGGACTTGGCCCTGTGCTCAGTCTGGATCTCCTGGTTTCTTCTCCTCTTGAACGTATTCACCCTCAGGACCTTCTTCCCTGACATGAGGGTCCTGATGAAGAATCCTCTACAGCCCTTGCTTCATGAAGCCCCTCCACTGCACCCCAGAGTCCCTGACCCCTTCTTAGAACACTACCCCTGCCCTAACCCTTGTCCACCACCCCTCCTTTTCCCTGCAGGTTTCACCCATTGGAGCTCTTCCCTCGTCACCAGCAGTGAGTACCCGCTGATGTTCCAGTGACCCATCCCCACCAAGCAGAGCAGGGTCTGACCCTTCCTCATGTCCTCCTTGTTCTATCCAGAAGCAAAAAGATCTGAGAGAGAAAAGTTAATTCATTATCATTATTATTTATTTTGAGACGGGGTCTTGCTAAGTTTCCCAGGCTGACCTCTAGTTTTTGATCCTCCTGCCTCAGCCTCCCAAGTCACTGAGATTACAGGCATTCACCACCAATGCCTGTAGAGAGAGCAGAATTTTTTTACCCTCTGCTCTGCCCAGCTTCAGAGAGAGTCCAAGTTCAAGCCTCCACACCACAAACCCTGTAAATAGTCCCTCCTTCTGGCATTTCTACCCTAAGGGTGCCTTGCTGATTTCACTAATGAGGGCTTCTCCTCAGCTCCTAGGATCTCCACAGTGGACCTGAGAACTTCTGAGTCTCCATTCTCCTTCCCCAGCCACACAGGTAAATACCAGTTCATGGCCTCTCTGTTGGAGAGGTCCTGATGAGTGTGAACGTCTCTGACATTATACGATCAACTAAAGATGGAAAATCATAGTAAACCTAGTGACGATGAATCAACCAACAATCTAATGGAGCACCTGTGTTGTGCCAGGCCCTGGAGATACACTGGGGAACATAAAGCAGATCGTCAATGCTCTCTGAGAATTTATATTCTTCTGATGATAATGATGGTGTTGAACTTCGTGTTGATGGTGATGATGTCAGTATTGATGATGATGGCATAGGGATAATGGTGGTGGTGATGGTGGTGGTGATGATCATGGTGGTGATGCTAATGATGGTGATGTCAACGATGGTGATGGTGGTGGTCATGATGGTGACAGTGGTGGTGATGATGACGATAATGGTGGTGATGGTGACAGAGATGGCATTGATGACAATGATGATTTAACAAAAGTAACAGAAAAAACCTGAAATTTTTGAGTGTTGAACATTCACTGAGAGCCGTACTCTGCATCTAAGTGGCATCATCTAATATGCTCTCTTTTAAAACTTTCTGTCGTTAGAGATGAGAGGCATGGAAAGCTTTATCACTTTTAATTTAATCTTAAGTGGACTGGTTTTTTAGAAATAAGCCTACTGCAAAACTCATGAGCAAGGTGCCTTTGAACACTAGGTTTCCTTCCATTGACGCCAACATCAAGTACACCCTCTGGATAGAACAAGGGTGTCTTGCTCCTTTGTGCTTCGCCAGTTTCAACCCAGGGCCTCGTGCACGGTAGGGCTATAGGAAAAAGATGCATTCTCCTTTGAAAAGAAGGGAAGCTTATGGAAATGTCCTGGTTGTGTATGGGAATGCTCCTTTTCCTCCCTGGTTCAAATGTATCACCATTCTGTCAGATTCTACCCAGGACAACTATGTGGCACCTGTGCCGCTCCCCCTTCCATGGCAGACATCACTAGTTGATAAAAGCATCCACCAAACACCCTAGGCAATGGCTGCCAGGTCAGTTGGAGTTGTCACAAGAGTCTAAGACCCTGAGGGTGTCGGGGAGCCTCTTTGGTTTTCCTAGAAAGTGTCTGCAGGTTGAGAGGTTCAGCTCAGCCTCGCCCGGGTGTGACTGGATCCCAGCTGCTCCCCCACCCAGCCACCAGCCAGAAAGGGGCCTCAGCAAGCCTGGGCTGTGGCAGTCTAGATTGATCTCTACTCGTGGACTTTGTTTTCATTTTCCCTGAGCCACAGTTACTTCCTGGTCAAAATGTCACCATGGGTGCCTCAGAGTCTAGGGAGAGGTTGAATAAGGTTGGAATTAATAGTACAAGCTCTGGATGTAGACAGATTGTCGGGAGACAATCTCAGCCTGGGCCTGGTACATGGTCGGCTCTCAAGTAGTGAAGCTGTCAGCCCAGTAGTCCCTCAATTTCTGTAGGGTATTGGTTTCAGTACCTCCTGAAAATACCAAAATCCAAGAGTGCTCAAGTCCCTTATATAAATGGCAAGTCCCTCATAGCATCTACACATATCCTCCATAGACTTTAAATATCATCTCTAGATGATTTATGGTACCTAATTCAATATAACTGCTATGTGCCTCATTGCCATATTGGAGGACGGGGTGGATAGTGAGAGCCCCCGGTACAGAGAAATAGGATGACATTTCAAGAGAAGGAATTCATTTCTAAAGAAACTGAAGCATGTCCAGGCCCCTTCCTTTCCCTTAACTCCACTTTTTAACCAGCACCATCCATGGTCCAGGGCATAGCCGGGTCCTTCATTCTCTTTGCCACTCCAGCAGTCCTCCCAGCCACCTTGCCTGTCCCAGACACCAGCAGTGGTGTCCTGCCCCCCTGTTCTCCACCCAGCGACCGGAGGCAGCTTGTTAAACTCTACGTCAGAGTGTGGCACTTTCCAAGGCAAAACCTTCCTCCCACCTCACTTTGTTGTTTTGATGAAATAGCTCCTTCGCCGTGATACACAGGCCCCTGAAGGACTTCATCGTTGATGCCCTTTTGACTTCTCCTCCTCCTGTACCCTTCTGCTGCAATGTGGATATTGCTCCAACACAGCAAGCTCTTTCCAAGTTCCTGGGCTTTGCACTTGCTCTGCCTTTGCATGAAGCACTTCCCTCCATCGGCTTGTACCGCTGACTCCTCTTCTTCCTGCAGGTTTCACACAAATGCGAGGTTTTCCGACTCTCTGAACTAAATCGTACACTGTTGAGGTTTTTAAGTCCTTCACGCTTTTTGACTTAGGATGGATGGGTTTATATCCCCAAAAAAAACCCATCATAAGATGAAAATATCACAAGTTGAATGCATTTAATATATCTAGCCTACGAGCATTCTGCCTGAGCCCAGACTACCTTGAATGTGCTCAGAGCACATAACACTAACCTACAGTTGGACAAAGTCATCTATGGCAAATCCTATTTTATAATGAAATTTTGAGTGTATTGAGAAAGTCTCATACCTCACACCACTAGCCCAGGAAAAAAAAAGAACTCAAAGTGCATTTTCTACTGAATGCATATGGCTTTTGCACCATTATAAAGTCAAAACCCATCATAAGCCAGGGGCCACCTGTACTTGTAACACTTTTGTTGTATTTATTTGTTCACAGGCCCATTCCCCCTTCTAGGAATGTATTCATTCCCCACCCTTCCCATCCTCTGCTCCGTGGATTCTGATCCTTGAAAACTACCTTTCCCAGGTTCCTTGCTGAGTCCCTGCTAGTTTCAGCCAGTAGGAGGCGCTGGTGGGACCGCAGTGGGCAAGGCTGCAGATGAACCAGGGCATTTCTTCCCCTACTCCCTCGGTTTCCTGTAGCATCTCCAGCAAGGCCTGTGTCTCCTCCATGCTCTCGGCAAAAATCTGGTGTGCCACCCTCTTGTGCTTTTGTCCCTTCAGTCCTGTGGGACGAGAGGCTTCCTGGCTCTGCAAATCTCTTTGTGACCCTTTCAGTGTTTTATTGTCGCTGGTTTTGTTGTTGTTGTTGTTTCCTATTAAGCTCCCTCTTTAGAAATAGTTGACATGGATTCTATTTTCGTGGCCAGGACTCTATGTTCCAATGCCATGACCGTGCCTCCTGGTGTAGAGTAGGTGTTCAATAAATATTCATGGAGAGAAGGAAGGGAGGGGAGGGAAAGGGGAAAGGAAATTGCTGGACATGAGCCTGGTCACCTAATTGGGTCAACATGGAGTAAGTCTTAGGGTGACTTTGGGTACCTCCAAATCAGAGCTCCTGGGAGAAGAACCAATTCCCAATGGAAAGAGTGATTGGATGTGATGTAGGTGGTAGTCCCTGCATGCACTGGAACCAAGCTGTGTGGAGCTCTGGTGGGGAGGGTCAGAGCCCTGTGTGCAGGCCGGGGGCAGGCTGGAGGGGAGTGGACAGGGTGCTCATGCCAGCTCAAGACAGACTCTCTCGTTGCAGCCGTGAGCCCTGCCCTGATGCCCTTCACCCTCAACTTCATCATCACAAACCTGCAGTACGTGTCCGACATGAGGCATCCAGGATCCGACAAGTTCAACACAACCGAGGCCATCCTGCAGCGCCTAGTAAGAGCCGAGGGCCAGCCGCCTGCCCCCACCTTGCAGGGCCCCCACCCTCTTACTCACCTCCCTCTTCTTCCCCCGCAGCTTGGCCCTGTGTTCAAGAACACCAGTATTGGCCCTCTCTACACTGGCTGCAGACTGACTTCACTCAGGTGAGATGCCCAGCGGTGGCTGCTCACACCCCCTGGCCTCCTGGATTCAGTCCCTGCCTGCACCTTGTTCCCCACCTGCCCAGGGTGGCAACTCTCAGCTGAGCCCTCTCTCCAGTCTTTGTTCATCAGTTTTCTAGTCTGGCTTTTTTTTCCCCCTTGTTTTAACCAACATGAAGAACATCCCCCAGGAGTGAATGCCCAGCAACATCCAAAATTCTTCTATACTCAGGAAAAATTTAAGTGCAAAAAATGAACAATCTTTGTGGCATGAACATTTCTTAACCTGTATTGAAAGGGCTCCAAAGTAATGTGCCTGAGGGATTTGCCAGGCCTCGGGCTGCCAGACTGTTGGTCCATTTTTTTCCTCCCTTGGCTTAATCTTGGGAGTGGGGTGATGGGAAACCAGGTCTGATAGTGCATCCCTAAAAATGAAAATCCCAAATGCTCAAAAATCTGAAACTGCTTGAGTGTCGTATTGTCGTTCAAAAACTTTTTAATTTCATGGGACTTCCGGTTTCAGGATTGGGAATCCTCAAGCTTCAAAGTCTATGCAAATATTCCAAAATCTGGAAAACTCTGAAACACTCTAGTGCAGAGCATCTCAAGATAATGGATCTTCTATCTGTGTGTGGATTGCGAACAAGCTCTAGTCGCAACCACCTTATCTACTGAGCAATCGGAAACTTTAGAAATCTCTCTCTCTCTCTCTCTCCCTCCCTCCCTCCCTCCCTCCCTCCTTCTCCATCTGAGAAAGGCTTGTGACTTTTCCAGGCATTATTATTCTTGTAAGCCACATTCAGTATCCATCTTTCACATGTCCCTATCACCATGCCACCCTCCACCCAGGTCTGAGAAGAACGGGTCAGCCACCAGAGTGGACATCATCTGCACCCATCGCTCTGAGCCCACAGGCACCGGGCTGGACCAAGAGCTGCTCTACTGGGAGCTGAGCCGTGAGACTCGTGGCATCACCCGGCTGGGCTTCTTCACCCTGGACAAGGACAGCCTTTATGTCAACGGTGAGCAGGACGGCGAATGCAGCGCGCCTTCCCCCTGGGTCTGATGGCAGGCTGTGTGCCCCGGGGTCAGAACACAGAGACGTGCATATGCAGAGCCTTTCAGGAGAGATCAGTCTCCTAGAGAAGGGCAGTGGGGTGGGGTGGACCCACGGCAGAAACCTGAACTGCATGAACCTCATCCAGGAACTCTCCCCGTGCTCCAGTTGTGTTCTCTGGGATCTGCCTATGGTCTGCGCGTGGAGAGCACTCTCTAAATATGACTTTTAAAGAAATCCACGGGACCCCAGAGTCTTGCCTGTTCTCCCCAGTCCCCATCCTTCCCGTCTTCACGGTCTCTCTCTCTCTCTCTCTCCTTCTCTCTCTTCAGGTTACACGCACTGGGCCCTGACTCCCGTCCCCACGAGTGAGTAACTTGGGTCCTGGTACTGGTCTGCCTAAGAGCCCATCCATTCGCTCACCTGTCCTCTACCCCACGTCCCCAGAGAAGGAAGGGTCCCAGAAAGCCCCAGTCCTTCCCCAGCCCAGAAAAGAAATGCCCACCACAAGCTTGAAGCAGAAGAGGAAATGGCCTTAGGGTTCCCTCATGGGCCCTCCTTGGCCGGGGAGACCCTTTCTCCCACCACCTGTGCCTCCCTGTGTTCTCTCCTCAGCTGATATGGCCTCTGTCATCCCCCCGGTGACTTCTGCACTCCCAGCTCCAATCTCCACAGGTAGGAGCTTCCTGTGGGTGACTCCTCCCGTGCAAAGCTCAGGGGTCCTGGACCAGTGGGAGGCACCGTTCATTTATCCATGGGACAAGGACTTTTTAAGGCTCTAATAATGTAGCTTCAATGGAATAGCAATGGCCCTGGTCTTTGATGGGCTCCCAACAGGGAAAACAGAAAAGAAAGAGGTGCGTGTGCAGCCAAGGGCTGGCTCACAATGAGTTCAGAGGCTCTGGAGACACTTAGCAGGCGTGAGGAGGAGCTTCTCTCTGTGGGCTTAGTTTTCAATTCCAGGAAAGAAGGACACGGCGTGAGCTATGCATAGACCTGGAAGCCACCTTCTTGCAGGTCATGCTGACTTAGGGTTTGGGGCAGGCTCTGCTCTCCACGGGCCCAAGGTGGATTTCCATACCACCCCTGGCCCTGCGGAGGCCCCGGATAAGCTGGCCTCATTGCTGTCCCGGGTCTGTAGTTAGACATCAGCTCGAGTCTCCAGAGAGTGTTCCGACCACTGACCCCTCAGGCAGACTGGGCTGTCATTGTTCCTGTCCATGGCCCATGAAGCCTGGGTTCAAATCAGGTTCTGCCATCTGGACATTGTGGGATTCGTGGCACACTATTTAACTTCCTGTTGACTCACTTTTTACCTCTGTAAAGTTGGCATGGTAACACTGTCACGCTCCAAAACCATGAGTTCACTGTAAACAAAGCATTTAAAACAGGGTCTTGGGTGTAAAAATGCAGTAAGATTGTTTCTTCAAATATTTTTTCAATCAATGAATATGTGGATCTCAGAGAAACAATTTGGGCTAAACAGAAACTCAGGAGAGGAGACGGTCAGAATTTTAGTCACCTGGAGAGTCAGCCACGTGTGCTCTCTGCTTGAGGAAGCACTTATCTCCCTGGCGCTGAGTTCCCCACTCATGGCTCTCTGTTGATGCTGACGTCCGGGGTCTCCTCCATCCCTCTTCGAGGAAGACCCGCCCCAGTGCTTGAAGACACGTGTGAGATGCCCCACACGCAGCTTCACAGACCTGGAATACTCAGTGGGTGTCTTTCTCCAGCCACCCCTACAGAGGCTGGCTCTATGCTGGTGCCGCTCACCATTAACTTCACCATCATTGATCTGATGTACGAGGAGGAGATGCGTCAACCCGGATCCTGGAAGTTCAACATCACCGAGAGAGTGCTGCAGAAGCTGGTAAGAACAGGGCCCTCTGCTTCTTGCCCCACCCACCTGAGCAATGCCACGCCCTTGGAAGAAGACCCACCCACCTCCCCCTCCTATCTCAGGTGCAAGCCCCGCCCACCTCACGTCTGCCCCGCCCCTGTTCCCTCAGCCCTTCTCCTGACCCCTCTCTCCTTCCTCCCCAGCTCAGGCCCTTGTTCAAGAACACCAGTATCGGCCCTCTGTATTCTGGCTGCAGGCTGACTTTGCTCAGGTGAGTCCTTAGACTAGCAGGCCAGGGCTTCCCAATTGCTCCCAGGCTGCAGGAATTTGGTTGGCTTCTTTCCTGCCCTCCCTCTGGATGTCCTCAGCAGAGGTGGAATTCAGGAAGCACTGGCTCCAGCACTAAAATGTCTCCTTATCCCACTGCTTCCCCAGGACCACCCACCTGTGCCGGAATTCTGCAGAATCCAGCAGCAGGGCTGGCCCCTCCCTAGGTCATCTTTCTGAATTCTCCAACCCTTTTAAAAGAACCACTTATCCTTTAGATTTCAGTTCTGTCAGTAGGATTTTTCTCAAAACAAACACATTTTCTTCATTTGCTTTAATGCCCAACTCCAGGTCTTCACCTGTCTCAGGTATGACCTTTCCTGTCCCAGGCCACAAGGATGTAGGTTTGACTCTTACATGGAATAAGAGTTCTCCAATCCATGACTCTGCTCACAGTCCCAGGCTGGCTGGAAGTCAGCACCCTCAGAAAGATTTCTAAGTCTGGCTTCTCACCTCTCTATCATTGCCACTGCCCCTGCCCTACACATTCCATTTACTGTCATTTCCCCCACCTGTCCTCACCAGATCTGAGAAGGGTGGAACGGCCACTGGAGTGGATGCCGTCTGCACCTACCACCCAGACCCCTCAGGCCTGGGGATGAACAGAGAGCGGCTGTACTGGGAGCTGAGCCAGCTGACCCACGGCATCACCCAGCTGGGCCCCTACACCCTGGACAGGAACAGTCTCTATGTCAATGGTGAGCAGTGGCCATCTTGCTCTGCTGTGTGGCAGGGTCCAGCCATGTCCTCCCCTCCCATTCCCTCCTCCCTCCCCTCCTCACCCTTTCTTTCTTTATCTCCACAGGTTACACCCACCAGATCATGGCCACCACCACCAGGAGTGAGTATTCTGAGGCTTTGAAGTCTCCACCATCCCTATAAGTCCCTGTCCTTTGGAATGAAAGAAGCCAGAACCCAGTCTCCACTTCACACCCTACGCCACCTCCAGTCTAGGGTGAACAGGGTCTTCCTCCCTAAAAAACCCCGGGCCTGGCCATTCCCCTCCTGCTCTCTCCAAGGTAACAGAGTCCCTACTTCAAATATGAGGTTTTTTCCACCCCAGCTTTTATGATGGCCACCATTCCTGCAGGGGTGCTGACCCCTTTCTGCAGTCCTACAGATAGGAATGCTCCTCTCTGAAGATGGTTCCAGTGGTGTCTCTAATCACAGCAGGTAGTAGGAGGGGTGGAGTAGGTAACCTGTCTCGGGAGTCCAAGGTTGACTCTTGACGTGGGTGACAGGGTCTTCCCAGGACTCTGAGAATTCCTTGAACACGGGTCCCCAGCACTCAGCATCCCCAGCCATTCTCTGGGACCTGTTTCTGAAACCTATAGCTGACCTTCACTTCTAAATCCTTCCCCAACCCTTGGAGGAGCACAAAACAGCCAACCTATTTGCGAAGAATAGATTTATGCAGTGGCCTGAGCATCAGAGACCAAGTCAGTAAAAGATCATTTCCAGAGTTTAGTCCATTATCCAACTTCCCAACAGCTTGTTTTCATGAATACTACTCTTGAATAGATAAGACTATCCTTGCTACTTCTTTCTGAATGCATTGCTGTGGATATATACAAACATCCTCTTCCTGGCTCTATGCAGGGAATACGGTCCTTTCCTTTAAGTGGAATGTTAAGGAGAGTTCCATTTCTCCAAAATCTAGGAACCATGAGATTGTTTCTGTATTCATGAATATTTTATGTATTTGTTCCCAACCCCTCCAACTATTTTATTATGAAATTGCCAAAAATAACAAGAAACATTCAAAGAATAGCACAAGAAGCATCCATCTGTCCACCCTGGGATTCAACAGTTGCTGACATCCCGTTTGCTTCTTGTACATAGTAAGCTGTGCTATAACATGACCTAGGAGTTCCTCAAAATTATCACATGGTGAAAATGGGATTAGGATACCACACTTGGAAATATGGTCAGCAACAAAGTAGATCAGAATCTAATGCAACATCATGGTCTCACATACATTAAAGAGTTAGGAAATATGCAGATACCACACTTAAGTTCAGCACTTTATCTGTGGGGTCGAAACTTGTGGGTTATTTACAAGTGGTGGAAGGAAAGTTATCTGAAATAAGACAAAGTTCCATCTTCAGAGAGGAGAATTCCTATCTGTAGGACTGGAGACAGGGGTCAGCACCCCTGCAGAAATGGTGGCCATCATATTCAAATTCTTTCAAACATCTTTCTTTTATAATCTTAGTATCCTCCTAACAAAGGGGCATGGAGGAAGCCAGCAGGTCTTAGAGGTGTGTGCGTGTATGCGCGTGTGTATGTGTATATGAGTGCACATGTTGTGCCAGTCATTTTATGGAGGGTCATGATTTTCTGCACTTAGCATTTCACTTGTGTGTCCTGCAATTGCAACTGCACATAAGCAGATGTGGAATTTACATTATGTTCAAATTAGGCCTTAAGATATCAGTGAGCCTGAAAAAAAAAATCATGCTCTCAAAACAAGCAGCATTGTAGAACTGACCATGTAGATGTCAACAGAACTTTTTTTCTGGTCTGAGCCATTTGAAAATAGCACATAATACAATGCTTCACTGCTAAATAGGTCAGTGAGAATCAGAAAAATATCAGTTCATTGTCCTAGGTAACCACATCACACTTCAAAAATGATGATGGGGCTGGGGAAGTGGCTCAAGCGGTAACGCGTTCGCCTGGCATGCACGGGGCGCTGGGTTCGATCCTCAGCACCACGTAAAAATAAAGATGTTGTGTCCACTGAGAAACTAAAAAATAAATATTAAAAAATTCTCTCTCTCTCTCTCTCTCTTTCTCTGTCTTTAAAAAAAAATGATGATGATGCATCCATATCATCTAACATGCCATATTCAAATTCTTTCAAATATCTTTCTTTTATAATTAGCCTTTTTCAAAATTGAAGTTCCAATCAAATTTCTCATATTGATTATGTTAGTGTTTCATATCTTTTAGTGTACACAAATCCTACTCAGCAGCCCATTTTTAAAAATCATAACAATGACTTTTGGGATGGGGGAGTACCAAGGATTAAACCCAGGGTGCATAACCACTGAGCTATATCCTCAGCCATACACATACACACACACACACACATATACATATATTTTTTTGAGATAGGGTCTCACTAAGTTGCTTAGGGTCTCACTACATTGCCCAGGCTGGCCTTGAACTTGGGATCTCCTGCCTCAGCCTTTTGAGTCGTGCAGGATTAACAGCAGACACCACCATGTCTGGCACAACATTGACTTTTAAAGACAGCAGACCAAAATCTCATCCCACGATCTGACTTTGTCTAATTACTTCCAACATCTTGTTAAAGAAGAATATAATTGGAAGGAATTAGCCAAAATATAAGTCTTGTGAAATCAGCAACTTTGATAAATTAGGAAACAATTATTTGCTGAATTTCTGAGATTTTGGAGGGGAGGTCCTCTAATATACCGTGGTGTGAGAAAGAAATTAGTTCAAGTCAATACAAGCAAGTATCCCTTAAGTCCCCACTGTCACCTGTTCTGACATCTAAACCAGTGGAGGGGGAGGAATTGGGGCATTGATCAAGGAAAGCAAGATATGACCACTAGATGGCAGTAGCACGCAGTGTGCATGCAAGGGAAGTCCCTTGAAACAGGACCATCTGGAACTAGGGTTAGGGGTCACTTCTCAGGAAGGAACTCCTCAGGGAGAGGGGCAAGTGGAGTTTCTAGGTCAGAGTGCTCTGATGGGGAACAGCAGTTTAGGGTGTTTATAGCCATAGAATTTACCTTTTTGATACCTAGGAGATGTTGGGTATGGTTTCCTTGAGTATGCAAAGAAAGCAGGTTCTAAATGGCTAAAATTTGCTTATTTTGGCTTTGCTTGAAACAAAAGGATGTGTAAAAATTTGATAGAGATGCCGGCAAGCTTTTGGGTGAATGGATCCAAGCCTACTGAAGAGAAATAGATATTTTTTTTAAAAAAATCTGGGGACTAAAACACAGGCGTCATCTTTGACCTGTTTATGAAACACCCAGATGCTGCACTCTCTGGGTTTTGTGTGCACCCAGAGCTGGGGACCATGTGGCATAGAACACAGAGCCTCCCCCACTCCCCACCCTCCCTCCCCCTCCCACAGGGATCCACACCCAGGACAGGTCCAGGTGTAAGCTCCCCTCCCTGGCATCTCCAAGACCGTGGGGCCGGCTGAGCAGGGCTGTGTCCCTGCAGCCCTCTGCCCCCTATCTGGTCCAGGCCTGACCCAGGACATGACCCTTCCCCCTCTGGTTCCTCCACCCCAGCTGCCAGCCTTACCCTGCAGCACTTCACGGTCAACTTCACCATCCTCAACCTGCCCTACATGGAGGACATGCAGCCCGGCTCTGTGAGGTTCCAGTCCACAGAGACAACTCTGCAACACCTGGTGAGAGCCCCCAGCCACCGCCCCTCTTTCCCAACTCCCCCCCCCCCACCCACCTTCTTTGAATCTCTCTGCTCAATTTTGGAAGATTTAAAGGATTCAGAAATTGGAACTGCCACAAATCAAAAAATATATATATAGTTCTGTACAATCCAGCTATACAACTCCTGGGCATGTATCTGAAGGAAATGAACTTAGCATACCCAGAGATATCTGCAAACCATATTTATTGGGGCACTATTCACAGTAGCTAAGATATGAAATCAACCTAGGTGCCTATCAACAGATGAAGGGGTAAAAAATATGTGATATTATGTACACATATATGTATACACACACACATATACTCACATAAATTCATAAGTACGTACACACACAATGGAATATTACTCATCCATAAGGAAGGATGAGATCCTGTCATGTGCAACTACCTGGCAAACATGATGCAAAGAGAAACAGGCCAGACACAGAAAGACAAGCACATGTGTTCTCATCCTATATGTGGATGCTGAACAGTCAACCTGAATGTAGAACAGTGGTTACTCGAAGTGGGAAGGACTTGCCTTCTGGGTAGGGGGTGGACAAAGAGAGGCTGGATTTGATCACTGCCCGCTGTGTGCATCAATGGAAATACCACACTCAGGGGCTGGGGCTGGGGCTCAGTGGCGGAGCACTTGCCTAGCCTGTGTCAGGCACTGGGCTCGGTTCTCAGCACCACATACAAATAAACAAAAATCAAGTTCTATCAGCAACTAAAAAAAAAAGAAAAGAAAAGAAAAGGAAATACCACACTAAACCCCCTTAATGTGTACAGTTAGCAGGATAAATCAAAAATGAAAGATAATAAACAGTGGCTGAGGAGGAGCTCAGTGACAGAGTGCCTACTCAGCATGTGCCAGGCCCTGGCATGAAAATAAATAATTTTTAAATATTGTATTTTAAAATTACGATTCCTTTTACATCCATCTTTTCACTGACCCTCTCCTTCCTCGTCAGCTCAAGTCCTTGTTCACCAACTGCAGCATCGGTTCACTCTACGATGGGTGCAGACTGTCCATACTGAGGTGAGATTCCCTTCCGTGTTGCCTTAGCAGAGGTGGTAAGGCATGGGCAGGTTGCACTGGCCAGGATCTGGACCAGGTGGAACAAAGGAGGTCTCAGGGCACCAAATTTAGGAATGTGCTCGCTCTCAGGTGCCACCTCTGCACCTGCACAACCCTGAGAGCACCCGAGACCTCCCAGGCTCCGGTCGCCCTCCTCCCAGTCCTGTGTGCTGGTCTCTGAAGAACATCTCAAATCCACAGTCACACTTGCAAGACCTGAATAAGCCGTTTGGCTTCCATTTCACTTAGAACAATAAGGACAGGGCCAACAGGGTAGTGTCTGGTGTTTCGTTTTTGAGAGCGCCCTTTTGATGGTCCAAGGGTTGTCATTCTTCTCAGCATCTCAGGTGACAATTCATATGGAAGAAAACAAGGCCTCAGTGGTCAATGGATTTGCCTTGACTTAGAAATATCCCATCCCAAAGGAAAACCAAGTGGTTCTACCTAGCTAACAAAGTCAACACACCCAAGGCAGCTCCAAGTCAGACCTTCCTGCAAGGGATGGAGGTCTATTTATGGTCTTCCCAGAAATAGGTCTAGTCATTTTCACCACGTGCAATATTTCCAGACAACATGACTAATGTTGCACTTTTATCAAGCTTCTAATAGACCAGCACTAGAATCTGCTTAGCTCAAGGTCAATTCCATCCATCTGAGATACAAAGGACACTCTGTCCTTGATCATGCTCTCTGGCAGGACAATATAGTGAACCTTTCAGGTTCGCCCTTCAGGGCCCACTTTTCCTGCTGCCCCAATGAGACAGGAATGGAAAATTTGTGGTTACTGGAAAATTGAGCTATACAGTGTCTCATGCTCAGATGGTCAGACCCAGAAATTGGGTTGGATCCACTCTCCAAGAGTTGACGCATTTCTGTTCAGAGCTGGCTGTTCATTCTCACCAGCGACTGTGGGTCCTTTGTAAATATTTGTTTAATTAAGAAATTAATTAATTAGTGTGCACCTGTATTATAGCCAGCACCAGGGATGGATATTTTTCCTCACTTCTGAATCCCATGACACTCCAACCCCGTGGTCAGGGCATTATCCATTCAGTACAAATGGGAGAGTCGGGAGTCAAAAAAGCTTCTGTGGGTTTTTCAACAAGTGAAAGAGCTAAGGTTTAAACAGATGAAACATCCACTCTGGTCCTTTATGGCTCAGGGATGCCCCTGCTCTTGAGGGCAGCTCATGCCTGGACCCGGAGGGCAGATTACCAGGCCTCCACATCCAAGGGGGCTGACAGAAAGATGTCCAACCAAGGATGCCCTTCTGCCCCATCCCCACCCCATGTCCTTACCTCTGCAGGCCTGAGAAAGGTGGGACAGCCACTGGAGTGGACGTCATCTGCACCTATCATCCTGACCCTGGGGGCCTCGGGCTGGACAGGGAACAGCTCTACTGGGAGTTGAGCCGCTTGACCCATGGTGTCACCCGGCTTGGCTCCTACATCCTGGACAGAGACCACTTTTATGTCAACGGTGAGCATCTTGCAGCGATGAGGTCTCCTCTGGCACCCTGGGGCAGGGGGACCCCGGTGGCTACTCATCTCTAGCTAGAAGACACATCAAATCCATCTGCTTCTGGATTTCTCTCTCCTCCTCTCCTCGTGAGATTCCCCTTCCTCACCAAGGGCTAAGTCGTGCACAGAGAGAGAGGTGGACAGTCTGAGAACGGCTGTACCGCACACCATCTGGAAGGGAAGCCACCCCCTGACCAGGGTCATTCTGATGGCAGTTTCTACCAGTGGTCTATCCCTCCAGGCCTTCCGCCTCATTCTTGTTCACCCTCTGCAGGTTTCACCAGGCCAGTCCTGACCTCCACGGCCCCTGGTAAGTGCTCAGACCCCCAAAGGTCCCACGCCTCCACTGCCCCGTGAGGGGGCAGCTGGTCACATCCCACAAAGTCTAGGTCCTCATGGAGGAAGGAAGCCTCAGGACCTGGTCAGCCCCACCCCCAGCTCTCCTCTGTGACTCAGGCTGAGCACCAAGGCCCCTCTTTCTGGCACTGCCAGTGTGACGAAGCAACATGGCACTCATTTCCCATTCCTCCTCCCCAGCTGCTGTGTCTTCCCCCCTCTCCTTGGGAACCTCGACTGCTTTGACCACAGGTAGGAGCCTTGTCTCCATGTCTGCTTTCCTCCTGATCACGTGTCTTTACGCTGAGCAGTGAGAAGGGGCAATAAATATGCACAGGAGGTCAAGGCAAGGGGACAGGGTGGGAACGATGAATGTTTGAGGCTATACCCTTGTCACAGAGCAGTTCAGTTCCATCCCTAGGTTGGAGAGCTCTGTGATATCAGGTTTTCAGCCTCGGCCTGAGGCCCTGGAGTCTCTGAAATCCAAGCTTTGCTCTCTGTTGAAGATTGTATCAGTTAGCTTTTACTGCATAACAAACGCCCCTGATCCCTAGTGGAACAGACTATCATTTACGAAAATAGTGTGTGTGTTGGGAAAGTTATTTAGATTTTTTGAACGTGATTTTCATCCTCTGGCAGTTAGGAGTCAGTGATAGGACTCACCTCCAGGGACTGTGTGAGAGAATACATGAGATACTGGATGGAGAATGCTTAGGACCAAGGGGTAGCAGGGAGTGAGCTCTACCCAACATTATTATTATTATTATTATTATTATTATTGCTGCTACTTATTGTCATTGTTGGTGGTGGTGGTGTCTTTCAAAATAAAGTGGAGAGACATCTCCTCCTATTGGAGGAGAAACATTCTGATCTCTTATCCCAGATGTGAATACACTGGGTACCAGGGATATGGACTTGGAGTCCTCCTCAACCCCCAAATCTACTTCGCAGTATAACTCGGGTCTTATCTTCTCCCCCAATCTCACAGCAGCCTCTGGCGCTGCTCTGGTGGCATTCAGCCTTAACTTCACCATCACCAACCTGCTTTACGAGGAGGATATGCAGCTCCCAGGTTCTGTTAAGTTCAACAAAACCGAGAAGGCTCTGCAGAAGCTGGTGAGAGACCCACCCACTTCCCCTGCCCCGCCCACTCTCCTAGCCACGCCCACTCGTCATAGCTCCACCCATTCGTCGCGGGCCCCCTCCCACTCAGGTGTTCTATTCACTTCTATCCACAGCTCAGGTCCCTGTTCCAGAACACCAGTGTCGGCCTGCAGTACTCTGGCTGCAGACTGATCTCTCTCAGGTAAAATCTCCAGAGAAGATGTCCAGGAGGGAGACATGGTGGAGATTCTTATGTGTAATTCATTAGGACTTGGCCCTTTCCTGGGAGATTCTTATGTGTAATTCATTAGGACTAAGTCCTCCCTTTGACTTGGCCCTTTCCTGGGAGATTCTCCTTGCATTCCTATCCCACCCCAGACCATTGCCCAGACCTTCCCATCCTCCTGAGCCTCAAGTCTCCTAGGTATTTTCTAGAAACAAACTGAGGAAACGGGCAACTTGGAAATATGAACCAAACTTCTTTACAAAGGACACACCTACAGCCCACGACATCTATCTTTCCCTGAAGGTCAATGCAAAATAAGCAATCAGTATGTGCCAGACACTGGGATGAAGGACCTGGGGTCTTCCCACATTGGCACCATGGAGATTCTGAACCATTCTTATTGTGGGTGGCTGTCCTCTGCATCATAGGGCGTTGATTTGCATCTTTGCCTCTAAATTACAAGCTAGATGCCTATTGGACCCCATCCTCTCCCCACCCCCACAGTTAGGACAACCAAAAATGACTCCAGACCTTACCAAATGTCCCCCAAGGGTACAAGTTGCCCCTAGTTTAGAAGCACCAGATTTCAAAATCATGATAATTATCCCAATTTTACAAATGAGAAGCCAAGGCACAGAAAAAGCACTGAAAACCCAGAACTCAGGACCTGCCAGGTAGAGGACCAGGATTCACGTCTAGGGGAAGCATGTGCCTTTCCCCTCAGTGCTGCCCGGCCTCTTCCTTGAGAAGAGCCACAGCGCCCCGTGTCTATACCAACAGCTTCAGTCCTCACAACGCACATCAGTACCCCGTATTATTTTACATGATGCCCATCTTATAGCTGACAAACAGGCCCAGAGAGACTGCTGACGTATTGAGAGGAGGGAAGGGTGGCGAGTCAAGGAGGAAATGAGATGCTCTTACCTGGAGGGGGAAGGTGATGTCCCATGTCTGCTGCAGGGAAAGTAGGTGGGGGAAGCGTAGCCAGAGGCAGAGCAGAAAGCCGCACAGGAGCCGGCAGAGTGGGCAGCAGTGGGGCAGCCTATGGGTGTGCCCAGATTCACAGCAGGACATCGGGAATTCACTCCCAGAGGGGAGAGATCCATGGATGGATTTCAGCAAACGTCTAACGAGAAGAGATTTGCAGCTAGAGTGAGAATTAGCAGCCTTGGTGAGAATGGATCATGAAGTACAGGGCACCAGAGGCGAGGCCTGGATTCAGGAGGTGAAGGGAAGGGCGTTCTGCAGGGTGGGAACAAGCAGCATCCAGGGCGGTAGAGCTACACCGCCTTCTGACGCGGCCTATGGCACTCTTGTGGTTCTGCCAGAGAAACGCATCAGGTGGTGCCCTTGTCTGCGTTCCCAGATTCCTCCTTCCACAGGCTGAGAAACACCAAGGAGCCACCCGATCCTCAAACTCTGGCTTCTTGCCTCTGTACCAGGCTTCTCATTTCCTCACGCTGCCTCCTGTCACACCCCCAGGCTCCAAGCACGCTTTCTCCCCAACCCATTCCTGGTTACCCACCCCACCATTTCCAGGCCAAAGAATGGCGGCGCCGCCACGAGCGTAGACGTGCTCTGCACCCACCACCAGAAATCGGGGGCTCCGGAGCTGGACAGAGAGCAACTGTACTGGGAGCTGAGCCTGCTCACCAAAGGGGTCACTCAGCTGGGCAGCTACACCCTGGACCGGAACAGTCTCTTCGTCAACGGTGAGCAGGGCCATCTTGCTCTGCTGCGTGGTGGAGCCCACAGCATCCCCTTGCAAGCCTCCTCGGTCCTCCTCCCCTCCCAGCACCTCCTCAAGGTCACTCTCTCTGGCTCTCTGCAGGTTACACCCACCGGACTGCCATGACCACCACCAGTGGTGAGTAGTCAGTAGCCCTCTGAAGTCCCCCAGCCACAGCCAGAGAAGGAAGCACTAAGCCCTGACCTCATCACCAGTGGCCCAGGAAGGAAGAAGTTGGGGTCACAGGCTGGGAAGTCCTTGCAATCATATTATCACCACCGTGTCATTGGACACTTCTGGCCATATTTCCTTGGAAACAGAGAAATGTCACTGAATGATAATTGGGTGGAGAGAAGAAAGAAATAACGGGACAACTCAGTAGAATTGCTGCAAATAAGAACTGCCACACTGTGCCCTCTTTACCCGCAGTATGTGATGACCAAGCATAGGCCACACTGGTGATTCAGGCATTAGGCCCCCAGGACCCTCGTCCACTGCTCTGTTCTCCAGTGTGACGGTCACTGGTGTCAGGCCTGTGGCCACAGACCTGCCTGCCTGCTATATCCACCCCAGGCCTGACTCAGTGTGGGCTCTCCCCTCTCCTCTTCCCTGCTGTAGTGACGGGACTGGCCCTAGAGTCCATCACCATCAACTTCACCATCACCAACCTGCAGTACAAGGAGGACATGCAGCCCCCAGGGTCCTTGACCTTCAAGACCACAGAGAAGGCTCTGCAGCTCCAGGTGAGAGCATCCAGCCCCCGTCTCCACTCATTCCTGCCCTGCCCACATCCCTCAAGCCCCATCCAGTCACTGCTGCCCTTCCCACTGGTCACTCCCCTCTCCCCGTACCCTAAGCCTCCTTCACTGAGGACGACCCCTGTCAAGGATGAGCACGGAGCCATGCATCTCCTAATCTCTTATTCTCTCTTCCATAGCTAGGGCCCTTGTTCAAAAACACCAGCGTGGGTCCCTTGTACTCTGACTGCAAAGTGATTTTGCTCAGGTGAGACCTTAGAGCCACAGCCAACAGATGTCCCACGTGTTCCCAAACCGGGCAATGGGGTCATCTTCCTCCTGCACTCCCTTTTGGACATCGTCGGGTATTACGGCATCCTCTGGGTAACCAAGATGTGTTCCGATTCTACCACCTTCTCCCCGATAAGTCCTGGAATTCTGCAAAGCCCAGTAGCTGGGTGGGACCCCACCAAGTCACATTTTCTAAATTAAGACTTTCCCCTCTGAACGTTCCACAGGATGGGCCTTCACTTAGGCTTCCAATTCTGCCCGAAATTTCTGTTAAGACTGCTTGATTGAGTCCAGTTGCAGATTCCACCTGCCTCGGGTGGGAGCTTAGCTGGCCCACGCCATGAGGACGCAGGTTTCTGCCTCATGACGTAACGTTTCTCCCCAGACCAGCGCGGAGTGGCCAGAAATCACTGCACTTGGAGGCTCTGGGTCTCCTAATTCCCCTCTCTGTCAGGCTTCTCATATCAGTGCCCCTTCCTCCCCTGTCCCCAAGAACCAAAGAACCCCTCCATGAAGAGCTGTTTAATGTCATTCCTCTCGCCCTTCCTATCCAGACCCAGGAAAGATGGATTGGCCACCAGGGTGGATGCAGTCTGTAACTACCGTCCCGACCCTGTGGGCTCCAAGCTGGACATAAAGCAGCTGTACTGGGAGCTGAGCCAGCTGACCCACGGCATCACCCAGCTGGGCCCCTACGCCCTGGACCAGAACAGTCTCTATGTCAATGGTGAGCAGCGGCCATCTGTTCTGCTGTGTGGTAGAGCCCAGGGCGCCCTCCAGGTCTACGCTGCCTGGGTCCTCACCAACTCACAATTCATATATTCATTCTCCCCACTCCCCTCTCTCCCCCTCTCCTGCTGCAGGTTACACCCACCAGGCCACAGCAACTACTCCCAGCGGTGAGTCTACACAGTGAAATCCCTTGACTTCTGGGGGTCAAGCAGCAGACCCCTGCCTACGTACGTCTCCAGCTGTCAGGGAGGACAGGAACCAGGTCACAGGCTGGAAAGCCAGTGGGATAGGTCTCATCTCTGATGACCTTGTGTTGTTGCCTGGACACACACCAAGGTCATTAAATGTAATTTGGGTGGATGAACGAAAAAAAAGGAGGTGCAGAATTTGATGGGAAAAATATAAGTATTTAAAAAATTCTTCCATCAGAGCTTTCTGGTTTCCAGATTGTTCCTTCATGGCCTGCAGTGTGTGATAATCCAGGATGGACCACAACTGATTTAGGGGTTGGGACCCAAGAACTCCCAGGGCTTGCTGTATTCTAAGTGGGAGGGTCCCTGATTTAAGGACCATGGCCACAGACCCTGTCTGTCTACTATGTCTACCCAGACCTGACTCAAGGGGACCTCTTGACTCCCTCCACGGATGCAGCCTCAGGACTTCGCCTGGAGTCCTTCACCCTCAACTTCACCATCACCAACCTGCGCTACGAGGACGACATGCAGCCCCCAGGGTCTTGGATTTTCAACAGCACAGAGAAGACTCTGCAGCAGCTGGTGAGCACAGTGCCTGTCCCACTCGGGTCCTGCCCACTGGAGCCAGCCTGCCTGTGTCCCACCCTCGGATGCACCTGTATCCTCCAGGATCCCCACACCCACCAATGGTGCCATTGCCCACCTCTCAGCTGACCCACTCCCCCCTCTGTCTCCTCCACAGCTCAGGCCCTTGTTCAAGAACACCAGTGTGGGTCCCCTGTACTCTGGCTGCAGACTGACTTTGCTCAGGTGAGACTTAGAGTCACTGGTGCTCCCAGACCCAAGCAGTGTGGATGCTTCCTTCCTGCCCCCCTGTCCTTCCTGTCCTCCTCAGAGATGGCCTCAGGAGGCATCATCTCCAGCACCAAGGCCTCCCTTAACCCTTCCACTTCCCCCTCCAGACCTGTCTCAAACACTGTCCATCAGCATGACTGACCCTCATCCCCTCCCTCCCTTCTCCCTTTTACAAGAAGGGCATTTCCTCTAGATGGTGGATTCTGTTGCCAGGATGGATCTTGTGACAGACACACTTTCTACGTTTGCTGTAATCCCCAACTCGAGTTCTCCACCTGTCCCACCTTGGGACCTGCCTGTCCCCAAGCCATGAGGTGGCATGTTTCATCTTTAAAATTCAGGATCCATTTTCACACCTGCCAACTCTGTCGCAGTGGCCAGCTGTTCAGAAGCCAGTGCCCTCGGAGAACCTGTATCTGACCTCTCACGCTTCTGCGGGCCTTCTCATTGCCTCTATCATTTTCCCTTCTTGGTGGCAGTATTCCTGGCCCCTTTCCTGAAAAGGCTCTCATTCCTCTTCCTCTGCATTCTCCCCCAGGTCTGAAAAGAATGGCTCAGCCACAGGAGTGCACACCGTCTGCACCTACCATCCTGACCCCTTGGAACCCAAGCTGGACAGAGAGCAGCTGTACTGGGAGCTGAGCCTGCTCACACAAGGGGTCACTCAGCTGGGCAGCTACACCCTGGACCGGAACAGTCTCTACGTCAACGGTGAGCAGGGCCATCTTGCCCTGCTGCGTGGTGGAGCCCACAGCATCCCCTTCCAAGCCTCCTCGGTCCTCCTCCCCTCCCAGCACCTCCTCAAGGCCACTCTCTCTGGCTCTCTGCAGGTTACACCCACCGGACTGCCATGACCACCACCAGTGGTGAGTAGTCAGTGGTCCTCGGAAGTCCCACAGCCAGGGAAGGAAGCAACAGGCCCTGACCACATCGCCAGCAGTCCAGGAAGGAAGAAGTTGGGGTCACAGGCTGGGAAGTCCTTGCAATCATACTATCACCACCGTGTCGTTGGACACTTCTGGCCATATTTCCTTGGAAATAGAGAGAATGCCACTGATTGATAATTGGGTGGAGAGATGAAAGTAATAAATGAACAATTCAATAGAATTACCAGAAATAAAATATTAGATGTTCAACTGTCTCCTTGAAGCTTTGGAGGTTCCACATCTTCCCCTCGCTAACTGTAGGATTCGATGACTGAATGTGATCCACAATGGTGGCGCAGGGCTTGGACCGAAAGGACACTAATCCATTGCTGTAGTCTCCAGTGAGATCCTCCCTGATCTCAGACTGTGACCACAGACCCTGCCTGCCCGCAAAATCCACCCATACCTGACTCAAAGGTCCTCTCCTCTCCCTCCCCTGATGCAGCCTCAGGACCTCCCCTGGAGCCCTTCACCCTCAACTTCACCATCAACAACCTGCGCTACGAGGACGACATGCAGCCCCCAGGGTCCTTGACCTTCAACACCACTCAGAAGGTCCTGCAGCACCTGGTGAGCACAGTGCCTGTCCCACTCGGGTCCTGCCCACTGAAGCCAGCCTGCCTGTGTCCCACCCTCTGATGCACCTGTATCCTCCAGGATCCCCACACCCACCAGTGATGCCATTGCCCACCTCTCAGCTGACCCACTCCCCCCTCTGTCTCCTCCACAGCTCGGACCCTTGTTCAAGAACACCAGTGTGGGTCCCCTGTACTCTGGCTGCAGACTGACTTTGCTCAGGTGAGACTTAGAGTCACTGGTGCTCCCAGGCCCAAGCAGTGTGGGTGCTTCCTTCCTGCCCTCCTGTCCTTCCGTCCTCCACAGAGATGGTGAGGAGGTATCAGCTCCAGCACCAAGGCCTCCCTTAACCCTTCCACTTCCCCCTCCAGACCTGTCTCAAACTCTGTCCATCAGCATCACTGACCCTCATCCGTCCCTCCCTTCTCCCTTTTACAAGGAGAGCATTTCCTTTAGATGATGGATTTTGTTGCCAGGATGGATCTTGTGACAGACACACTTTCTACATTTGCCTAAATCTCCAACTCCAGTTCTCCACCTGTCCCACCTGGGACCCACCTGTCCCCAAGCCATGAGTGGATTTTTATTCTCCACCTTCAGGAACATTTTCCTGTCAGCCGACTCCTCTCCCAGGGGGAGGCCGTCCAGAAGTCAGTGCACAGGATGACCAGGCTGGCTTCCCACCCTTCCAGGGCCTCCTCATTTTCTCTGTCACTTTTCTGCCCTAATCAGAGGTATCTCTGGACCTTTCTCTGAAAATGCACTCATGCCCCCTGCTCTCCCCAGGTCTGAGAAGGATGGGTCAGCCACCAGGGTGGACGCTGTCTGCACCTACCGTCCTGACCCCGTGGGCCCCAAGCTGGACAGAGAGAAGCTGTACTGGGAGCTGAGCCCACTGACCCACGGCATCACCCAGCTGGGCCCCTACGCCCTGGACCAGAACAGTCTCTATGTCAATGGTGAGCAGGGGCCACCCGTGCTGTGCTCTAGGGTAGAGCCCACGTCCTCCACGTCTGGGCGGGCTTCGTCCTTACCCACTCACACGTTCATATTCATTCTCCCTCGCACCTCTCTCCCCCTCTCCTGCTGCAGGTTACACATACCAGGCCACAGCAACGAGTCCCACTGGTGAGTCCACAGTGACTTTGTCATGGTCCCTTGACCTCCATGGGGCAAGCAGGAGACCCCTGCCCACATCTCCAGCTGTCAGGGAGGGTAGGATCCAAGTCACAGGCTGGAAAGTCAGTGGGATAGGTCTCAGCTCTGATCACCTTGTATTGATGCCTGGACACACACCAAGGTCATTAAATGTCGTTTGGGTGGAAAAACAGACAAAAGTAGGTTCGAAAATTCATAAAAAATAGAGATGTGTAATAAATTCTTTCAACAGAGCATTGTAGCTTGCAGAACCTTCCCTTCTTACTTGCAGCATGTGACAATCAAGGCTTGGTTTAGGCATTAGGCACCAACGACCCTCAGCCATTCCTACATCCTCAACCGATGTGCTCCTTGGTGTGAGGCCCATGGCCACAGACCCTGCCTGCCCACATTGTCCACCCCAGACTGACTCAGGGGACCTCTCCTCTCCCTCCCCTAATTCAGCCTCAGGACCTCCCCTGGAGTCCTTCACCCTCAACTTCACCATCACCAACCTGCGCTACGAGGACGACATGCAGCCCCCAGGGTCCTTGACCTTCAACACCACTCAGAAGGTCCTGCAGCACCTGGTGAGCACAGTGCCTGTCCCACTCGGGTCCTGCCCACTGGAGCCAGCCTGCCTGTGTCCCACCCTCTGATGCACCTGTATCCTCCAGGATCCCCACACCCACCAGTGATGCCATTGCCCACCTCTCAGCTGACCCACTCCCCCCTCTGTCTCCTCCACAGCTCGGACCCTTGTTCAAGAACACCAGTGTGGGTCCCCTGTACTCTGGCTGCAGACTTACTTTGCTCAGGTGAGACTTGGGATCACTGGTGCTCCCAGGCCCAAGCAGTGTGGGTGCTTCCTTCCTGCCCTTCTGTCCTTCGCAAAAATGGTTTCAGGAGGCATCAGCTCCTGTTGCGTTCCTTGCATTAAAAAAACTCAGGGTCACTCCAGGGAAATGGCTACATGAAATAAACACACAAGAGACAGAGATACCTTTTTCTTTTGGGGTCCTGTGAGAGTTCTTCTGACCTTAAGTGTCCCCAGAATGAGAGAGAGTAAGCTCCTGCTTAATCCTTTTATTGAGGTAAAGCCATTCAAATGATGCAAGGGGTCAACATTCGGGGAGCTGTGCCTAGCTTCGTGATGTCTGCTATCAGCAGGTTGACTGACATCTAGGAAGGCCACACCCAAAGGCAGAACAAGAGAAGGGGTCACACAAATGGCATTTCCAAGGAACATTCTATTCCAAACAGGGCAAAGGGGTAACATCACAAAGGAACAGGTGAGCGTAGCTCAATCCATGGGCAACACACCTACGTCTGAAGACAATTTTGCTATTTTGAGGATCGGGGCAGTCAATATCCAGGTCACTACAAAAGTGACCTACAAAGCCTCTTCTGATAATGGGAAGGAAATGACAGTCACTCAGCGAGACCTCCTGTTGGTAGGCTCTAACAGGCTCTAGTCGCAAGGCCTCCTTTAACCCTTCCACTCTCTCCTCCTGACCTGTCTCAAATTCTGTCCATCAGCATCACTGACCCTCGTCCCCTCCCTCCCTTCTCCCTTTTACATTGCCTCTACATGATGGATTCTGTTGCCAGGATGTATCTGTGACAAACACACTTTCTCCATTTGCCTAAATCCCCAACTCCAGTTCTCCACCTGTCCCACCTGGAACCCTCCTGTCCCCAAACCATGAGGTTGCAATTTCATTCTCCAACTTCAGGAACATTATCCGGTCAGACATCTTCTCTTCCAGGGGGAGGCCGTCCAGAAGTCAGTGCACAGGATGACCAGGCTGGCTTCCCACCCTTGCAGGGCCTCCTCATTTTCTCTGTCACTTTTCTGCCCTAATCAGAGGTATCTCTGGACCTTTCTCTGAAAATGCACTCATGCCCCCTGCTCTCCCCAGGTCTGAGAAGGATGGGTCAGCCACCAGGGTGGACGCTGTCTGCACCTACCATCCTGACCCCGTGGGTCCCAAGCTGGACAGAGAGAAGCTGTACTGGGAGCTGAGCCCACTGACCCACGGCATCACCCAGCTGGGCCCCTACGCCCTGGACCAGAACAGTCTCTATGTCAATGGTGAGCAGGGGCCACCCGTGCTGTGCTCTAGGGTAGAGCCCACGTCCTCCACGTCTGGGCAGGCTTCGTCCTTACCCACTCACACGTTCATATTCATTCTCCCTCGCACCTCTCTCCCCCTCTCCTGCTGCAGGTTACACATACCAGGCCACAGCAACGAGTCCCACTGGTGAGTCCACAGTGACTTTGTCATGGTCCCTTGACCTCCATGGGGCAAGCAGGAGACCCCTGCCCACATCTCCAGCTGTCAGGGAGGGTAGGATCCAAGTCACAGGCTGGAAAGTCAGTGGGATAGGTCTCAGCTCTGATCACCTTGTATTGATGCCTGGACACACACCAAGGTCATTAAATGTCGTTTGGGTGGAAAAACAGACAAAAGTAGGTTCGAAAATTCATAAAAAATAGAGATGTGTAATAAATTCTTTCAACAGAGCATTGTAGCTTGCAGAACCTTCCCTTCTTACTTGCAGCATGTGACAATCAAGGCTTGGTTTAGGCATTAGGCACCAACGACCCTCAGCCATTCCTACATCCTCAACCGATGTGCTCCTTGGTGTGAGGCCCATGGCCACAGACCCTGCCTGCCCACATTGTCCACCCCAGACTGACTCAGGGGACCTCTCCTCTCCCTCCCCTAATTCAGCCTCAGGACCTCCCCTGGAGTCCTTCACCCTCAACTTCACCATCACCAACCTGCGCTACGAGGACGACATGCAGCCCCCAGGGTCCTTGACCTTCAACACCACTCAGAAGGTCCTGCAGCACCTGGTGAGCACAGTGCCTGTCCCACTCGGGTCCTGCCCACTGGAGCCAGCCTGCCTGTGTCCCACCCTCTGATGCACCTGTATCCTCCAGGATCCCCACACCCACCAATGGTGCCATTGCCCACCTCTCAGCTGACCCACTCCCCCCTCTGTCTCCTCCACAGCTCAGGCCCTTGTTCAAGAACACCAGTGTGGGTCCCCTGTACTCTGGCTGCAGACTGACTTTGCTCAGGTGAGACTTAGAGTCACTGGTGCTCCCAGACCCAAGCAGTGTGGATGCTTCCTTCCTGCCCCCCTGTCCTTCCTGTCCTCCTCAGAGATGGCCTCAGGAGGCATCATCTCCAGCACCAAGGCCTCCCTTAACCCTTCCACTTCCCCCTCCAGACCTGTCTCAAACACTGTCCATCAGCATGACTGACCCTCATCCCCTCCCTCCCTTCTCCCTTTTACAAGAAGGGCATTTCCTCTAGATGGTGGATTCTGTTGCCAGGATGGATCTTGTGACAGACACACTTTCTACGTTTGCTGTAATCCCCAACTCGAGTTCTCCACCTGTCCCACCTTGGGACCTGCCTGTCCCCAAGCCATGAGGTGGCATGTTTCATCTTTAAAATTCAGGATCCATTTTCACACCTGCCAACTCTGTCGCAGTGGCCAGCTGTTCAGAAGCCAGTGCCCTCGGAGAACCTGTATCTGACCTCTCACGCTTCTGCGGGCCTTCTCATTGCCTCTATCATTTTCCCTTCTTGGTGGCGGTATTCCTGGCCCCTTTCCTGAAAAGGCTCTCATTCCTCTTCCTCTGCATTCTCCCCCAGGTCTGAAAAGAATGGCTCAGCCACAGGAGTGCACACCGTCTGCACCTACCATCCTGACCCCTTGGAACCCAAGCTGGACAGAGAGCAGCTGTACTGGGAGCTGAGCCTGCTCACACAAGGGGTCACTCAGCTGGGCAGCTACACCCTGGACCGGAACAGTCTCTTCGTCAACGGTGAGCAGGGCCATCTTGCCCTGCTGCGTGGTGGAGCCCACAGCATCCCCTTGCAAGCCTCCTCGGTCCTCCTCCCCTCCCAGCACCTCCTCAAGGTCACTCTCTCTGGCTCTCTGCAGGTTACACCCACCGGACTGCCATGACCACCACCAGTGGTGAGTAGTCAGTGGTCCTGGGAAGTCCCACAGCCAGGGAAGGAAGCAACAGGCCCTGACCACATCGCCAGCGGTCCAGGAAGGAAGAAGTTGGGGTCACAGGCTGGGAAGTCCTTGCAATCATACTATCACCACCGTGTCGTTGGACACTTCTGGCCATATTTCCTTGGAAATAGAGAGAATGCCACTGATTGATAATTGGGTGGAGAGATGAAAGTAATAAATGAACAATTCAATAGAATTACCAGAAATAAAATATTAGATGTTCAACTGTCTCCTTGAAGCTTTGGAGGTTCCACATCTTCCCCTCGCTAACTGTAGGATTCGATGACTGAATGTGATCCACAATGGTGGCGCAGGGCTTGGACCGAAAGGACACTAATCCATTGCTGTAGTCTCCAGTGAGATCCTCCCTGATCTCAGACTGTGACCACAGACCCTGCCTGCCCGCAAAATCCACCCATACCTGACTCAAAGGTCCTCTCCTCTCCCTCCCCTGATGCAGCCTCAGGACCTCCCCTGGAGCCCTTCACCCTCAACTTCACCATCAACAACCTGCGCTACGAGGACGACATGCAGCCCCCAGGGTCCTTGACCTTCAACACCACTCAGAAGGTCCTGCAGCACCTGGTGAGCACAGTGCCTGTCCCACTCGGGTCCTGCCCACTGGAGCCAGCCTATGTCCCACCCTCGGATGCACCTGTATCCTCCAGGATCCCCTCACCCACCAATGATGCCATTGCCCACCTCTCAGCTGACCCACTCCCCCCTCTGTCTCCTCCACAGCTCGGACCCTTGTTCAAGAACACCAGTGTGGGTCCCCTGTACTCTGGCTGCAGACTGACTTTGCTCAGGTGAGACTTAGAGTCACTGGTGCTCCCAGCCCAAGCAGTGTGGGTGCTTCCTTCCTGCCCCCCTGTCCTTCCGTCCTCCACAGAGATGGCCTCAGGAGGCATCAGCTCCAGCACCAAGGCCTCCCTTAACCCTTCCACTTCCCCCCTGACCTGTCTCAAATTCTGTCTAAATCCCCAACTCCAGTTGTCCACCTGTCCCACCTGGGACCCACCTGTCCCCAAGCCATGAGTGGATTTTTATTCTCCACCTTCAGGAACATTTTCCCTTCAGCTGATTCCTCTCCCAGGGGGAGGCCGTCCAGAAGTCAGTGCACAGGATGACCAGGCTGGCTTCCCACCCTTCCAGGGCCTCCTCATTTTCTCTGTCACTTTTCTGCCCTAATCAGAGGTATCTCTGGACCTTTCTCTGAAAATGCACTCATCCCCCCTGCTCTCCCAAGGTCTGAGAAGGATGGGTCAGCCACCAGGGTGGACGCTGTCTGCACCTACCGTCCTGACCCCGTGGGCCCCAAGCTGGACAGAGAGAAGCTGTACTGGGAGCTGAGCCCACTGACCCACGGCATCACCCAGCTGGGCCCCTACGCCCTGGACCAGAACAGTCTCTATGTCAATGGTGAGCAGGGGCCACCCGTGCTGTGCTCTAGGGTAGAGCCCACGTCCTCCACGTCTGGGCGGGCTTCGTCCTTACCCACTCACACGTTCATATTCATTCTCCCCCGTGCCTCTCTCCCCTTCTCCTGCTGCAGGTTACACCCACCAGGCCACAGCAACTACTCCCAGTGGTGAGTCCACAGTGACCCTGTCATGGTCCCTTGACCTCCATGGGGCAAGCAGGAGACCCCTGCCCACATCTCCAGCTGTCAGGGAGGGTAGGATCCAAGTCACAGGCTGGAAAGTCAGTGGGATAGGTCTCAGCTCTGATCACCTTGTATTGATGCCTGGACACACACCAAGGTCATTAAATGTCGTTTGGGTGGAAAAACAGACAAAAGTAGGTTCGAAAATTCATAAAAAATAGAGATGTGTAATAAATTCTTTCAACAGAGCATTGTAGCTTGCAGAACCTTCCCTTCTTACTTGCAGCATGTGACAATCAAGGCTTGGTTTAGGCATTAGGCACCAACGACCCTCAGCCATTCCTACATCCTCAACCGATGTGCTCCTTGGTGTGAGGCCCATGGCCACAGACCCTGCCTGCCCACATTGTCCACCCCAGACTGACTCAGGGGACCTCTCCTCTCCCTCCCCTAATTCAGCCTCAGGACCTCCCCTGGAGTCCTTCACCCTCAACTTCACCATCACCAACCTGCGCTACGAGGACAACATGCAGCCCCCAGGGTCCTTGACCTTCAACACCACTCAGAAGGTCCTGCAGCACCTGGTGAGCACAGTGCCTGTCCCACTCGGGTCCTGCCCACTGGAGCCAGCCTGCCTGTGTCCCACCCTCTGATGCACGTGTATCCTCCAGGATCTCCTCACCCACCAATGATGCCATTGCCCATCTCTCAGCTAACCCAGTCACCCCTCTCTCCTCCACAGCTCAAGCCCTTGTTCAAGAACACCAGTGTGGGTCCCCTGTACTCTGGCTGCAGACTGACTTTGCTCAGGTGAGACTTAGAGTCACTGGTGCTCCCAGGGCCACGGAGTGTGAGTGCTTCCTTCCTGCCCCCCTGTCCTTCCTGTTATCCACAGAGATGGCCTCAGGAGGCATCACCTCCAGCACCAAGGCCTCCCTTAACCCTTCCACTTCCCCCTCCTGACCTGTCTCAAATTCTGTCCATCAGCATGACTGACCCTCGTCCCCTCCCTCCCTTCTCCCTTTTACAAGAAGGGCATTTGTTTAGATGATGGATTCTCTTACCAGGATGGATCTTGTGACAGACACACTTTCTACATTTGCCTTAATTCACAACTCCAGTTCTTCACCTGTCCCACCTGGGACCCACCTGTCCCCAAGCGATAAGGTTGCATTTTTATTCTAAAAAATCAGGAACAGTTTCCCTTCAGCCGACTCCTCTCCCAGGGGGAGGCCGTCCAGAAGTCAGTGCACAGGATGACCAGGCTGGCTTCCCACCCCTCCAGGGCCTCCTCATTTTCTCTGTCACTTTTGTGCCCTAATCAGAGGTATCTCTGGACCTTTCTCTGAAAATGCACTCATGCCCCCTGCTCTCCCCAGGTCTGAGAAGGATGGGTCAGCCACCAGGGTGGACGCTGTCTGCACCTACCGTCCTGACCCCGTGGGCCCCAAGCTGGACAGAGAGAAGCTGTACTGGGAGCTGAGCCCACTGACCCACGGCATCACCCAGCTGGGCCCCTACGCCCTGGACCAGAACAGTCTCTATGTCAATGGTGAGCAGGGGCCACCCGTGCTGTGCTCTAGGGTAGAGCTCACGTCCTCCACGTCTGGGCGGGCTTCGTCCTTACCCACTCACACGTTCATATTCATTCTCCCCCGTGCCTCTCTCCCCTTCTCCTGCTGCAGGTTACACCCACCAGGCCACAGCAACTACTCCCAGTGGTGAGTCCACAGTGACCCTGTCATGGTCCCTTGACCTCCAGGGGGCATGCAGCAGACACCTGCCCACATCTCCAGCTGTCAGGGAGGGTAGGATCCGGATCTCAGTCTGGAAAGCCAGTGGGATAGGTCTCAGCTCTGATGACCTTGTGTTGTTGCCTGGACACACACCAAGGTCATTAAATGTCATTTGGCTGGAAAACAGACAAAGGTAGGTTCAAAAATTCATAAAAATAGAAGTGTGTAATAACTTCTTTCATCAGAGATTTGTAGCTTCCAGATCCTTCCCTCCTGCTTGTAGCATGTGACAATCAAGGCTTGGTTTAGGCATTAGGCACCAAGGACCCTCAGCATTGCAAACTTCTCAAGCAATGTGCTCCATGGTGTAAGGACTATGGCCACAGACCTGCCTGCCCACTTTGTTCACTGCAGACTTTACTCAGAGTATCTCTCCTCTCCCTCCCCTGATGCAGTCTCAGGACCTCCCCTGGAGTCCTTCACCCTCAACTTCACCATCACCAACCTGCGCTACGAGGACGACATGCAGCCCCCAGGGTCCTTGACCTTCAACACCACTCAGAAGGTCCTGCAGCACCTGGTGAGCACAGTGCCTGTCCCACTCTTGTCCTGCCCACTGGAGCCAGCCTGCCTGTGTCCCACCCTCTGATGCACCTGTATCCTCCAGGATCCCCACACCCACCAATGATGCCATTGCCCACCTCTCAGCTGACCCACTCCCCCCTCTGTCTCCTCCACAGCTCGGACCCTTGTTCAAGAACACCAGTGTGGGTCCCCTGTACTCTGGCTGCAGACTGACGTTGCTCAGGTGAGTGCTTCCAGTACCAGTCTATGACTTCCTCAAGTGCTCCCCAGCTCAGGAGTTTGGTCACTTCCTTCCTTCACTCCTCTGGCTGTCTTCAGTAGAGGTGGAATTCAGGAGGTGTTGGCTGTAGCACCAGGAGTGTCCTAAAACTACAACTTCACCCCTCAACTCCCCGCCCCACCCCTGGATTTTGTAGAATCCATCAACCATACTGGATCTCCCACGTGATGGTCGTCCTTCTGAAATCTCACTCTACTCCCTTTCCCAATGAGGCCATTTTCTCTGAGTGTCAATTTCTCTCTCAGCACGAACTTGTATTCTCTGCCCGTTTTAATCAGCAGCTGCACCTCTTCTTTGGTCCCCAGTGTCTGACTCCTGCCCACGTGCCATGGGATGCAGGCTCCAAGTCTCGCCATTTAATAGAGACTCCTGAGTCCATGACTCTGCCCTCAGTGTCCCTCACAGGATCTTAGTCTGGCTTCTCACTTCTCTGCCACACTTGTCTTTGCCTCTGGCTGCTTCCTGACCTGCTCCCCCAAAACTCAGGACCCCTTCCTGGGCTCTCGACTTACAGCTGTCTCTCTTACTTGCTCTTCCCAGGCCAGAGAAGGATGGGGCTGCCACCAGAGTGGATGCTGCTTGTACCCACCGCCCAGGCCCCACAAGTGCTGGGCTGGACAGAAAGCAGTTGTACGAGGAACTGAGCCAGCTCACCCAGGGCATCTCCCAGCTGGGGCCCTACACCCTGGATAAGGACAGTCTCTGTGTTGATGGTGAGGGGCTGCCATCTGTCACAGCAGTTCCGTGAGTTCTGCACGGTCTTTCTCTCTTCTCTGATGCCCTTCCCTCTAACTCTTTCTCCTCCTACCTGTACAGGCTATACCCGCCAGGCCTCGACCACTACCTCCAGCAGTGAGTATTCTGGGTCTCTCTCAGCTCTCACTCTTGTAACCTTCTGCCTGGTCCAAGCCCTTCAAGGCCAGGGCTCCTTGCCTCCACTCCCAATCCCAGCCCCGTCCAACCCAGTACGTACAGGGAGCTGTACCTGCTAGTTCCCAGACCCCGGCATCTCCTCCCGAGCATCTCCTGGATGGTGGAGGCCCCAGCCCAGCACTTGGGGTATGTTCCCCCAACTTCTGCAGTTAGAGGATCCACTCTCTGGTAAAGGGCCGTGCTGGGATGCAGCTGTCCTTCCCTGCTGCGGCAGATCCTAAGTTAGCTTCCATCCAGGACTGTACTTGAAGTGAAGCCTCGGCCGCTCTGGGGTTAGGAGTGAACTTTGACCCTTTCCAGGTGAGGGCTCTGTCTTCATTTTGTGAATCATAGTAGTCCAGATCCCTGGGTTCCACCCTGCCCCCCAAACTGGGAGCTCCTCAACCAGCCGGCCCTCCCTGATTACCCACTCTTTGGATGGGGAAGAGTCCAGAGGAGATGCATAGGAATGGGGACTGAATCGGGGTGGCAAAGTCGCCTACCCCTGCACACATATCCCCAGGAAGGAGGCCCCGACTCCAGACTGTATGGGGTACAGAGAAAGGCACAAATTCATACACGGCAATCACCACTGCTGACCCCGTTCCCTTAAAGAGGTAACACACCTTGGGTCTCCTTCCTGGCCTTTTTCCTCGGCAGCCATGACCACCGCATTCTTCTTAGCACCCTCTCTGGCTCCGCCTGCCCCAGGTGGGAAGGCAGCATCTCCAGGATGCAGGCTTCTCTTTGCTCCAGTACAATTGGTACCGACCCGTTTGCACCTAATCATTCCTCTTGTTGCTCGCTCACCTTCCCCAAGGAACTCACCCATTTCTGTGGATTCCAGGGACCGTCTAGGTCTCAGGATCCAAATCCTGGGTCCAGCCCATGCCACACAGAGGTTACTGACCTGTGGCCCTCTCGCCTCCCGGCCATCACACAGGCCCCCTGGTCTCTGACACCCTAAGGAGAAGGTCCCCCAAACCTCCTCCTCCGTTGCCAAAAGCAGAGACAAAAAGCCAGGCTTGACCGTTCCTGCTCACCTCCTGCGTCCACCCCGCGGCCAATCTAACCCCTCCTCCCTCTGGGGTCTCCCAAGCCCTTCCTTTCTCTGCCTCACTCTGATGACACCCACAGCCTCCACTCTGGCCTCCCGTCACCCTCTGCACCTCAGCTGCCACCTCCCTCCTAAGGTACCTTTGTCCGTGGGGTTCCCGTCAATCTTTGGATGACTCTATCTGGTGTGCAAGCCACATCCGGACCCGTGTTCTGCAGAGTCATTCCTTCCCCTTTGGGTCCTTCCCTTCTCACATCGTCCCTTCCTACGGCCACCATAAGAGGACTTCCTGTTCCTGTGCGTCGCGGCACCTTGCTCTCTCCTCTTCCCAGCCTTTGCCCAGGCGGCTGCTCCCTCCTGGAGTCCACGCTCCACGGTGGACCCCTTACCCATGCTTTTGGTCACACCTGAAATGGCGCTTTCTCTGGAAAGCCATCTTAAGTCATTGCTTGGTGGCCTTCCTGGATGGTTCATGGCCTCCCCCAAAAGCATAATGGTGTTGCCACTTCCATCAGAGAACTTTGCACACATTAGGCACTCAATAAATGCTCCCTGAATGACACAAGGTTCCTGAAGTCTTAGGGATTCCACGAGGTCCCCCGCTGCAGTTCAGGCGTCTACAGCCAGCAGCCCGCAGTCAGGACGGGAGGCCAGCAGGGTGACTACTGTGTCTGACACCTTCCTCTTCCTCTGCAGTCAATGGCTCCTCCATGGTAGCGGTCACCCTCAACTTCACCATCACCAACATGCAACACACGGAAGAGATGGAGCACCCAGGGTCCTTGAAGTTCATCTTCACCGAGAAGATCCTGAAGCGCCAAGTGAGAGCCTCCCATGGCCACTCCCGGCCCCCTCACCCCTGCCCGCGTCACCCTGCGGCCAGGCTCTCTAACCTCCTGTCCCTTCCCACCAGCTCGAGACCTTGCTCAACAAGACCAGTGTGGGCCCCCTCTACGCCGGCTGCAGGCTGGCCTCGCTCAGGTGAGGCCCGGAGGAAGTGCTCACTCGGGTGGGGTGGACCTCAGGCACCAGCCAGGGAGCCTCCAGCACCTACCATGGGACCGCCACCCCTTCTTCCTGCCCAGGGGGAGCAAAGGCCTGAGCATTCGGTGGCTTTGAGACGAGGAACTGTGTTTAGTGTACAAAATCCAGGTGACACTCTGCCTTCAGGGAGGGTTCTCCTCTGAGAAGCAGGAGGACAACCCCACACCCTGTCTGCACAGTTTACTCAAGATGTGTCGGGTCCCCAGGGCCAGGAGGCCGTCTGATGACACACTCAGGACAGGCCCCCTGTGGCCTTGACAGCTGGCCCCACGGTGTCTCCCTCGGCCTTCTCCCCCCCACACCCAGATGGCTCAAGGCCCTCCTCAGCATCCCACGCCCCATGTCCCCCCTTCTCCAGGCCTGAGGATGGCGGAGCCTCCACGGGAGTGGATATGATCTGCACCTTCCACTCTGACCCCGTGGGCACCCGGCTGGACACGGAGCGGCTGTACTGGGAACTGAGCCACGAGACCCATGGTGTCACCCGGCTGGGCTCCTACAGTCTGGACAGGAACAGTCTCTACGTCAACGGTGAGGGGCTGACTCAGAGCCATGCTCCCTATGCCCGTTGGAGTGGGGTTTCCCAGAGTTCGAGCAAAGCCTCCATCTCTCTAGGGGGGACCTGGGCCCATCTTTCTCTCCTTCTGGGTCTGACTTCCATCTTCCTTGAGATCGACCTGGTCAGTGACCAGGTCCAGCCACCTGCAGTCCCGTCGCCCGATAACCTTCTCCCAGAACGTCCCTCCACCGCCTCTTTCCTCTGCTTTGACCCCAAAACAGTTCCCCAAACCTCTTCTATCCTTGATCTTCCGGGTCCCCCAGCTGACCCTCGGCTCTGCCTCACTTCTCTGTGCAGGTTACACCTTTGGATCCACGGCCCTAACCCCCACCAGTGAGTACCCCTGATGTTGGCTTCCCACACCCCCTGTCCTCGGAGAGGGAAGCACCACCCCCGCCTTCTCTCTCTCCTGGGCCATTGCAGTGTCCCAGCCCAGGGCGGGAGGGCTCTCCGGACACATTCCCCCACATTCCCACCCTCCCTTGGCTTCCATCACAAACCCTCCCTTCCTGCCGTCAAAAGGTAAACTGAGGCATGATTTTAAAAATGTAAACAGCTTATTCAAGTAGCAACTCGTGAAGCAGGAAGCAGAGGCTGAAGGGGCCTGGGGCTCTCCACCAGGACCCAGGACAGGGGGCCCTGGAGGCCCCACCCAAGGGCACACACCGCCCCCACCTGGCCCCCATGCTACCCCCTTCGGCCACGGTCATCCGTGCCAGCTTCCTCTCTTGCCCACCTGCTGTAGCTGGGGAGGTCAGCAGGGAGCCCTTCACCCTGAACTTCACCCTCCGCAACCTGCGCTACTCGTCTGAAATGCGCCACCCCCGATCCCTCAAGTTCAACATCACGGACACCCTCATGCAGCACCTGGTGAGTGGCCTTCTCCCCTCGCCCCATGCCCCCCCCTCAGAGGGCAGCACCTGCCTGGACCAACACAGCCTCCCTCCTTCCTCTCCAGCTCAGCCCTTTGTTCCAGAGGAGCAGCCTGGGGGCCCAGTACAGAGGCTGCCAGGTCACGGCCCTAAGGTGAGAAGAGACCCTGCCCTCCTCCACCCACCAAAGGCCTCGCCCCTCGGCTGGTGTGTGCTAGTTTGTTCTCTTCTTGGGCTTTTCAGTTCTTTATTTTGTCACAACTTCACTTTTGACATATAAAAATTGTGTATGTTGATATCCGCTGTGAAGTGATGGCCACCTTCCAGCTAATCCAGGTCTCTCTACCTAGTTACCACTTTGCGCCTTTTGACCAGTATCACCCTACCCCATCCCCCAGCCCTGGCAGCCATCGTCCTACGTATGGTCTGCGTGACCATTAGGAGTCCCTTTGTGACGATAGTGCTGGGAGGAGCTCAGGAGTGGAGATCGCTCTTTGCGATACTGATCTCATTGACTTTGGATGGACACCACACATACACACACACACACACACACACACACACATCCACATGCAGAGCTGAGTGGAATCCCGTAGGTTAAGGCCACAAGGGAGTTGGACACGGCATGAAGGCAGAGATGCCACACCTTTCCTTCCCACGGCCGTCACCCATGGGACGCCTGCAGGCCCAGCAAAGGGTCGATGTTCCCAGGAAAAGCAGCCTAAGGTCCCTGAAGTCACCTAGGCAACTGTTGTCATTATGACCACGCATCAGAGGCACCCTCCATAGCAGGCTAATAATGTATTTCCCGGCCGTGGGACCTCCAAGTCAGTTAAGAACAAGAGAAGCAGAGAACGTGGGGTTCTCCCCTGTAGCAGCCACCACCACTATGTGTTTCCAAACCTCTCTGTCACCTGAAGGAGAGGCCGCACGCCCTGGGCAGGTGCTCTGACTCCCGGGTCAGTGTGCATTCTGCTGGTGTTTACTAAGTGCTTCCCCATTCGTATTTCCCTTCAAGTGATAGCTCCTCTGAGCTAGGTAGAGCCACCAAAGTGACACAGACAGACACTGTCCCTGTCCTCATCCAGAAAAAAAGGAACTGATATTAATTAGGAAAATAAATACCTAAGGAACATGATTTCAAATGTCATCAGGTGGTGTGGGAGCATTAAATAGAGTGAGGGTGACATCTGAGTTGTGCCCCAATGGCCACAAAAACTTCCAGGCACAGAGAACAGCATGGGCAAAGGCCCTGGGTGAGAATGAGCTTGGCCTGCTCAGGGAAGACCAAGGAGGCCAGAGTGGCTGGAGAGGGCAGCCAGAGGGAAAGAAGGAGAAGATGAGATTCAAGACATTATCAGCATCCATGCTCTGTAGGGTCTTGGGGGACTTCTTAAAAATTGCAGTAAAATGCACATGTTGGAATTTGCCATCTGTACTAGTCAGCTTCACATTACTATAACAAAATGCTTGAGGCAATTCATTCACAAAGACAAGGTTTCTTTTGGCTCATGGTTTGGAAGCTCCACTCTATGGCATTATTAGCCCCATAGCTTTCAGCATCTGATGAAGGAGGCAAATTATTTCAGGAGTGTGTGGCAGAATGAACCATTTACATCCTGCCAGGAACCAAAAAAAAAAAAAAAAGATGATTGGTGGAGCCCCACTCTCCCCTTGGAGGGCACACCTCCTATAACCTGAGGACCTCCCGTAAGATCCCTCTTAAAGGCCTACAGCGCCACCTGGTGACTAAGCCTTTAGTAACGGGCCTTTGGAGGATTTTTTGGTGCACAATCCTTCACGCATGTGCAGCTGTCACCACCACCCGTCTCCAGGGCTTTCCATCTTCCCAAACTGAAAACTTCCCAAACACTGTCGTCCTCCAACATTAACTCCCTGTCCCCCACCCGGCTCCTGGCCCCTTTCTCCTTCTGTCTCGTGAATTCGACAGCTCCAGGAACCTCTGATGAGCAGCAGCACACAGTGTTAGACTTCCGGTGACTGGTTTGTTCCAGTGACATAAACGTTCTCATTCACGTTATAGCACGTGTCAGGTTTTTCTCCCTTTTCGGGACTGAATAATATTTCGTTTGTATGAAATACTTCTCACTTTTCTTATCCATCTGTTGGGGTAGGCCCATGGGCTGGGTGCTGGGACTTCCATATGACAACCATGAACTAGAGTAGTCCAGTTTCCGCCCTCAAGAGGCCACGTTCTGGAAGAAACAGGGACAAATGACTTATGATCCCGTCGAGAGTGACCAGGGCTGTGATGGGGAAGAACGGGGACTGCAGGATCCCCCAGGGCCCAGCGTCAGCAGGCTCTTGAAGGAGGAAGGGGGAGGGGGAGAGGAGGGGAAGGAGAGGCCAGGAGGAGAGAGGTTTCCAGACAGAAGTAGCCAAGCGGCGAGCTCCTGAGATGGGAAAGCACGGCAGGCTGTGAGGGGCAGTGACCACTCTCCACTGCAGGTGGGCAGGTGCCAGGTCACCTGCACCCCCCCAAAAAAGTTCCCCCGTCCCTCCCCAGGTCTGTGAAGAACGGTGAGCAGACCCAGGTGAATCTCCTCTGCACCTACCAGCGGCCACCCAGGGGCCCAGGTCTGTCCGCCCAGCAGGTGTTCCAGGAGCTGAGAAGGCAGACTCGTGGCATCACCAGGCTGGGCCCCTACTCTCTGGACAAGGACAGCCTCTACCTCAATGGTGAGCAGCCCTCAGCCCACCCACCCCCTGCAGCCCACAAGGATGCCAGTGTCGGGTCTCTAGGGGAGACTTAGACTTCGAACCCTGCCTCCGCGTCCGGCCTCCCACAGCCTCCCTGCAAGGCCGGTCCTTGAGGAATCCTATTCTACAGGAGAAACCGAGGCTCAGATAGGGTGGCTTCCCCAAGTGGGTGCAGCCCGAGGGTGTTGGTCCAGGGAAGGAGCCCCATCTTCCACATGCGTCGCCTGGCTCTGCTCTAGATATGCAGCTCGCAGAGGAGTCTTCCTTGGAGACACCTGGGGGGGGGGGGTGGAACCCATCTGTACCCCTGCCCTGCTCTCTTCTCTTGATGAGGGATGAACGTCTCTCTAGAGTGGGCCCCCTATGCCAGGGAGGAAGTCAGGGACTCTGGCCCAAGAGGGGACCCAGACCTCTGGGGCACCAGCATCAGCACAGAACCCAGAAAAGATAGAATTCAAGAGGGCGTCCCTGCATGGGGTTCTGAGTCACAAAGCCTGGCCGTGGGGAGGTTGATCCAACTGCTCCCTCCCTCCCCTCCATCCCCAGCCTGGGGACAGCTCAGAGCTCATCCCTGTCCTCACCAAGTGGGCAGGGCACATCCTGGGGTGAACGGAGGTGTGTGGCAGGCGGGGGCCTGCCCACCTTAAGTGGTAAAGACGCAGACTTATGGTGGGCGTGGGCAGCACGGGGTGACCCTCTCCTCACCTGTGACATCTTTTCCAGGTTACAATGAGCGTGGTCCAGATGAGCCTCCTCCAAGTACGTGTCCTGGCATCCAGAGCTCTTTTCAGCTTCTCTCCTTCCTTCCCAAACTCAGGCGGGTCTCCTGGGAGGAGCCAGGGTCTCAGTGGGGAGGGGGGGAGGATGCTAAATCCCTGGCCTCTTCTCGCACCTGTAACGTGGCGTTGGATTCTGAATTCCCCACATTCGTCCGAGTTAAGGGAGAAGTTTGAACAAGCATCCTCTGATGGAGGTCACACGGTGACCGTGTAACTTATGCCTCAAAGACCACGGGGTGCCCAGCAGGGGCTTCTTGGTGTCAAGCTGCAAACTCTGCCAGCTCCCTGGTGGCTTTAGCTAAAATTGTGCGTGCTGCCATCTAGTGGTCAACTCGGCTGCCTACCGAGCCGTCCATTCTCCATCAGGTCCTCAGACATCTTCTGTCCATCCTTCCGTCCATCCATCTGTATACCCATCCTTCTGCCTAGTTGCCTGGTTGTCCTTCCTTCCTCTATCTGCCTACACATCCACCTACCCACCAGCCCCATGAGCCTCCCAGCCATCTACTGAGCCACTCACCCAGCCACCCACTGGTCCTCCCAACTACCCACCCGTCAGTGCCTCTCTCCATTCCCCTTCACCCACCTGTCCTTCCTTCTCCACCTCCACGTCTCCAACCGCCCCTCCGCGCGCTCCTCCTTGCCTTCTCTTCTGACCCTACATTCATCCCTCCTTCCTCTCCGTCCCTTCTCTCTGCCCGTGCATCCCAGGGTCCTCTCTGTCCTCCTCTCTGTCACCCAGGCTCCCTCTGGGGTTCCTTTCCTTCGCAGGCTTGCCCCCCACCCGCCGCGCGCGTGCTCTTTCCGCTCACTCTGGTCCACGGTTCACCTGGGATCGGTGGTTCTGGCGTGGCCCCCAGTGCAGCCCAGGGGGCGTGGGGGCTTCTCTCAGACCTGGGGGCTCGGTGCTTCCCTGATGGTGACTCTTTCTGCAGCTCCTGAGTTAACTACCACATTCCTGCCTTCGCCCAAGACATCTGCGCAGCCAGAAACCACCACAGGTATCTGAGGGTCCCTTTTCCTCCCCAAGATCAGATCCCAGTCCCCCACCTCCACAGTCCCATGAAAATTAAGAAGCCAGGGTGTCCGGGTGCTGGTTCCACCCATTGTGTTGGAATAGTGCGCAAGACTCCCAGCTCCTCTCTAGGTGCAACCCGGCACCCACTGACCACCCCACCAACCATCCCCAGCATCTGGTGACCACCAGTCGACTTTTTTTTTTTTTCTCCCAGTATCAGGGACTGAGCTCAGGTTTCTTAACCACTGAGCCACACCCCCAGCCCTTTTTATTTTTATTTTTTTTATTTTGAGACAGAGGCTCACTAAGTTGCTGAGGCTGGCTTTGAACCTGTGCTCCTCCTGCCTCAGCCTCCCGAGTCAGTGGTCCACTCTTGACTTCTATGAGATCAGTTTCTTTAGATTCCACGTAGGAGTGAGATCTTGCAGTCTTTGTCTTTCTGTGCCTGGCTTCTGTCACTTATCCAATTCTCCAATTGAGATCTCCAGTTCTCTCCATATTGTCACAAATAACAGGATTGTCACAAATGACTCAGTAGCATGCCAGTGTACGTACCGTGTCTTCTTTATCTGTTCATCAGTTGATGGACATCTCAGTTGAGAAACTTTGTCCCTTCTCCTCCTCCTCCTCTTCCTCCTCCTCCCCCTTCCTCCTCCTCCTCCTCCCTTTCCTCCTCCTCCTCCCCCTCCTCTTCCTCCTCCTCCTCCTCTTCCTCCTCCTCCTCCTCTTCCTCCTCCTCCTCCCCTTCCTTCTGCTCCTCTTCCTCCTCCCCTTCCTCCTCCTCCTCCTCTTCCTCCTCCCCTTCCTCCTCCTCCTCCTCTTCCTCCTCCTCCTCCCCTTCCTTCTGCTCCTCTTCCTCCTCCCCTTCCTCCTCCCCTTCCTCCTCCTCCTCCCCTTCCTCCTCCCCTTCCTCCTCCTCCTCCTCCCTTCCTCCTCCTCCTCCTCCTCTTCCTCCTCCCCTTCCTCCTCCTCCTCCTCCTCTTTTTCCTTTTTCTTCTCTCCTTTCCATCTTTCCTTCCTTTGCGGTGCTGGGAATCAGACCCAGAGCCCTGCACAGGCTAAACCTTCTGTCTTTCCTGCCAGAGGCCCCTGGCAGCCTCAGTAACCACCGCCCTTCTCTCGGCTCCAATGATTTCAACTTTTTCAGATTCCACGTTTAAGTGAGGGCATACCGTATTTTTGTCTCTTTGTCGGATTGATTTCACTTAGCATAATGTCCTCCCTGCTCCCCCTTGATGGCTTTCATGACAAACCCAAAGTCTGAGCCATGGGATCCTTCGGGATGGAATCAAAGAGTTTTCTGGAAGAGGCTCCTTTGGGTCCGTGATTCTCAGCTTGGCAGCACTTGTGCCTACCAGGAGACTTTGGGGTCGTCACAGGTGGGGAAGACTACTACTGGCATTCAGAGAATAGCGTCCAGAGAGGCTGCCAACCACCCTCCAGGGCACAGGAGATCCCACCACACAGCTCCAAATGCCAGTAGCTGCAGGGTGAAAAACCCTGTTGGCCCTGGTCTCAGGGTTCCCAGAAGGCACTACCCTCACGTGCCACGATGTACTGTGATTACGCGGCTGATGACTTAACTGCCCCCTTGTCTGCGAGCTCTGTCAATTGAGATCCAGTGGATATGCCACTGTATCCTCCGTTTAATGTGTTGGTGCATCATAGCACAGAGCAAATGAGTGTACAATGAAAAACAAATGTCTCAGCACGCGCGCACACACACACACACACACACGCCGCCAAATTTAGGAATCTACTGCAGTTCACATTTATTGATTCAACAAACAAGGGGTGCAGAATGGGTTGGGAGGGAGACCAGAGGCAGGAAGAACCTCTGGGAATGCAGGGCCTCCGTCGGAATCTCCAGGGAAGGTGTGTGGCAGATGGGCCGTCCCCACCTGCACCTGCCCACCACTCCCCAGAGAGCCCTTCGCCCTCCCCATCACAGGGAACTCCCACGTCGCCCGTGGAGAGGTGAACAGGTAGAGGGCTGGATGGGTACGGGTGGACAGCTCGGTAAGGGGCCTCTGTGCCCACCTTTAAAAACCCAGCCCAGGTCTCGTGGCCAGGAAGAACGAGTCTGGCTGAAATGACCCCTTTCTTAAAACTCCCCCCACACAGGACTTTTTTTTCTTTGTCTACTCTAGAAGCGAAGCCGTCCACTCCTCTACCAACAGAAGTGCCCACCAGAAGTTCCAGCTCCCAGAACTTCCAGCTCAACTTCACCGTCACCAACCTGCTCTATACCCAGGACATGGCTCAGCCAGGCACAGCCAGACACCAACGGAACAAAAGAAGCCTGGAGAATGCGGTGAGAGAGCCTTACGTTGTGTCCACTCCGACTGTCCCCAGGCAGAGACCGGTCTGTGGTAGCCAAAGGGGGACTTGTTGTAACAGTTCTCATTCCTGTGGTTCAAACTAAGAAACAGGCCCAGAGAGGTTCAGTAGCTATCCCAGAATCACACAGCTATGCCCTACCCCCAGAACAGGACATCTTTTTACATCTGGGTTGGTTTTCATCAAAGAAAAAATAGATGGGAAAGGATGCTTGGAGGCCGTTAATTCTCTTTTACAACTGAGTCTGGGATTCTGACCTAAGAAACGTCGCCCTGTCTTTCAGCTCAACCAGCTTTTCCAAAACAGCAGCATCAAGAGTTACTTTTCTGACTGTCAAGTTTTAGCATTCAGGTGAGTTCCAACTAATGACCCTGAGAACTTCTGCTGCACTTAAATAAAAGTGTCCCCTTGACCACAGTCTCTTAGTCCCAGCTGTTACGAAGAGAGCCTTTGGAATATGGAACTGTTACCCCAAAATCCAGCTTCTTCCGAAAGCAGTGAGCCCAACTGTCTTGGAAACCCATAGCCCCAGCAGACGTGGGGGTGCCTGGCCCGGGGAGCCAAGGAGTCTAGAGTGTAGAATTCTTGCCTCAAGAAATCAGATACTGGGGGCCAGACTCAGTGGTGCACACCTATAAAAGGGAAGCTGACGCAGGAGGACGTCAATTTTGAGGCCAGCCTGGGCATCCTACCAATACTTGACCTCAAAATAAAAAATACAGAGGGCTGAGGATGTCGCTCAGGGGTAGAAATTGCTTGCCTAGCATGCGTGAGGCCCTGTGTTCAATCCCCGGGATCGCAAAAAGAACACAAGAACAAGAAGAAAAGAAATCACCTTCTGGAGTAAATTTACTGATGGATCAAAAGTAACAATATTCAAACTAGTTGGCTTCTATTTGACTTGGATAATGAGTTGATTTGCAGCCTGTGTTCTCCAAGGATGAGGGAAACTTTTGCAAGAACTACATAGGTACCAACGCTGCCTTCCTCCATCATATTAAAAGGAAGAGCTTTCCAGATCTCAAGAGTCTTGAGATAGTTCAGGACACTGAGGCAGGAGAATCACGAGTTCAAAGCCAGCTTCAGCAACAGGAAAGCACTAAGCAACTCAGTGAGACCCTGTCTCTAAATAAAATACAAAATAGGGCTGGGGATGTGGCTCAGGGGTCGAATACCTCTGAGTTCAATCCCCAGTACCCCCAAAAAAATTCTTATCAGAGAAGCAGGACCAAGTGGGTGCTCTAGACCCCGAGAGATTCCTTATCATGGGTCTTGGGTCTTTTTTTTTTTTTTTTTTTTTTTTTTTTGGTACAAAGGACTAAACCCAGAGGGACTTAACCACTGAGCCACATTCCCAGCCCTTTTTTTTAAACATGTGTTTCATTTAGAGACAGGGTCTCACTGAGTTGCTTAGGGCCTTACTAAGTTGCTGAGGATGGCTTTGAACCCACGATCCTCCTGCCTCAGCCTCCTGAGCCTCTGGGATTATAGGCCCTGCACAGTGGTGGCTTCTAGATCCTCAGAACACATCCCAGATCCACCAAATCCTCCTGTAAAGTATTCCCCCAATTTTCCTCTTAGGTTTTCTGTTCAACCGTGGGGCTGCTGCAGGTAGCTGTGGCATTGAACAATTAATGTCAATTGATGTTTAAATGAATATTAAATAATATTAATAGTGCACATAAAGGGTTTCACAGACATTCCCCCATGTCTATCTCAGATTTTAATCATATCCACTCCCAGCTACCCTCTCTTTCCCTCCTCTCTCTTCCCCCTCCCTGTTTCCCTTCCCCATCCATAACAATTCTTTTTCTTTCAGATCATCTTTTTTTTTAAGTTCCCTCATATGAGACACAACATGTGATCCTTGTCTTTCTGGGCCTGGTTTACTTCACCTAACATGATGACCTCCAGCTCCATCCATTTTCCTGCAAATGACATAATTTCATTCTTCTTTATGGCTGAATAGTACTCCATTGTATATATACACTATATGGACACCGTGGGCTGGTTCCAAAACTTAGCTACTATGAACAGCCACAGTAAAGATAGGTATGCAGGTGTCTCTTCTGTGTGCTCACTTGATTTTCTTCCGGGATGCACCCAGGAGTGGGATAGCTGCTCCTGTGATGGTTCTGCTTTTAGTTTTCTGAGGAACCTCCATCGTCGTGCTACACTGATTTACATTCCCACCGACAGTGTCTGCGATCCTTTCTGTCTGCATCCTCCCTGGTATTTGTTACTGTTTTCTTTTGCTTCATGTGTTGGGAATAGCCATTCCGACAGGGGCGAGGCGGAGTCTTAAGGTAGTTTTGATTGGCATTTCCGAGCATTTTTTATATACGATTGGCCATTTATAAGTCTGCTTTTAAGAGGTGTCTGTTCAGATCACTTCATTGGCCCCTTTGGGGTTGGATCACTTATTCTTTGGTGTTCTGTGCCTTGAGCTGTCTGTGTATTCTAGACGTGAGTGCTCTGTCGGATGAAGAGCCAGCGAGGATTTCCCCATCCTGTAGGCTCTCTTTGTTGATTGCTTCCTTTGCTGGGCAGAAGCCTTTTCATTTGATGTCATCCGATTTGTCCGTTCTTGCTTTTGTGTCCTGTGCGATTAGAGTCCTGTTCAGGAAATCGCTCCCTGCGCCGAGGTCTTTATTTTCCTCTCATAATTCCACAGTGCCAGGCCTTGCAGTAAGGCCTTGGATTCATTTTGAGTTGATTTTTGCACAGAACGAGGGCTGAGGATCGAGTTTCCATCTTCCACACGTGGATACCCAGTTTTCCCAGCACTCTTGTTAAAGAGGTTGCTGTTTCTCCAAAGTCCGTTTCTGGTGCCTTTGCTGCTGATTGTTTTTGACAGTGTCCTGGGTTGCCCTTCCCGGCACTGAGCAAGTTCTGAGTCAGAACAAATGAGGCGCTCCCTGAGAACAGGGCTTTTGCAAGGAGATGCGGGACAGGTCAGAGAGTGACAGTCCTCTGGGAGATGGGTGTTTGGGGATCACACTGGGGCGGCTAGTGGCTGCTTTTCATAGCTGCCAGGGTTCAAGACCGTTGGTTTTCAAAATTACGGAGGATTCTGGGAGAACAGCATGGAAATAAGGAAGTTGAAATGCCACAAAGCTTGCTCTCTTTACTGAACACTCCTAGGATTATTGCAAGCCTTGGGGGAATTCCTGGATTTCTGAAAAAAAATTGATTTTGACAACTGATTGTAGTGTGCTCACTGTTTGATGGAGTTTTTTTTTCAGAAGTCCATACTCCAACATTTCAGAAATGTTTTCCCTGAAGCTATTTATTTTTGCATTAATACACATTCCATTCCTCACTCACTCTGCCTAGCCACGTTTTAAGAGCTCTGTAAGAACATGGGGCTCAGAAGGACTGTCTCGGGTGCAGCCTTCAAAGAATGTTTATATGGAGGCACAGAGCTCCCCGCCACAGGCTCACATCAGGAAATCTGAACCAGGGCAGAATCCCAGATACCCTTGTCCAACCTTTGTGCCCCTCCAGGTCTGTCCCCCATAGCAACCACACTGGGGTGGACTCCCTGTGTTACTACTTACCATTGACCCGGAGAGTGGACAGAATTACCATCTATGAGGAATTCCTGCGGCTGACCCAGAATGGCACCCACCTGCTGAACTTCACCCTGGACAGGAGCAGTGTCCTTGTGGATGGTAAGTCTCCCAGATCCTTGGAGCTGGGACAGAGGCTCCAACCTCCACACCTGGGGATTCCTTGGAATCTCAAGGCCTTGGGGTGGAACAGCACTGAAGCGTCTCAGATGAGTAAGAGGTGGTGTAGTCCCTGCAGGCTTCACCCACCGTTGAGGGAGAAAGGAAAGACACCCAGAGGGAACAAGGGAGGGTTTCACCCTCTCCCAGAAAGCTCTGTGACCTCAGACTTCAGACAAGACACTTCTCTCTGGACTCCTCCTATCTCTGCCCTGCAGGCCTCTTAATAAGGTAGTCAGCTCCACGCTGTGTGTGATCCAGTCTCAGAAAACATGATAGGATGGATGGACCCCTTTTCTGACCCAGAAGTGCCTCCTACATGGCTAACTCTTGCGCGTACGAATGTACTCATTTGAACAATGGTTGTGTGTGTGTTGCAGCGAACACCGGCAACGTCAGGATTAGAGCGACTTCACTTGTTCACTCTTACATTCCAAGAACCCTGTGTTCCTCCTAGCACATAACTCAACACAGCTCTGGAAGGAATAGCTAGAGCTGGGGGTGGAGCTTAGGGGAAGAGGACTTGCCTTGCATATGCAAGGTCCTGGGTTCCCTCCCAGGGCGGAACAGGTCCATCAACAGGTCCATCAGCTGTGTCACAGTGGCACACACCTGTGATCCCAGCAGCTCGGGAGGCTGAGGCAGGAGGGTCGCGAGTTCAAAGCCAGCCTCAGTAATGGAGAGGCACTAAGCAACTCAGTGAGACCCTATCTCTTTAGAAAATACATAACAGGGCTGCAGATGTGGTTCAGTGGTGAAGTGCCCCTGAGTTCAATCACCAGTACCCACCCCAAAAAAAAAGTGAAGTATACTCACCTGCACTCTCCATTTCCTTCATTTCTAGGATATTCTCCCACCATAAATGATGCTATGACTAGAACTTCTGGTAAGTTTCAAAGTAGCCCCTGCCCAGGCAGGGAGGGGACGTCCTCATGTCAACCCCTGGCAAGGGCCCCTGAGGCACAGTGGAGAGGCCTCAGATGTCCTGGCCTCCTGGGGTGGGAGCTTGCAGGGGGCTTCAGAGCCATTAGGTGTTGAGCTGCTAAGCTCCCCCCCACAAGTCCATGCCCGTCCTCAGGCCACATGGGGTCAAAGGGAGCCCTAGGAGGTGGCTCACCCAACACCTGTCTCCCCAGCCCTTCCCTTCTGGGCCATCATCCTCATCTGCTTGGCGGGACTCCTGGGACTCATCACGTGCCTGATCTGCTGTTACCTGGTGAGCGAGGGAGAGTTACCTGTCTTCTTATGATTGGGTTGTAAGAATTTTTAACGCGGTCACGCACCACATAATGACGTTTTGGTCCGTGACGGGCTTCATGCATGACCTCGGCCCCAAGAGATCCTCTCACCCGGTGATGCCACAGCCACCTTGGCTGGTGCAGTGTACTCTGTGGTGTTTGCACAATGACAAAGGTGACTGAGGTGCATTCTTCAGAGGCAGCCCATCCTTAAGTGATGCATGGCTGCTTACTATAAACACAAGGCCTTTGCTGGAGATACGTTTTGCATGTATTTTTCCCTAGTGATTTTGTAGCTTGCCTTTTTTAAATTTAAATTTTAACTGGCAAATAATAAATGAATACACGTATGGTATATGATGCGATACTTTGATATACACAATGAAATGGTGAGACCAAGCTCATTAACAGACCCATTGTCGCATTTTTGTGATGGGAACATTTGAAATCTACTCTCAGCAATTTTGGAATACACACTGCATTATTATTACCTGTAGTCACCATGTTGCACAATAAGTCAAAATCTAACATTAACCATTGGAGAAATGTACATGGAAGTCACAGCGAGACACCACCAGGCGTGAGAAAGACAAAAGTTAAAAAGACTGACGATGCAGTCTGGTGGCTGCCTGGGAGTGAAAATGTATTTGCGAGTAGCAGGGAAAGAGGAATTATAAGGGCACAGGAGGATAATCTCGGAGGTGATGTGTGATGTCATATCCAGAACACATCAAACCCTTCACTCTGAAGGCATGCAGTTTACCATGTGTTGATTTTGTCTCAGTGAAGCTGGAGGGGTGTGGGGGCAGGAAAGAGAGAGAGAGGAAGAGGGAGAGAGAAAGTTACCAAGACAAAAAGAGACTGAGAGATAAGTGATTGATAGGTAATTGATAGGCAGATAGATACACCGATGATCATAGATGGCTGATGATGATAGATGATTGATAGATGACACAATTAATAGATGCTAGGTACATAAATGGTTGATAGATTATAGACAATTGATAGATGACTGATGGATGATGATAGATGATGGCTGATAGATTTAGAGATTATTATAAATGACAAATAGATGACTGATAAATGATGATTGTAGAGAAATCACAGATGATTGATAGATAATATATAGAAAGATGCATGTATGGTTGATAGATGATAGACAATAGATGATGTACAGATGGATGGTAGGCAGATAAATAATAGATAATTAATAAAGAAGTTGAGGGGGAGGGAGAGAAAGAAATGGAGATAACAGAGAGGGACATATTTTAAAATTGAGAGTAAAGAGAGAGAGAGAGAAAAGGGAAAGAGGAAAAGGGGGGGAGAGGGGACGTGGGAGCCTCAGGTCTGTGTCCTGGGCCATATCCTCACCCTGGGGTCTCCCCTACGTGGGCAGCTGACCATCCATTGACGCCCTCCTCTCACCCTCCCAGGTAACCATGCGCCGGCGGAAGAAGGAGGGGAATTATGAGGTGCATCACCGACCCCTGGGCTACTACGTGCCACACCTGGACCAGAGGAAGCTACAGTGATTCCACCTGTGAGGGGCTGCTTTTCCCGGGCCAGGGTCCTGAGAAGCCTGGCAGGGGCAGAAATGAACCACACCCGTCAGACGCCACCTCTGGTCCCCCGGGAAGGAAATGCAAAGTCTTACTCCCTGGCTCTACCCCAAAGGCAGCTACCGGCTGTGTCTTCTGGTTTCACACCACGTCACCCCTCAGGGCAAAGCCAGTGTAGAAACTGCCCCCTCATACAACAGTGTGCCCCTTCAGTGGGCACGTTCCCTTCCTAGTGACCCGCCGCAGGCCTGCCCTTGGCTAGGTGCTGGCCACCGTGGCTGAGTCTGCTTCTCCCTCTTGCCCCCCACCGGGGCTCTGGCCACCCCAGCTTCTCTTACACTTCTTGGTTCTCTAAGCTCCACTGCGGCAGGACTTCTGGGTGAAGCTTCCTTGCCCACCTCATGGGTCCTCCAAGATAGCAAAGAGACCGAAAAGGGATACATGGGTCAGAGGTGACCGCACAGCCAGCCTTGGGATCGAAGGGCTGAAATGACCAATTATCCTGGAGGCCTGAGTCCCTGAGTGAGGGCGAGGCTCTCTAAAGACGGTGTCTGTTTTGGATATAGAGAACAGTAAAACGTGGGGAGGTATATCTAAGCAGATCTGTCCTTTTTATTTTTCCCCATCTTTTTCTGCAGACAAGTAAAACCAAGTGTCCCGGGTGTGAGGCCCGCTGTGCCGTCCTGCCTTGATTTGCTGGAATACGTTGCGTGATCTCCACACCTTTTTTCAGCCCAGCACAAGTGATGACACCCAGGGGCTGGGAATTAAAATGACAATCCTGCCCCCACTTCGAGCCGTTTGGGAGTGAGCCTCACAGTCTCCATCTTGAGCAGGCTTTCTCTAAGAATGCACCCTCTGAAGATCACAGTAATGATGCTGATGACCACCACTCATCAACTACTGTCACACCTCAGTTGACAACAGGGACACATGCCAAGAGACCCAAGGTCCTTTGAATCTTCTGTGCGCTCTGTGGAAGTGTCATCATGACTTGGCGAGCTCTGCAAGCACCAAATCCGTCACTCTGTCCCTCTGCTATGTCCCTCTTTGAATGTAGCTCCCCCAAAATCTAAATGTTGGAAACTTAATCCCCAAGGCGACAGCATACAGTGAGGGGGACCTAGCAAGATGTGCTCAGGTCACAAGGGCTCCGGCCCCGTGAGTTGGCATAATGCCGCTACAGACGAGGGCTGTGGGAGTGGGTGCTCTCTCTTCCCTGCTTTTCTGCCCTGCGAGGACTTAGCAATGGTCTCTTTCGCCCTTCCACCGTCCACCATCAAGAACAAAGCTAGAAGGCCCTTAGCAGAGGCCAGCACCTTGATTTCGGAATTCCTCGCCTCCAAAACTCTGAGAATAAATTTCTGTTCTGTGTAAGTTGTGCCATCTGTGAAATTCTGTTATGGCAACACAAAATCAACCAAAAAGAATCCCTTGTACCTAAGCCCAACTACCTGGGGCAAGGGGATAGAGGACACTTCCAGGCATACAGACCAACCCAGCAGCCTCCCTCAGCTCCAGTAAGAGAACCAGGGAGAACACACTTTAGGAAGGACAAATGCGAACTCACACATTGGAAGGAAGAGAACAGGAGTAATGAGGAAAAGAAGAAGAGCGTACCTGAATTAGTTTTAAAACAAGTCATTAAAATACAACCTAGCCAGGCCTGGTGGCACGTGCCTGTGATCCCAGTGACACAGGAGGCTGAGGCAGGATCACAAGTTCAAAGCCAGCCTCAGCAACTTAGCAGGAGCCTAAAAAGCTTAGCAAGATCCTGTCTCAAACAAAAATTTGTAAAGGACTGGGATGTGACTCAGTAGTTAAGTGCCCCTGAGTTCAACCCTTGTACCAAGAACCAAACAAAAACACAACCTAACTAAAATTCTAGATGAGTCCCAAATGAAATCAGAGAGGATTGAAGATAAAATTTCAAATATTTTAGGGATGTTATAAATATGGCATATGTGTTATGGTTTTTTTTAGTTGTCAATGGACCTTTATTTATATGTGGCGCTAAGAATCAAACCCCGTGCCTCACACAGGCTGGGCAAGTGTGAGCCACCACCCCAGCCCATGTTATGTATTTTTAGTATGTCACTCTCAGAAACTGGCAAATCCATCAAACAAAAGTCATGATAAAGAGGATCTGAATAATACAGCAAGCTTTATGAGGCAAAGAAACTCTTGAATTCCAAGAAGCAGAGCTTTATTAGATTAATAATGCTGAAAAGTGTCTCTACGTCATTATTCACCAAAACAGCATGTTGGTTTCCTTTTTTTTTTGGCGGGGGCGGGGGGGGGGGGGTACCAGGAATTGAACTTCAGCAGCACTCCACCACTGAGCCACAGCCACAGCCCTACTTTGTACTTTATTTAGAGACAGGGTCTCACTGAGTTGCTTGGCACCTCCTGCCTCAGCCTCCCAAGTCGCTGGGATAACAGGTGTGCACCACCGGGCCTGGCTGCAAGTTGGATTTCATGGAGTTAGATGAATTTCAAACACACAATGGATCAAGAAAATGAAGGAATGTCTGCTGTTTTATTCTTTGTGCAACACTGGGTTGACAGGCAATCAAAAACAGAAGAGTAACTATAGGCACATACCTTATTTGGGAAAATGGACAAGAAAGTCCTTTTAGGAAATACTATTTTTGAATCTACTAAATATTGCACAAAAATAGTAATTCATTGTGATGAAGTAGGTTTCATCCTGTGACTATGAGGATGATACAAATACTGATGATTCCAGGACGTTGATAACTCCCTATTGACTTTAAGTAAAATAAGCCCAACGCAGAGGAAAAAAAAAAAAAAACACTGCATGACAGCACATATATGTGGAATCTTTAATCTCTGTGTCTAAAACGCCCAAACATAGAGTAGAATGGAGGTTACTAACGGCAAGCGTGGGTGGAGAGATGCAGATTAAAGGGTACAAATAAGTCCAGTTACGCAGGACGAATAAGTCCAGAAAATGAGGGTGCACACTGAAGACTATTGTCAATAACATATTGTACAGTGGGATTTCACTAAGAAGGTATATTTTATTTACTACCTACAAACAAAAAAATCTAACTATGAATTGATATATTAATTTGCTTGGCGGAAGTAATCATTTCACCGTATCAAAACACCATGTCATATGCCTTAAATATATAAATACTTTAAAAAGTAAATTACAGCACACCTCTGTAATCCCAGTGGCTCTGGAGGCTGAGGCAAGAGGATCACAAGTTCAAAGCCAGCTTCAGCAATTTAGTGAGGTGAGGCCCTAAGCAACTTAGAGAGACTTAGTCTCAAAAGAAATATTTAAGAAAGAGGCTGGGGATGTGGTTCAGTGGTAAAAATGACTCTAGGTTCTATACCCAGTACCAAAAAAAAAAAAAAAATACCACACACATATACAAATAAAGCGTGTAAAGAGTTAATGAAAACAGGAGTATACATGAAAAAAATTCCTCTCACTTGAAACCCAATCTCTCATAAAGAAATCACTGTTATGTTTTCTTGTGTTACACAAAGGAGTTTAATAAGGAAAAGCATTGGTGTGTTTTAAGGTGTCAGGAGCTCAATTCAAAATATATATATATATATATATATACATATATATATATATATATATATATATATATATATATATATATATATACACACACACACACATGGTCCCTACAAAGCGATGTGAATAAAGGGCCACGCCCCGTTTCATCTACAGTGTCTTCTGGGTTCACGAGGACGCCCGTCTGGGCCCCCGTGCTTTCTCTGCCTCCCTGGCTAGTCTGTCTGCAATCATGGCTATTGCCAGTCTCTCTCTAGCCGTCTTCACCTTCCTTTCCTGTTTCCTAATATCTTCCTCAGTCACCAGGAACTGTTTGCAGAGGAGCTGGGGGCTGCCCAGACTGGCTCCGGGAATCGACTCCACAAAGTGTGAAGGAGGGGCAAGGGCAGGCACGGAGCTGGGGTGCAGACCACCAGCCAGAGCCCCCGGTAGGGGTGCACCTATGCAAGCAGGTGCAAGTTTTTGCAAAGTTTTAGTGAGATCTAAAGTGCTGAAGAGCTCCCCGACACTGCTGTACGCCTGGAGTCCTTGCAGCCTCCTCTGCCAACAGACCTGTTGGGGCTTGTCCAAGTTCTCCTCCCATTGATGGTATCTAACCTCATTGCCTGGGTGCGATATAATTCTCGTAACTGGTCTCTTGAACGTGTAACTGGACATCCTCAAGGGGATGGAGATGCTTAAACCAGGCTTTGGTTTGGACTGGTTCACACAGTCATGCTGCTTCCTCTGTGAAGTCTTGACCATTTTACTTCTTTTCCTCTTATCCTGTAAACATAAATCGTGAAACTGGATCAAAATGATCAGCCGAGTCTGCCTTCTTTTACTATCCCTATGACAGTTATCTCGGCTCTTTGGAACTCCCATCCCTCCTCTTTCTCTGGGGTGAGTCTGACCTGCATCCTGGGACATCATCAAGCAGACTGGAGTTAAACACAGAAAAGTCCAAGTCAAAACTCTCCGCCATCTTGCAAAACCCCCTCCTGCTTGAGAATCCTTTAAGTCTTCTGTTGTCCTTGTCAGTCTCAATGACATGAAACTCAATTCTCCCTCTCATGACACAGGGTGCCCAGTCTTTTCCTCAATCCCAAATTCTGCTGTTCTTCTGTGTTGACCATTCATCTGGTTAGCCCACTGACCACTGGCTGTCGTACCTCCTGTACCACCCAAGTCCACAGTGAAATTATCAACTATTCCACCCTTATAGACTCACTCCTAAATAATTTATAAAAACTATTTGCTCACCCCAAGTTTCTGATTTCTAGCTTTTTCATTCAAATGTCCACACAGTAGATGAGAATCACTCGAAAATAAAACTTACTCCAGATTACATCTTCACCTCTCTCCCTCTCTCCCTCCCTCACCCTCCCTTTGGATTCAATATATGCAGATAGTACATATATATGCAGCAAAGGGGATTATTTGATACAAGAATTCATTATATAATGATCAAACAGGATAATTAGCATGTCCTCCTCCTTCATCTGTTATCCTTTCTTTGTATTAGGAAACTCCAAACTTGTCTCTTCTGGTTCTTTATAAAATATGTAATAAATTATTAAGAGCTATCGTCACCCTGGTGTGCTACGGAACATTAGAACTTTTCTTTATGCATATTTTGGTACCCATTACCCACTTCCCTTCCCCTTACTCCTTTACATCTTGGTCTCCGTGGTCTGTGATCGCCACAATTCCCTCGGAATAATTCAAAATTCCTTACCATCCATCTTACCTGCCTTGCAAAATTTCAGACCTAGAGGACTGTAATTATCTTCACGCCACAGCTACCACTGATCTTAGGATAACTGCTGAAGGAAAAGCACACAACATGATATTTTGGTAGCACTATGAGTACAAAATATTCAGTGTCAACTGGAAAGAATACATAATGCTGGGGGGTTTTCTTTTCTTTCTATATGTTGGCATATTAACTCTTTTGAGTTTCCAAAAACCCTGTTATAAAATTTCCCCACTTTTTTTTAACATACACTCAAGCGCCCTTAAAACGTCTCTGATATCTCATAGGAAAATTGTAAAATATCAGATTGACATTTTAGGGGTCTAGTTGCCAAATCTGCAAATATCTCTGATTAGGTTCTATTGTTTCTACATTTTCTCTGATTATAAAGATATTTCCTTGATCCTCTGGTAGAGACCTGAGCCTCCTTCCTAGGAACCTCATGTCCCGCAATATTTCAACGTAGCCCTGGGTCCTAAACTTCTCTTTCTCTGGTGACTCCCACCTTCAGCATTTAAATATGTCTAAATTCCTCTGAACCACACAGAGACCCCATGGCCAGCCCTCCCAGCATCTCTTCAACCACTTTCTGCCCCTTGCCCTTGGCATGACCCACTGAGAAAAGATCAGCTACTTATCCCCTTTCTCCAACCTCCTACCTCCCTCCTCGGCCGCTCCCACCTTCTACCCACCTTCATCATTCCATGGCTGCTCCCCTTGATAAGGTCACAATGACCCTTTGTCATTAGATCCAAAAGGAACTTTTCATTATTCACCTGACACAGTCTTTAGGTGGAAAACTTCTACCTATGATTGGAACAACTTGACTATGTGAATCTTGTTTTATAATTGTGAATCTTATAAAAATCTAAACACAGAACAGGTTTATCGGATCAAATTAAGCTGACAGATCAAAATTGCTATAAGCAGAAAGTATAAACTAGATTTCTGTGGCAGTTCCCCAACTTCACCAGACCATGATGGGACACCCCCAAAAAACCTTTCCTGGTATCAGTCCTCTGGCATAACAACCTTCCCCATCCAACATCCCCAAACTGTTGTCCCAAACTTACGCCTGCCACTCATGTCTCTCCCAGAGAGGCGCACGCAGGGGTCCGACATCAGTGTGGACCTCCAGGATCTGAATCTGGACCTTTATCTAGTTCTTTCCTTGGACCTCTGCCTCCTTCACTGAGTCCAGGACCCCAGGCTTAGACTGGAAACCATCCCAAGCCTCCTGCCAGGACCTGAAGATGTCTCTTTCAGAGATAGTTGACCTCAGGCACCGTCACTCCGTATCTAGATTGACCAATTTCTTAGTATGCGCACACTGTATGCATTAGTCCTTTTTCTGTTGCTAAACAGCTCAAGGCCACAGACTGGATATGTTTCAAAGAAGAGGGGTTTGTTTGGGCTCAGGACTCTGGAGGAACCAAATCGAGGGCTGGATCTCGTGATGGCCTTCTTGCTGTCAGGATTCTGAGGCAGCACAGGCCATCAACTGGTGAGAGACAGGGAGTGTGCACCTGTCTGTGCCTCCTGCTCTCTCCCCCTTCCTATAAAGCCATCAGAATTCAGCCACGGGGGCTGTACCTTGATGACCTTGTCTAATCTCAATCCTCCCCTAATGGTCCCATCTCTGAACACCATAGTCAGCCTAAGTTTCCATCCTCTTTGTAGCTCACAATGGGGGATAAAACTCCAACAGGAGTTCCAGAGGGGACAAAGCACATTGAAGCCATGACACTCTATTACCAAGAAACATGCTCTGTTCATAAACTACGGGCACCTGCTCCTTCTTGGGTGTGTCCCACAGTCATCCATCACTTTGGGAAATCTATGATGCTGCAAATATTCCGAGAAAGGGAAGGACTGCCTGGAGCCCAAATAAAACGTTCTTATAACTCCATGGCTCACGCTCATCAGACCGTCTCATCCCTACTCAACTGAACCTAGCCACACTTGGAAAACGCGCTGTCAGGTGCACATAAGAGTTCTCTCCCAGCACTGGGTCACCTGGAAACTCATCAGAAACACCTATAACATCTATCCCACCTTATTTCAGGACTATCCCTCCCACCCCAATTTCTGTACATTCCCTGTGGCTTAACATAACAGGTATGTAACATAGATTTGATCTCACCGCCCCAAGATGGTTCTTGATTTCTACATAAGGACACTTTTTTTCTCCAAACTATATAATCTCTTGATAATACTCAGGTGTCCTGCACTCTCAACACCAAGCCCTTTATTTAAAAATAATAATAATAATGGAGTTCCCAAATGACATACAAGTGACTGGTATTTTTGGTCTTCCCAAAGGTTCACAATTGAGGTGCTGTTCCCCCTAATGGATTCTGAGATTTGACATATTCATCTAGTCTTTCTTTCGTTAATGTGTTTTTATTCTTTTGTTTCTTCTTCAGATACTTGTTCAGTTTCACATGCCTGACAGTTTTCTAAGCAAACTTGGAGACACTGTGGTGAGCACAGCAGAGTCCCCAGTACCTATGTAGGGAAGCATCAGGAAATGGATATGGTGGTTTCATATGTAAGTAGTCTTTCAAGAAAATACAATGCTGGGGTGGAAAATGCAGATCAGTGGGGCCAGTGGATGGGTGGGAGGTACTACCTTATTTTGAAGGACCAGAAAAATGTGCACAGGGTACTTTGTGATAGGAGGCCTAAAATAAGGATACAATTAAATCCTTGTAGTAATATAAATGTTGTATATGAATCTAATAAAAATGATACTAGGCTACAAAGATAAGAGTGTGTATGGGGTGGATAAATCTGTTATAATAGTGGTTACATAGTAATTGTTGTGGACTGTTTATGCCCTTCTAGCATTCATATGCTGAAATCCTGACCCCCTGCCATGTTTTGGCATTAGGAGGTGAGGCCTTTAGGGGGTGCAGTAATTGGGTCATGAGGATGGAAGCTTCATGAAGGGGGCATAAATGTGAATCCGACTAGTCTTTTGTCTGAACATTTAGCCTGAACATGAGGCCTTGGCGGCTGCACCCAAAAACAACTGTTTTGAGATGAGTATGATGTCAGGCATGGACTCACATGAGCAGCCACGTGTGGTCAGCTTTGGCCTGAGCCCAGTGTGTGGAGCACTTCGACCAAAGCCATCCACACCTCCATGTTGCCCCTCTGAGGGCTGTGGTGAGCACCAGGCACCATGTACCTGAACACCTCAGATCCACAGAAGAGTCCCATGACCGTGATGTGTGAGGAGCAGGTGGCCAAGGCCTTGCTTCGGGGCCTCCTCTGAGTGCATGAGCAAAATAGCCATAGGGGGCGGCAATGAGAGAAAGCAGAAGCACCAGGTTCAGCACTCCCGAGGTGGACAGCGCCCGCTCATAGGCAGAGGTGTCCGCACAGGAGAGCTTCAGCAGGGCTGGCACCTCGCAGAAGTGGTCCATGGTGCGGGAGCCACAGATGGAGGTCTGTGTGCAAGCATTGAGCACATCATGAGCAGGCACACCTGGCGTCTCATGAGCACAGGGTACTGCAAGGGGTGGCACACAGCAATGGACCGGTCGTATGACATGAGGGCCAGCAGGACGCCCTTGGCCACACACATCAGTGTCAGGAAGAATAATTTAAGCTGTACAATCTCCAAAGGAGATGGAACCTCCGTGCAGAAGTGTGATGCCATCTCAGAGATGGTGGCCAGAAGGAAGTGAATGTCAAAGGGGGAAGTAAGTTGAGCACAAAGTACTAGGGGTCTGATCAGGAAAAAATGGGATGCTGTTTTCCAGAAATCCTTAAAGAGACAACCACCACCGGAATAGAAGGCACAGATACAGCCCAGAGACACTGAAAAGGCCAAAAGTGTGATTTCTAAGGCCAGTGAATGATTTATAGCCCCTATGCTTTATTCAACATACTTTAATTGCAGGACAAAGATAAAGCCTTCAGCAAGAAACCTTAGAGGGAATGGCAAAGATGTCTCATCTCATGCCAACCATCATTAATCAATAATGGCTTCCTGTGAGTGCTCTCTTGAGAAGCATTATGATATGCAACTTAAATCAGAAGGAAAATATGCCATAACCATGTATCTTCTTGCTAAAGCATCATATGAACTTATGCTATAAGGTCCTTTGTTGATTCTGTTGGCTCACAACCAGGAGCTGTCCACTATGAAAGTTAGCAGCCTCTCGCCCTTGCAGCTACTAAGGCTTCCCAGCTCCACTCCCCAAAGCCACCACACTCCAATCACCCTGGGGTCCCCAGAATCAGGGTAAACATTGTATTAAAGAGGTGTTTAGAATGCAGTCAGTAGTTTGTTCAGGGCAAGGGAGAGGCCTCACTGTGAGAAACTACAATTGGAGTCTTTGGGCTTAGAAAAGGGAACAGGTGGCCAATGGTAAGATCACTCAAGACTACACTCCTCATTTTTTCCTTTGCATTTATCAATATCTAACACATCATGTGTTTTATTTGTAATATTCATTGTTCACTCCCCCTGCCCACCATTAAAATCCAAGTTCTCTGAGATTAGGAAATCTTGTATGCTTTGTTCAATACATATTTCCAGTATCTAAAACAGTGACTTACTAGGTATAAGAATTTGTTCTATAAATTACTACAGCATACATACACATACATATACATACATACACATACATGTACACACTCTATCTGGAAGTCCTCTGGGCAAGAGGACTGAGAGACAATGGTGGGATTTAGGACATTTTACTGAATGTGCAGCACTGAAGATTTCCTATACATGTATCTATGACTTAATGCCCTCTTGTGCCTCCAAAGTTTTTAAACTAAGATAGTATTAAATCCTTATCTTCTGCCTTGGGAAAGCAAGTTATAGGGAACTGTGCATATAAAACCTGATTCTATTGGGCTATGTGATCATGGAGATCAGACTGAAGAAAAGTTGTTTCTAAACGTCCTTCTAGCTCTACAGTCCAAGAAAAGTCTCACCTCTAACATCCTCAGAGCTGGTCTCTAATATCCCTAGCCCCAGGGGACTTTTGGCAACCCCATCCTACAACCCAGCCCTTCTGTATTTCACTCCTGGAATTGGTCTCTGCCCACAGACCCGCCCCCAAACCTAGGTTCCACCCACCACAGTCAGCCTCTCCCTCCAAGTCTGGGCCACCTCGCCCCGCCCCCAGTACTGGGCCCCGCCCCTGCCCCGCCCCCGGAACCGGTCTTCACCCACAGGCAGGCCCCGCCTCCCGGGCCAGACGCCTTCCACTGCCTGGCGCCGGCCAGCCGACCCCGCTCCTCCCTACGACTCCCACCCAGGACTGATGTCGCCCCCACGGTTGACCCACCCAAGGGCACAACCGTGCACACGCTCACTAAGAAAACTAAAACAGCTCAGCCCGAGAAGGGGGTGCGCGATCAGCATCCTCGCCCGCCCCACGCAGTCCCAAACTAGAGGAGCTGTCTGTGGCTGACAGCCCGAGACCGGAAGTGGACTGCGGGACGTCCCGCCCACCACCGGAAGCGCGGGGCGGTGCCGTGGGAGGAGCCGCGCGTCGCGCGCTGGGGAGCGAGGCCGGTCGTCTCCGCGAGTCGGCGCGTTGGGCGCTCGGGAGGGGCCGGAGGCGGTGAGCGGCGGGAGGGGCTCGGGTGCGAGTTCAGGGAGGGGCGTGGGCCGCGGGCACCCCCGACCCCTGACTCGGCGTCCCTCCGCCCATCCCGGGAGCCCCGCCTCTGCGTGAGGCCTCAGGCTGCTCCTTGGGGTCAGCGCCCAGCTGCCGTTTCCCCAGGTGGGACCCCGCGTCACCCCGCGGAGCCCCCACATCGTCCGCGCCGGGGGCGAGTCTACGGGCGTTTGGGCTGTAGATCGGGGCTGGAGGCAGTGCTCCCGTCCCTCGGGGTGGAGGCCGGGGACGCCGCGTCCACAGCTCGGTGCAGCCCCCCACAACAAAGAGCTGTGTGCCGAGCGGGGAGCCCTGCCTGCGGCCTCGCATCTCAAGTTCCGAATGAACCAGATGAGCTGCTTAAAATTCAGCTGAGTCACGTCCAGGGCCTCTAAGTGACAAGACGTTTCCGATTTTATGGTGACGTCTGGAGTCACCATAAAAATCTTTCCAGCCAGATTGGTTGAGCAAGTCCAAGTGTACACACGAAGCCGCCTTCTCCCGTCTTGAGCACATGTGCATAGGAATAAGGTAAATCCCTGCAGGCCAGCAGGCTGGGTCCTCATCACACCTTAAGCCCATAAGTACAAAAAAGAAGAAGGGAAAACGGAGAATGGAGTGGTTTATCCCTATCTAACAACCGTATTATAAAAGGCATCAAAATCAATTCTTGGGCCTTTTTCTTTTTTTCAGAAAAGAAAAGCATCGTTCAAATTCAGGTTTATGATGAAACCAGCCTCAGTGATCCACTGATCTGTGGAACTCAGTGTGACCAGGTGAGTACAATGTGGAACGGAACAGGCTCCTAGATAGGGTGGCCAGTGCACCTTTTCCTGTACTTAGGTTGTACCCAGAAGGAGGGACTAAGTGAAAGTATCTTAAGAAAAATTATTTGATGGCTTATATTCAGGGGAAGGATTATAAAACATGTATATGTAAATAAGTAAATATAGTTAAATGCATATAAGCCTACAAGTAACTTTAAGCATATGTAATTATTTTCTGTATGCCCTAATATTTAAAAATGCAGGATTTTATGTAAATATAAATATAAAAAATATTTATGTGTATTTATTCCTATTTATTTAGTGTTATTAGGCTTCCCACTAAAGGCTTCCAGGATACTTAGCAGCATTTCTCAGACCCATCCCATTCTAAACCTATAAATCCTCCACAAAGCTTCAAAACACAGGGGTATTTGCAGAAAAGATGATTTGAGCATCCTTGTTTAGTAACAGAAATTTTAAATTAGGTTGAACAGCAACCAGATGTATTTTGAACAGTTGTTTGTCCCCCCCCCCCCCATTGAGTTTTAAAACATTTGGGAAGAGGCTGGGGCTATAGCTCAGTGTAGAATGCTTAACTTGCACCTGTGAGGCACTGGGTTCTTTCTATAGCACCACTTTAAAAATTTAAAAAAAAAAAAAAGTAAAATAAAGGTATAGTGTCCACCTGCAATTGAAAAAAAGAATTTAAATTTTAAAAATTTGGGAAATTGATTAAGCAACAACTCATAGACTAAAGACGAAGAAACTCATTTCAAAAAAAAAAAAGATGGTCCTCAACACTTTGCCTCCTAATAGGAATTAACTTATTTCTTAAAACTTCTGAAATAGCAATATGGCCCATTTTATAATGCTGAGAATCTCAAATTATTTTATTTTAATTGTGGGATTTTATTATGTATATGTGTGTTTCTCATTCTAGCTTTCTTGTAACATTGTTGAAGAATGCTTATCACACCATATACATTATTTGGGTACACAATTTAGGGTGACAGATTGTTCCTATTTATTTGAGACTAAGGGGTTTTCCAGGGCACAGGACACTCAGTGTTCAAACCAGGACAGTCCTAGGCAAACAGCAGTTGGTCACCTCCTTGAGCCATGCCCTGGTCCAGATGCATGCAAACCCTGGAGAAAACAGACTGCCTCCGTGGAGTGTCCATTCTAACTGGGAAGATGAATTTAAATAAGTATTATAGGACTCACTGTATAGGAGACAGAGAATCCTCTTGGAAAATGCTAGTATCTAGCTTGAGAGTAAAAGGGGGGGTTGAGTCTAGCTAGTTGCAGGGTTAGATGGGTGAGGGCCCTAAGGTGTGTTCAAGAGACCACGAGCATGTCGAGGGAACAGCATAAGGAAAACCTCTGAGCAGGAGAGGACCCAGCACATTCTGGGAACGGGGAAGACAGCGATGACTGAGGCCTAGGCAGCAGAGAAGAATGGGTGTGCATCAGACCCAACCCAAAGGCAGAAGCAGACCTGGCCTGGCTGTTCTCTGTTCTGAGGCCAGTGTGAGGACACCAAGGACATGAGAGCTGGAGGGTGGTATGATGTGCATTTGCTCTCAGGCTGTGGGACTTCAGGACTCAAATGAAGGCTTGAATCAGGCAAGATAGGAGTTGTTAGGGAGAAGTTTGGGAATCAGATGATTGTTCCTGAGTTTTCATGGTGCTTATGAAGTAAGAAAGAGGTAGAAAGATGGAATTGGGGAGTTTAGAACAGAGAGAAAGTGCCAGTGCTTGCTCTCATTGCTCTCACTGAAAGCACATTTGCATTCATCAGGTGGCACCAAGGACTAGTGTGCTTCTGACTTCTACCTGTGCAAACCTGCAGCCAGCCCCTCACCCAAGGCCACATGCCCACCCTTGTTTTGCCACTCCCAGGATCCTTCCTGCATCTTAGAGGAGTCAGGCCCAAGTATGTTTACAGCTGCCCTGTCGTACTCTGGTAGCTGCTAAACACAATGAAAAGGTCATTTTCTCTGTCCCACAGATAACATTTTAAAACTCAGTAGCCACATCTGGTTAGTTAATGGCCACCATATTGGACAGAGCAGTATTATAGAACATTTCTGTCATCCCCCAAAGTTCTATTGGACATCACTGATGTAGAATGGCCCATCCTCTGTGACCCTTTTCCAACATCAACATATCCAGGGCAGGGCAAGAGTCACCAAATCCAACTGAACAGGAACTCCTTCTGCCCCAGTGAGAGAGTTCAGGAAGAGGAGCTTGTGGCCTGAAAGGATCTCAGTGCCTCCTCTGCCTGCTTTCCTCTTGGGGTCCCAGTGAACTGGCTGGATCCCAACCCTTTCTCCCTCCTCAGTTCAGTAACCAAACTATACCTGAGCACAACTTAGGTCCCTGCTGGGGAGATAGGTCCTCCTGTACCTGTGGAGGCAGGACAGTTCTGTCACAGTTCCCGGGTCAGCTGGCCTTGCACAAAGACCTCAGGAAGGTTTGATGTGAGGGGCCGCGGTCTGCACTTCTGTCACTGTGGTGTGCATTGGTGACTGCCAGGGGCATCACCCTTAAGGTGGTGGTAGTGGTGGACACCAGGTGGTGGTATGTGAGGAAGCCAGTGGGATGGGAGTGAGTGACTCTGGCTGGGTTGAGGGAAAGAGACTGGCAGTAACGGAAAGAAAACCATAGGTGTGTTTCACTGCTGAGGATCCTAGACCCGACTTGAATGGAGAGAGGGAGAACTTGAAAGGAAAGGATGACCAGAGACTATCAAGAGTGGACGGCTCCTACAAAGCAGGAGACGGACCCCAGGACAGAGCTGCCCAGTGCAGCCTGCAGAGAGCGGGGGGGGGGGGCTATGCCTTGTCTAACAGGGGGAGGGAGGCAGGGCAGATCTCTCAGGGGTGTTGTGGATCAGGAATGCAGGAGCAGTGTGGCTGAAAGGGTCTGGCTTGGGACTGTCCGAGGTTTCAGGGGACTTCCACCTGGGGCGGTGCCATCTGCAGGATCCACACACTCCAGGATTCTCCAGGCCTCCCTGTGGCTGGCAGGTCAGTGCTGGCCTCAGCTCCTCTCCCCCTAAGCCTCAGGCAGGGCCTCTTGCTCGTCTCCAGCCTGAAAGTCGATGTCCCCTGAAGCAAACAAGCATACAGGAGCCTGAGGCGGAAGCTGCAATGCCGTCTAGGACCTGTCCTCAGAAGTCCTCCCTGTCGCCCCCTCGGCAGAGCCAGCCCTCATTCAGGCATGTCAGGGGACACACAAGAGTGTGGCCCAGGAGGCTAGGGTCTCAAGGCCGATTAGGAAGCTGGTTGCCTTGGAGGGAAATAGGGAGCTTTTGCAAGACTCACGGGGAGGCGACAGGTGTGGTGAGTGAGGCTACATGGTCCTGTGGGGTTGTCCTGCAGGGTTGGTGGCTCTGTTCATGTTGATGAGCTTGTTTGTCTAGAGGTGACCATATCACAGCCCTTGTGTAGGCTGATGTGCTCAAATGTGGCCACACGCAGATGGTGATGGAATCCTGGCTGGCTGCAGTTCTGCTGGGCCGCCGTAAGCTCGAGGTGGGGATAAGGACATGTGTTGACAGGGGGATGATGAAGTCGAGCTAGGTGTGTGTGAAATAGAGAAGAGCTGGCCCATGACGATCAAGGAAATGGGAGAGGGTGGCTGGAGCCAGGTATGCTCAAATGGGAGGAGAGAAAAAAATGAGTGAACAGTAGAAAAGAAAGAGGGTTCAATTAGGAGAGATGGAAATTTCTGATTGTTCCAGGTGGTACACCAGGGCCAGTGGATGACCATGGCAAGGTCGGGTCAATGGGGAACGGGGCAGGGGCCCTGGAGTTGGGACACCCCTAATGTTATGAGCATCACTGCCATCCACCAAATGAGATGGGACTGGAGGCTCAAGGAATAATGAGAGTCAGGGGCAAAGTCTCAGAATTTGAGGGGTCGCAGCTGTGAGGTTTGTGATAACAACTGGGATGGGAAGAATATTCAGGAGACTCAGTGAAGCCACAGTTTTGAAGAGGAGTGGAGCAGTGACATATTGGTCCTACCCCTGGGGGCAGGAAGATAGCTGTGCCATCCTGTGGCTCTGCCATTATGATACGCAGTGTGCTGGTTTTCATGCACCCTTCCTAGCTCAGAGCTTCCTCCCTGTGTCAGGCCGTAAAGGGAAATTTCTCTTCTCCAAGGCAGAGTCTAGTCTTCTCCTGCCTCTGGTTGGCCATAGGGGAATTCTCTGACCTACCTTGTCTGATAACGGTCATAGACACTGCTCATTCCAGAGGGGTTCTGTCCATGCTCTGGGTAAGGAAAGCCCTACAGAGAGGCCAGGGAGATCCGAACAGACAGGCCTGATGGCTTTCCCTGCTCCATCTGTTGGCCGTCATGCCTGTGCAGTGAAGTCTGCATAAAAATCCAAAAGGACAGGGTTCTGAGAGATCCCAGGTAAGTGTACGAGAGGTTCCCGGAGGGGGACACAGCCAGAGAAGGCACCCCTTCCCCATGCGTCCCCTGTGTACCTCCATCTGTGCCTTTGTAAGTGTCTGTAGGTGATTCCCTGAGTTCTCCAAGCCATTGAGTAAGTACATCAAACCTGAGGAGGCGCTTGTGGGAAACCCCATTTACAGCCATTGGTCAGAGCACACAGAACAACCTGTGGGCTGTGACACCCTGTCAAGGGAGAAAATGTGCCCAGCTGGTGTCCACTGCAGAATCATTTGCCTACTTGTTTGTGGGGAGAAATCCACATAGCTGGTGTCAAAATTCCATGCTGATGTGGTGTGAGAGTGAAAGGAAAACAGTTGCTTTTTTTTTTTTTTTTTTCCCTGACATACAACCTGCTAAGCAGAATAAAGACCAAGTGTGGAAGACAGAACTTGTATTTTGAGACAGGCTAAGGAAGACTTGTCTTCAGCAGCCCCAAGAGGGAGAGACTGTGCAGACTTCCTGTCTCCTGCTTGTTCCAGAGCGCTCTCCCAGTGCCCCGTGGGAGCAAGAGGAGGGTCCTGTTTCCCACCACCCTGGTGTTCAGAAGCTTTGCTGTTGGAGTCACAGGATGGCAGCTGCTGTTCTGCCCCCCACTTATGGTGAGTCAGGGGGTCTTGGCAGCCCATTTCAGGCTTGAGGGTCCATAGCCCCCAGAGCAGTACAGAGGAGAGGGCCCAGAGGCCCCGGGGTCAGGTGGGGTGGCTCCTGAGACTTAGGACTTGGGTGTTTGTATGTTAGTGCTCTGTCACCTACATGGTGAATATGTGGGAGTTTTTGAATTATACCCTTAATTCTTTCGGTAAACTTGAGAAAAACTTGAGAACCTCAATGTCCTCATCTGTGAGATGACAGCAATCTCTTCTTTATGTGCAGTCAGACCTTTGAGTCCTGTTTTCTGGCCAGGGTGAGACAGCTTTGTCCAGGTTTTCTGTGAAGGTGCAGGTGGGTATCTGTGTGGGTGGGCTTGTTTATGGGCTGTGTGTCTTGGTGTATGGTCAAGCACAGGTGGATGGAGAAGCCTCCAGAGTGTCAGCACTGGGCATTCTGGATTCTTGTGACTTGTTCCTTCTTCCCCAGATCAGTCCTCCCTGTGCCCAGCCCCTCATAGGAAACCATGCAGAGGGAAGGAGGGGCTGGCTGGTGAGCTCCTGGCCAGCTGGCTACAGGTGAGTCAGCTCTTCCTTTTTCCCTGTCGTCATTCCTTTGGACTTGCTTCCTTTAGTGGCCTGGAGCCTCACAACTGATGGGTCCTTAGACATCACAGGATCCCCAGGCCCCCTATGAGGGTTCAGGGGCTGCACAGAAGACGTCCAAGTACGTCAATACCTACTACATTGTCAAAGCTCCCTCTTAGCTCCATAAATGCATCACATGCTTCTGAGAGTTCAAGGGGAAGCTGAGAAGAGATGGCCATGTCCTCAACTCAAGACAGTTTCTTTTTATAGTTGTAGATGGACACCGTGCCTTTATTTTACTTTATTATTTTTTATGTGGTGCTAAAGATTGAACCCAGTGCCTCACACATGCTAGGCAAGCACTCTGCACTGAGCCACAGCCCCAGCCCCTCAGACAACTTTTGATGGCTGTGGGGAATCATTCATTCCTTTACCAGGTATTTCTGCTCAACCCTGGAGTTGAGCGAAGGAAGACTCCAAGGGCTCACAATCAGTAGGAAAAGAAGGTCTCTGTAGCGCTGGATCTGGGGGTGGGCCCAGTAGACAGGAGGCAAGCACGGAGGACAGAGCCCAGACCTGCCCACCCGTATCCTGCTCTGGGTTTCCTGTCCCTGGATCTGTCATCCTGGACCTCTTCCTGTTGGTTTTGGCAGCTCTGTAGCTAAGCCATAATGTTTGTGATGGTCTAGGACCTGGTGACCTTCAAGGATGTGGCTGTGGAGTTCTCCCAGGAGGAGTGGGCATTGCTGGACCCGTCTCAAAGAACTCTGTACCGAGACGTGATGCTGGAGAATTGCAGGAACCTGGCCTCCCTCGGTAAGCCCAACGTCAGCCCTGCATTGATTTAATGGCTCAGGTGGCAAGACTTTCCTTTTATTCTGATTTTATTTTTATTGATGTAAAATTCAACAGTTGAATTATTGCAGAATGTACCATCAAGTGGCTTTTAATGTTCTCAGTGTTGTGTGCCATCATCAGCACTACAAAGTCAGAACTCTTTGTCACCCCTGCTCTGGTTTAACTATGGTGTCTCCCCCAAAGGTTCATGTACGGGAAACTTGGTCCCCAGTGAAACAGTACCAAGGTAGTGAGGCCTGGTGGAGATGAGTGGATCAGGGAGCAGCACTCTTAGAAAGGGAATGAGTCAGGTCAGTGGCACCAGGTTAGTTCTCTCGAATATAGGTTGTTGTAAAGGGAGGCCACCCCATGTGCTTAGTCCCATCTCTCGGGAGCTGGTTCCCTTCCCACTTCTCTACCATGTTATAACAGAGCCACAGAGGCTTCTCTAGAGGCCTGCACCATGATGTTTCAACTTATCAAATTTCAGAATCATTAGCCAAAATAAAACCTCTTTAGCTTATATATATAAGTACCGAGCTTCAGGTATTTCATTGTAGCAAAATATCCTATTCCTTTTAAGCAGTCAGTACCATTACCTTCTCCATCCGTTGCCGCTGGTAACCATTAACCTGCTTTCTATCTATGGATTTGCCAATTCCCAACATTTCATGTAAATGAAACTATGAAATATGTAACCTTTTGTGTTTTTTTTTCATGTGACACAGTATTTATAGCTCTGTTGTATATATCAGTGTTTCGTTCCTTTTAATAGGAACTGAATAGTATTCCATTGTGTGGACATGATCGAATTTTGTTTATCCACTCATTGGATGATAAACATCTGGGTTGTTTCCACTTTGGGGCTATCATGAATAATACTGCTGTGAATATTTGTGTGTAAATTTTTGTTGACACACCTGCTTTCAGTTCTCTTGGCTGGGGATGCTGACAGGTCATGATACTTGTTTAGCTTTTAAGGAACTGCCAGCCCTTTCCACAGCAACTGCACCAATTTACATCCCTACAGTGAGAGAGAGTCCAGCGTTCTCCACCTCCCCACCTGTGTCCTTGGTGGTAGCCATCTGAAAGATGTGGAGTGGAGTCTCACTTTGATCTGCATTTCCCCGTGACTGACCACACTGAGCCTCTTTCCATGCACTTCCTGGCTGTTTGTATCTCTTCTTTGAAGAAGTGTCTATTCAAATCCTTTGCCCATTTTTAAATTGGTTGTTGGTTCTTCTCTTAGTGGGTTGTAAAAGTTTGTTGTGTCTTCTGGGTAGTAAACCCTTTATTTGCAAATAATTTCTCTCCATTCCATGGGTCTCTTTCCATTTTCAAGATATTCTGTCCTTTGATGCATAAAAATTTTAATTTTGATAAAGTCCAGTTTACCTCGTTGCTCCTTGCACTTTTGGTCTCTTACCTAAGAAACCATTGCCGAAGATAGTCGTGAAGACTTAGCCCTGTTTTCTTCCAGCAGTTTTCTAGTGTCAGCATTTAGATCCAGGTGTTTGAGTCATTGGGTTAATCTTATATAAGATGTGGAGAAGGCGTCAGCTTCATTCTTTAGTATGTGTGTCCCCAGTTGTGCACCTTTGTAAAAGAGGCTAGTCTTCCCCCCAAAAAAATGGTCTTGGGGCCTTGTCAAGTATTACTTGGCCTCAGGACGTCAGAGCCTGTGTGCTCGAAGTTCTCCCAATGTCCTCAGGTGTGTCCTTGCTAGTTCCTTACTCTCTCTCTCGGTAACTGTTGCTTTCTGGTAAATTTTATAAGGTAATGTGAGTCTTCCTGCTTGTTCTTTTTTAAGACTGATTTTCCTATCCAGGTTCCTTTGCAATTCCATGAATTCTAAGATTTGCTTCCATTTCTGGGGAAAAAAACGGAAGGGGATCAGGATTTTGATATGGTCGCCTTATCTCTGTGGACCACTTTGGGTGGGACTGTGATCTTAACAATAGTAAGCTTCCCAGTATGTATCCTTCTGATGCTCATTTGTTTTATTTCATTCTGTTAGAGAAGACGCTTTTTATGATTTTATTATTTTATTTATGAGGTGGGCTCTTGCTGCATTGCTCAAGCTGGTCTCAAACTTGTGTACTGAAGCAGTTCTCCTGCCTCAGTCCCCCGAGTAGCTGGGGCTCCAGGAGCACACCCCTGTGCCCAGTGAGTTCATTGTTTTTAAATTTAGTGAGCCCTGTTTTATGGCCTGACATATGACCTGCCAGAGTTCCATAAGCATCTGGGATCAGCGTGTCTTCTCTTGTTGGATGGCTGCTCTTTGTGCCTTTTAGGTCCAGTTAGCTTGAAGTATTTCTTAAGTCCTCTGTTTCCTTATTAACCAATATGAGTTATTTTATTCGTTATTGAAAATGAGGTATTAAAGTCTCAAACCACTAGGAATAGAACTCTTTCTCCTTTCGATTCTGTCATTTTTTTATTTTGAAGTTCTATCAGGTATGTATTGTTTATAATTACTGAATTTTCTTTGTGAATCGGCCCTGTACGTTTATATCGATGATGCATATGACATCTTTACTCGTATCTTGCAGCAGTCTTTTCTCAAGCGCAGCGTTCAGCCGGACCTCAGCAGAGGCTGCCCTCTCTTCTCGGCTTTTGTCTGCAGTGCCTCTGTGCACCCTTTTCTCTCCTCTCATTGTCAGCATGTTGGTGTCTTCACTGTAAAATGAGTTTCCTGTAATACATAGCATGTCACTGGATTATTTTTACATGCATTCTGCCAAAATCCACCTTTTAATTGAGCCTCATCCTTTTTTTCATTTTTGTTTCTCAATTTTTCCATTATTGTTAACTATTTTCTCATGGGCTGTTTTGATTCCCATTCTTTTGTGTGTTCTTCAGATATTTTCTTAGTGGTTGCCCTCAGGATTACCATTAATGTTTTCATTTGTTATAACAGTCTAGTTTGGTTTAATACCAGCCTAATTTCAATAGTAAAAAAGACTTTACTCCTATGTAGCTGTGTTCCTTCTCCCATAGTTGTTTTGTCTCAAATTGTATCATCATGAATCGTGCGCCATTAAGGTAGATTTATAATTAATCAATTTAGGCCTTTATCTTTAAGTGATATCAGAAAAATAGAAAAGTTGCAAACCAACCCTATATCTTCCTTGACTTATATTCACCTCTATGTTTACCTTTACCTGTGTTCTCTAATTCTGTTTGTCCCAGTGCTGAGGATGAAAGCCGGGCAAGTGCTCTCCCTCGGAGCCGCCCCAGCCCTGCCAGTGCTCTTCCCTTGTGTGGATTGGAGTTACTTTCCATTGTCCTTTGATTTTAGCCTGAAGGTGTCCCTTTAGCCTTGTTGTTGTGGGGTAGCTGTACTCCAGAGTTCTGAACTCCTAGGGGCATGGGGGGCTGTTCAAAGCCATACACATCAAACATCTTTTTCCCCACTTTTTCTTCCAGGCTTTCTGGTCCTACTAGTTTTGTTTGCATCTACTCTCTGGCAGGACTGACTAATACATTGGCCTTTAAATCTGTCACATGTGGAAGGTTCACAGCTAATTTGCACTAGGTTTACTGAGAGACCAAAGACGACACCTGGAGATGGGATGTGAGTCAAAGGGTTAATTGAGAAATGCCTGCAGGGAGTGTCCAGGGGCAACAGGCTGTGCCAGTAGCACCTTCTTCCTTCAAGTGCTTCCTTGAATAATGCCTCCATCCCTCACAAAATGACTCCAGAAAACAGCATGTCCATCCCTCTCAATACTTTGTCCAGTGGTCACTGGCTAGACAAGTAGCACTTGTCCTCTCCACAGTGCCCCCAGTTCCACACCAGTTACCACAGGAAAAGGGGTTTACAAGCTAGACTACAGAAGTAGTGACATCACTAGCCAGCTTACTTTGTCCCTATAGGACCAGCACCCAAGGAACTTGGCATGCGTGTAAGAAAGCAGCTTTCTACAGGTAACACTACTTACCCTAATTCCCAGGGTCCTTCAGAATATTATGTATCTGGACATTCCAGCTTAGACTCACCCTCATTGTTCCATTAATTTGGCTAGGTTTGGGGGAGAGGGGAGGGGCACTTCAGAGGCATGGTGTTTTACTGGCCTTCTCTGCAAAGTTGACACGGATCCCGGATCACAAGCTCGGTTCTCAGAGTTGGGGGTTAGACAAATAAGGCAAGCCCTTTGACCCAGTCCTGCAGGAAGCCCACAGACCGGTCAGAAGAAATCACTGAGTGAAGTCCTCTGTGCTCCCTCCATGAGTAGTAATGCTGGCTCTTGTCTTCTCGGCCAAAACAGAGAAGATTGGTCTAGTTCCGTTAAAATGTCATAATACTCTTACCCAGATCCAGCTATTTATTTTTCCCTTGATTAGACATTTAACTGACTGCTATAAACTTTTTCCAGAGCTCCAATAAAGATGATCTTGAACATTTTTGCAGTTTATTTATACAGTCTTTTATGGAGGAATGGGCGCTTAGAGTTCCCTACTCGACTGTTTTCATTGCTGTCACTGTGGACAGTCTTTGTTGAGCGCCTCTCTATCCTTGGGTCTGGGAGGGCTTGGGGATAGTGGTGAACAAGGTAGACAGATCTGCCTCCTCACAGAGCTGTCTAATGCCCTCTCTATGCACAGAACATCTCTTGTCCTAACTCTCAATACTAAGTGAGGGCCTCTAAAAGATGTTTCTGACTTTAGGGACTATTTAAGCCCTGTCATCCTGAATATTGAGTTAAGGATACTTTCATTTTTGTTTCTTGTAAGTTACAATGTTCAGAATTTAGATTAAATTATTTCACTGCTTCTGAAGTCACACTTTTCCATCTTCAGAAGTCTTGGCTTTAGTTTTCATGGAGTTGCCTGTCCTGCAGACAGTCTCTGCACACCATGTGTATTTTCTCCATAAATAGGGTGTCATGTTGATAAACACAGTTTGATCTCCCAGTTGGAGCAAGAAGACAAGACGGTGACAGAGGAGAGAGGAATCCTTCCCAGCACCTGTCCAGGTGAGCACCAGGTAGATATGAGTCCTCGTGAGGAACGGCTGTGGCCAGGGACTCAGGAGTTGGGAGTATTATCAGAGAATCTGAAAAATGACAAAGAAGGACAAGGAAGTTTCTTGTGTACTCTTTTTCGTTTCTCGTCAGTTCTCCATCATCTCATACTTTACTTTTGCTCTAGGGAGAAATTAAAATGCAGCTGTTTTCTAAATTTAAATCCCACTTTTCTTTTCTGATAATACCTTGTTAGTCTTTTATTAATCTTTCTAGAATCCTTTATTTTAATTAGTGCATGATAATTATACACAGTAGATTGATTCATTATGATATGTTTGAACATGTACATAACATAATTTGATCAACTTAATGTCCTCCTTCCCTTCCTCTCCTCCTCACCTCTGATCCCCTTTCTTTATTCTCCTGGTCTCCCTTCTGTGAGGTCCCTTTTTAAATTTTTTTTTTCTCTTTAGCTTCCACATTATAATTGTTTTTTAAAAAACTAATACCTAAAATTTCCATAACGAAGCCCCCTTCATTGCAAACCCCCTCCAGGACCAACTGCAGTCATGTGGTAGTCTTTTCTTTTCCTCATCAACATAAATTTCTTTTCAATTTGTTTCAGATTTGGATACTGTACTTAAAACCAAATGGCTGACTCCTAAGAAGCATGTTTTTAGAAAAGAACAGACTAAAAGTATAAAAATGGTAAGACAAGGAATGATTTCTGGTTTTCCATAGTAGGAAAAAATCCCATGCTAGAAAAGAAATAACCCAGACACTCATTGTGGAAAGTGTCATTTACACTTGAGAAAATGGTGTCCCTAGAGAGATACTGCAAAACTGCTGTGACTTTGGAGAAAAGTGTAAGTTAACTTCTAACTTGTTTCTTCACTGAGTGTTCTCACAAATAATTATTTCATTAAATGTGACTCAAGTATTGTCCATTTGAAACATAAATTGGTCTTAAATTTATCAGAAAATGTCTAGTGAATATAAATACCTGTGGCAAAGCATCTCTCTTTTTCAACTTCAAAGACTTAAGTCAGAAGCCATACATAAGCTGAAAGTAGCCAAAACATCAATTATAATGATGTAGCAAAATTCCTAGGAAAGAGAATTGATTCACAAATATCAAATATTTAAAATATTATGTTATAGTTACCATTCACCTCTCAATCAACAGGAAAGAAGTCATCGTGGAGTGAAAATCAATGAATGTAATCAGTGCTTTAAAGTCTTCAGCACCAAATCTAACCTTACTCAGCACAAGAGAATTCACACTGGAGAAAAACCCTATGACTGTAATCAGTGCGGAAAATCCTTCAGCAGCAGGTCTTACCTTACTATTCATAGGAGAATTCATAATGGAGAGAAACCCTATGAATGCAATCACTGTGGGAAAGCCTTTAGTGATCCCTCATCCCTTAGGTTGCACGTGAGAATTCACACCGGAGAAAAACCTTATGAATGTAACCAGTGTTTTCACGTCTTCCGCACTAGTTGTAACCTCAAAAGCCACAAGAGAATCCATACAGGGGAGAATCACCATGAATGTAATCAGTGTGGAAAGGCCTTCAGCACCAGGTCCTCTCTTACTGGACACAACAGCATTCATACAGGGGAGAAACCGTATGAGTGCCATGATTGTGGGAAAGCCTTCAGGAAGAGCTCCTATCTGACACAGCACGTGAGAACTCACACAGGAGAGAAACCCTATGAATGTAACGAGTGTGGCAAATCCTTCAGCAGCAGCTTTTCTCTGACTGTGCACAAGAGGATACATACTGGAGAGAAACCCTACGAGTGCAATGACTGTGGGAAGGCCTTTAATAACCTCTCTGCTGTTAAGAAGCACTTGAGAACTCACACTGGAGAAAAGCCCTATGAATGTAACCATTGTGGGAAATCTTTTACCAGCAACTCTTATCTCTCTGTGCACAAGAGAATACATAACAGGTGGATATGAGTTGTGATGAGAAATGACTGGAAATCTCTATGAGAAAGCACTTGTTGACCTCTCACCCTAAGACAACCTGAGAGAACTCACACCAGGTATATAAGTTATCTGTTTCTGCCTAACAAATCATTCCCTAAAACTTTGACTTAAAACAAGAAGCATTTATTATTTCACAGTTTCCAAAAGGAATTCAGGAACAGTTTAGCTTTGTAGTTCTGGCTCAGAATCTCTTGAGGTTTCAGCCCAGATGTCAGGCAGGGCTGTGGTCAGCCGGTCTTTGCTAATGAAGGGTCCATTTCCAAGATGGCCCTCACATGCCTAGAAAGTCGGTGCTGGTTGTTGACAGGAGACTTCCTGACCACATAGGCCTTTCCACAAGGCTACGTAGCTTTACGATGTGGCAGCAGGTTCCTCCCAAAGCAAGTGATTCAAGGGAGGGCCACTGAAGAAGCCATAATGTCCTACCACCTAGGCACAGAAGGATGTTTTCACCTCTTTCATATGGAATCAGTCACAGAATGATTGTGATACTGTGTGGGAGAAGACTACAGAAACATGAGTATCAGGAGACAGATCAGAGTCCCTTCTTAGAAAGTTGCCATGAAATTAATGAAGAAAAGCTTTCAGCAGACCCTCATCCTTTTAATCATTGTGACATAGCCTCAGTAAGCTCTGGTCCATCCATTCTGGAGAGAAACCTGTGAGCACCGTCTCTGTGGTAAAGCTTTCAGCCCACACTCACTCCGACGTGCCCGAAAGATTATGTATTGGGAAAAACCTGAGGAGTGGAATGATGATAGGAAACCCTTCAGTGATAGCTCCCACTCAGGGGAAAGCCCTCTGAAGGTCAAGAGTGTGTGTCTGACACACGTGAGATCACACAACAGAGGAAGACTCCAGAAATGTGTAAAACCCTGTGGCCCAAATGTCCACATTACTGACCACCAGACATTGAGGTATGCCCACAGTGACTATGGGAAAGACTTGAATGTTCTGGAGCTTGAACACAGGGCCTTGCGCATGAGTGCTCTACCGCTGAGCTACACCTCCAGCCCTTTTTATTTTGAGACAGAATTTTGCTAAGTTGCCCAGACTAGCCTCAAACTTGCAATCCTCCTGCCCCAGCCTCTCACGTAGCTGGAGTTAACAGACATGCACCCCCACATTTGACTTGTTCTCTCACTTTTTTAAAGACGAAAATTTATTAACACAAAGAACAGGGAAAGCCTTCAAGGATGCCTCTTGTGTTAAATGGTCCCTGAATGCAAAACCTATAAGTGTGTTTGGAAGTTTTTCAGTGATTCAGGAACTCACTAGGGGACACCAGGAGTGGAGTCTGTTAGGTGCCTCCGTCTCAGCACTTCATGAATGACTGCAGAATAATCTGTACTGGAAACAAACGTACAGTGAGTGTAGAGTCCCCTGCCAACATCTCACCTGCAGGCTGGACCACTAGCTCATTAATTTTTCAGTCTGTTTTTTTGTTTTGTTTTGTTTTTAATATTTTCTAAGTTGTCAATGGATCTTTATTTATTTATATGTGATGCCGAGAATCAAACCCATGCCTCACACATGCGAGGCAAGCACTGTACCACTGAACTATAGCCCCAGCACTTCAGTATGTTTTCCTATAAACATTTGTGTCTTTATCATTTTCCTAAAATGAACCCTAAGTTGTGTTCCAAAATTTTACTGCAATGTATTTATTATAATTTACTCTTTGAAAACATTGGTACATTGCATATTCAAAAAGTTATTTCTGAATAGCTCCCGAATGCTCTCATCTTAATGGACATTAAACAATATTTCTGGTGCACTTTTTTCAAAGTGGTATTTTTGTCAGAATTTGTGGGCTTTATGAAGCTATTTTCTCCTTCTATACTTGTGTGACAGATGCTGTTAGCTTCTTTCCCAATGTCCATTCTCCCCTACTTACTTAACAGTTTGTTCAGGTTGTCTGTAAGCAGAATTGAAGATTATCTGCCACCTTTCCTAAAGCCCAGGCAGTCTTTGTTCCACTCTCCTGGACACGAGGACTGGGCAGGACTCACTGGGGGCGGGCAGGGAACTGAGGGAAGCTCTCTTTTCTATTCATTTTACCATTACTTTCTCTTGGAAAGGTCTGCAGATTGAAAGGTTTATTTATTTGGGGGGTTTTGTTGCCATTTTTTTTTTTTTTTACTGTGTTGACAACTAGAGTGCAGCAAAACTTAAAAAAAAAAAAAAAAAAGAAAGAAAACACTTTGGGTTCCTCAAGAGCCTCTGGCTGTATCAGCCAGAGACTGCTTATTCTTGAGATTTTTCTTGCTTTGATTAAAAGTAACCCCTCACTGGCTGAAGCCAAAGTGATTTCAAGATGGTGTTAACTTGCAGCTGAATGTAGTATCTAACCGTAAACCTATTAGTTTGTCACATTTTATCCATGTTTCATGTTTCTTTGAAAACTGTATATTCTTTAATATGTAGACATAGGGCATATGCAGATTAATACAATCTTATGGTGTTATAATATGTACTGATTTTTTTCTTTTAATCCTACTTAGTGATAGAGGCATAGTAAAGTCTTACATTATGACTATAGATTAACATTCTTCCTGTAATTCTGTCATTTTTATTTATTTTGATATGCTGTAACTAAGTGCATACCAGATTAGGAATTTTCATGTAAATCATTCCTTTTATGTAGGGGTCATGTTTTCGTATAACAAAGCATTATATTGCATTGATAATAAATGATCAAACACTTACATAGCACCTTAAGAATGCCTTACAAATATTAACTATTGAGTGTTCCTTAAGTATGTTGGTTATTATCCTACCTATCTGTGAGCAAACTGGTGTGGTGCACTTATGATATTTGCCTCAGTTCACAGGCTAGTCGAGAGCTCACATTTGAACCCAGACAGCCCATCCTCTTGACCACTAACCTACTTGTTGAGTACATTCTATTGAACTACTTCATCCTAATGGGAAAGGGATAGATTATAGAAAACAAGGAAATGTTGTATTTGTTAGGCAGAAAACTAAAATATTCTAAGATTTGAGGAGACTTGAAAACTTAACACATTTATGTAAAATAGGAAAGTAGACCCCTCATTTAAGGGACATTTGAGCAGAGACCTTGATGAGGTGGGACAGTGAGATGTAAATTTGTGTAGCAAGAGCAGTCTTGGCACACAGAGGCCCATAAAGAGGCCAGTATGGTGACAGGAACTTGTCGGGCTGGTGTTGAGGGAGAATTGGAGAGGATGTGGTCAGAGCCATGATGGTGCTGATCTGGTTTTCTGGGTCATTGTTAGGACTTTTCCTTACACTCTCAAGTCAGTTGTGGAAGCAGGAGTTGTGGACACAATTCAGGGAAAGCAAAAAAGTACAAGGACCAGTATCGAGAAGGCAGAACTCTTAAATCATGGCAAAAACCCAAATAGATAAAAATGTTGGCAGCTCATCGCTTAAGGCTACCTTATTACAAACTCCTCCCAAGCTAGAGGAAGGGAGGAGAAAAGGGCAGGGGAGGCATTAGGGAGCAAAATTGATCAAATTCTGCTTTTCTGATGCACAGTGATACCTGCCATTCTGTGCAATTAACATGCACCAGTTAAAGAACTCTTCCCAAAGGAAAAGACCAAGAATCATAAGAGTAATGGGTTAATTCCGAGTATGTCCATTCACAGAAAGTACAAAGGTTCCCCATGTAAGAGAGGTTGCCGACCTCAGCCTAAAAAGGAAACTTAAGAAGTAAAATACCAGGGCTGGGGCTGGAGCTCAGTGGTAGAGCCTCAGCACTATGGATAGATAGATAGATAGATAGATAGATAGATAGATAGATAGATAGATAGATAGATAGAGGTTGCTGAGAGCCATTGCCAAGTAGGAATGAAGCATGGCAATTTCTTTGTCAGCCTACCCAATGTTGCTTAGAGGGAGGACTCTCCATTGTGGAAATGGGCTTGCCTTGGACCCAGGTCATTTGCAGTGACATTGCATGAATGTTTGAGAAAGGTGACCCTGCTCAAGGACCAGGGTGGATCCAGGTTTAGGGAGGATCCTGCTGGATTAGGGCAGTTCCAGGTTTAAGGTAGACCCTGCTGGAATAGGGCATATCCTGCTGCCTCAGGCGCCCGCCCACTCCTTGAGTTCCCGCGGGATTCATAGAGTATTTTGGGATGCAGAGCCCAGTGGAAGTGTGGATTTTCCCCCAGAACGTGCGTGTAGAGTGCCGGTGAGAGTTCGGGAATAAAGAATTGCTGTTTGAATCTACAAGGCTGTGAGTGGCTCGTGATTTTGTGCCCAGCCAGACTGCGGCAAAAGGTATTGTGTCCATCTACCAAAAAAAAGTAAAATGCCAACATTCCCTTTTTTGGTTGATTCGATTGGAATTTTTAGTTTAGCAAGACAATGTATTGGCCAGTAATGTGGGGAAAGTGGCGTTCCCACAGCATAACACTGGGAGCTGAATTAGTACAAATATCTGTAGATGTGCAATGACCTTAACCTTACTACACTGAATCTACTTTGGAAGAAAACACCCCTCCAATACTGTTAGCACTCAGATATGACAGGAAGCCTGTCTGTATGCATTGTACAGCTCAGGCTGATAGATTCCCTTCAGGTCTAGACAAAAGCTATCGCTTCCATGATGGATTTTCCTCAACTTCAAGTTGAGTGGGAGGGCATGGTGGGTTGACAGGTGTCTGCCAAAGATTTGTGTCTACTCAGAACTTCAAGATGTGATCTTATTGAATATGAAGATCTGAAGTTGAAAACATCCCAAATTAAAGGTGTCCCCTACCTTCAGTGATCTGGTGCCCTTACAGGAAGGAAGGAGAAAGACCCAGAGGAGGGAGCTGGGTGAAGAGGAGGCCAAGTTTGGAGTAACTGCTACAAGCCAAGGCTGCTGAGAACTGAAAAGAACGCAGGATTCTCTGCTGTGGAAAAAAATAAATGAATCCATTATAGAAGTCTTCCTTGATTTCACTCAAAACAAAAACTTTGAACATTGTCTTTAAAAGTCTGATGATCACCTGATTTATCATATGGATGCCCTGAAGACCCTTAGCCACACCTAATCCCTTTGTTTAAATTTCCCAGGCCCCCAATTCTAAGCCCTGCCGCCTTCATTTTTCAGTGTAACTCACCAAAATCATTGCCTGAGAATCAGCTGGGATGATTGAAATACCTGGGAAAGAAAACTCAGTTGAATATTTTAATACAAGAAAAAAGAAGAAAACCTTCATGGAGGTATCAGCTCACCTACTTGGATTAAGTTGATACCTCGGGACAGATACTAGCTTTATGCAAATGGAGGGCCCAGGGGAGCCTTGTTTGACCATCCTCACGCCCACCTGTGCAGTGCTTTCATCTCAGGTGGCCACACAACCTGTGCAGACACTCCCACACTGACCACACAACACCACTCCAGGCAGGAAGGAAATCCTGAGGAAGCCCTGGCCCAGGTTATGGGATGGAGGAGGCACAGAATATGCAGATACCCTCACACTGGAGAGTTAAAAGCCACCCTAGCCCTGGGGGGAGTGAGCCTCACGCGTAAATTAAACCCAGAACCTGTTTTTAGGAGACACAGGCACAGCTCTCACCTCTGACTATGCCACCCAGTTTTCTTTGAACCTCTGCAATCAGGCGCCCTTCCACACCCCTGCTACAACTGCTCTATCCAAAGGTCTTTGAGGAAATCCACAAAATGCTGGAACCTTCCAAACCTACACGAGGCCTTTTCCTTCCTGGTGTAGTAAAACCCGCCCTCTGGCTTTTGAAATATGTTTTTATGCCAGATACCAGTTCATCACATGCTTATTGAATAATTGTGCATGGGGCAGGCGGACAAGGTCCTCAACTCAGAAGTTAATGTAGGGATGAATAAAATGGTCCTGCTGCCAAAGTTGTCTCGGGAACATTCCCCTGAGAGCATTTAAAAATCTCAGGCCAGGCGTGGTGGCACATGCCTGTAATCCCAGCAATTTGTGAGGCTGAGGCAGGAGGATAGAGATTTCAAAGCCAGCCTCACTAAATATAAAAAAAATATAAATATAAAAAGGGCTCTAAAATATAAACATAAAAAAGACCCCAGAGTTGCTGGGGTCTCTGTAGCCTCTGCTCTCTCTGACTGCACCTGACCACGTTGCCAGGGTGGCTAGATATTCGAGTCACTGGGCTCTGGAAGATGCAGCTGGTCAATCTCATTGGAATTTATATTTTATACAAATATAATAAAGGGCTGGGGATGTGGCTTAGTGGTTAAGCACCCCTGGGTTCAATCCCCAGTACAATGAATAAAAAAGGTCAAATCAATGAAAAATTCAATGAGGTAATTTTCAGGTTTACATTATATGGATGATCTTAGGAATCACAGGTTACATAATTTTTATATGAAGATGTCCTAGAACTAAATTAGCACGTTTCAAAAAAATAAAGTTGATAAAATTTATGTTAAAATTAGATAACAGTCTCAACCTTAATATCTTCATGGAGTTGAATGATGATCCCGTTAAAGGAATCTGGAATAGGGTGTGAGCTCTTCCTTGAATGTAAAACACTAAGTGATCCCTCATGCTAGTTTGCCCCTGCAGATTTTAATATGAAGTGGATGAAAGTTATTATAAACTGAAATTGAGCAATTATAAGTCAACATCTCCTTTCTCATATAAAAGCTAGTGTCACAAAACCATCTACTCCACGCTTGTCTCAAAACGAATTTAATTAAACAGAAGTAGCATTAAAAGACAAGTCACCCTGCAGTTCTTTCCCCTCGGCATTGCCTTCTCTTGGCTTCTAGGGGTCAGACCGGCCCTCTGGGCTCCTGGTTTCCTCTGCCTCCCTGGCCAGCCTATCTGCCATTAGGGCCTCAGCCAGCTTCTTCCTCAGTTTCTTCACTTTCCACATCTGTCTCCGGATGTCTGCACTAGTTACCGGTTGACTGTGGAAAGATGGTGAGTGACAAAGACCCCCTCCTGGAATCATTCCTTTCCCACGTGGAGACTGGCCAGCAGGTTCCAGGAAAGGGCATGGGCCCCCAGCACCAGCTGGGCCCTCAGATTCACCGGGATTTCCCATTTCAATTATTTTTAATGCATGCATAAAATCAAATGAACTTAAAAGTTCTCCTCCGCTGCCATTGGCCTGGAGCCCCTGCAACCTCCTGAATTCCCAGAGTTGCCGGGGTCTCTGAAGCCCCTGCTCTCTCTGACTGCACTTGACCACGTTGCTAGGGTGGGAAGATATTCGAGTCACCGGGCTCTGAAAGATACAGCTGGTCAATCTCATCGGAAGAGCAGAACCTACACCAGCTCTCCGCTTGGCCTTGGTTTCGTGGACTTCCAGGTCCCTCTGTACAGTCGGGGGCATCATATTTCGTTTGAGTTTTCCCTTTAAAAACAAAATGTGAAATTTGAGCAAAATGCAGGATAAAGACCTACCATAAGCTGTGACAGTCAAGCCAAAGTGACTCCATTTTGCTTAGCAACTCCATTTTGTAAAACAGTCATGCCAAATAGAAAGGTCATGACTGGGGCAAGTTGTTCTTTTCCTTTTGCTACAGAAACCCTTAAGAACACGGAGCTATCTAACAGGGCTCTGTTTCTGTAACTAGGGTAACGGGGCTGTGATTCTGTAACTGGGGTGACTGGGCTGTTACTGGTTAGGCTTCCCGCCACTTGACTGCACTCTCCTGCTTCTGTGACCTGGCTTGCTTGCATTGGCTGGACCCCCAAGCATCCCTTTTGTGGTTTTCAGGCTTAAAAGGAGCGCCTTCCAATTGTTCGGGGCTGATCAAGGAACAGACTTTATGCTCCCCATCAGTTGCCACCGGTGTGCTTCAATAAAGGCTTGATTCGATTATATGTGAGTGGTCTGGAAGTCAATTTATGAAACCCCGGATGTTGCTCTAACTAGAACAAGCTATAGAGCATGTTCTCTGTTCTTTTGGATCTTCCAACCGCTCTCCCCAACCACCACCACCAGAGATGCATCGTGATCTTCTGAAAAGTTTGTTAATACTCAGGTTTCAAGTAGGTCTGGGGTGGGCAGGGGTGGGGGGTCCCAGAAATTGCATCTTTATGAGCTGCTGCTGGTACAGACTGAGAACCGGATCCTGGAACATGGTCCACCTGACGTGGGTCAAAGACAGCAAGCTCAAGGTCACTACCCACGCCAATTACCGACTATTACCCTCCATTGTCAAAGGATGTCACTCTTCTATTCCCTGTCACTCAGAGGCTAGTTCCCCTGACCCACCCTTATTGATAGAGAGGTATCACAAGTTTCTTTGTATGCCAAGACCTCAGATTTTCCAGTATCTTTTTGTTTTAGGCCACACCATCACCACCTAATCCCATCATCACGCATTTCTGATTTTACACAAAGACCTCCACAAACAAACCTCTTGATCCCATAAGAATTTTTTACTTCTCCCCTGGCTCTCCTCCTCCCGACTCATCTCCTTTCTCACCTACCAAGACACTTCATGCTTCTCAGAAGTTAATCCCATCTCATCTGCTCTCCTTCCACGTGCTCCCACTGGGCACGCCCCAGGACTCTGCTAGGAAACTCCCACCAGCATCAGCTCGGATCTGACTTGATGCTGAGGCCCCGTGCTCTGACCACTGAGGAACCACTGAGTGACGAAAGCAAAGACTCCAGGCCCCCAGGTGAGCTGAGCACCTCCACAAACAACCCCCTCCTCGTTGCCTGGAGGCTGGCCAGCAGGTTCCAGGAAAGGGGGTGCACCCCCAGCACCAGCTGGGCCCTCAGGTTCACCCCAGCTGTTGGGATTATCGACCGGCGCCACCGCGCGCTAGCCCAAGACTCTTGATGGCATGGAGAGGCCACGTGGAGTGGTGTCCTTGGTACCGCACAAGGATAAAATCGCCAAACAGGGCTCTCCTTAGCCCAAAGCCCCAGGGCTAAGCCATGCACGCCTGCATCCTGAATTTTACTCTGCAAAATTCAAGCTGAGCACCTCCCAAATGACTTCCATCAGGTCTCATCTTGTTTTCAGAACAACTGCCTGTGAACTTTAGGGGGTTCAGACGGAAGGAAGCGGCACACCGAGGCGCGCTCTTGCGCTCGCTGTGGATTCGGTACTCACCACAAAAGTCTGGCTGGGAAACCAGTTTGCCGCAGGCTCCCCCATGGCCGCAGAGTCGATCCTGTGGGCTCCGCAGGGCCTGGCTCGCTGGAAAGTGAAGCGACTTCCTCATGAACGTCCCCTTTCACAGAGGAAGAGTGGATAAGTCAATCAGTGGTAGCCAATCCGCGGGTAAGAGGATCAGTGGTGACGCAGCCATTGGGCAATCCACAGATGACATCCTTTCTGGTTCTGTAGGATTTGAGGTCTTCTTAAAATCTTATCAGAAACAAAGAATGTGCAGTTACCGACACTATCAGATAATGGTGGTAGATGAAAAACTTTAATATATTAATGTAGGGAGAGAATCATGTGAAGTTAATGTCAGAATTTTATTTTATTGGAATTGTAACAGTTTTAATTGAAAAACATTTTATTGTGAGGTACTGTGTGATGTTTTTATTTACATATACATTAAGATTCATTTACATATACATTAAGATTCACTTGAGCTAATTACCATATCACCTCATCAGCTTATCATTAATATCGGCATTTTAAATTTTCTTTCATTTTCTCCCACTATTTAAACATTTTTAATGTATTCTATAAAAATTTTGGCCAGGCCCAATGATGTAGGCCCATAATCCCAGCAGCTCAGGAGGCTGAGGCAGGAGGATCATGAGTTCAAAGCCAGCCTCAGCAATGGGAGGCACTTAGCAACTCAGTGAGACCCTGTCTCTAAATAAAATACTGTGATAGTAAAAGCAAATGTGACTCCATTTTGTTTTATGACTTCATCCTGTAAAACAACCATGCCAAGTAGAAGGGTCATGACTGGGGCAAGATGTTCTTTTCCTTTTGCTATAGAAACCTTTAAGAACACAGAACTACCTAATGGGGCACTGTTTCTGTAACTAGGGTAACGGGGCTCTGTTTCTGTAACTGGGGTGACTGGGCTAAGTGTGATTGGTTAAGCTTCCTGAAGGGGAAGTGACTGCAACACTCAGAGAAACCAAGAGATCGTTATTGCAGCAGTGCCAAAGAGGAGAAAAGAGAGAGAGAGAAGAAAAGAGAGAGCGAGAGAGAGAGAGAGAGAGAGAGAGAGAGAGAGAGAGAGAGAGCGCGCGCAAGCAAGAGAGGGGCCCCTGCAGGAGGGAGTCTTTATAGCCCAAATCTAATGGGGTCTCTGGGTCTGCAAGCTGCCTTTTTGGCACACAAGGGGGTTAAGTGTTCAGCCTTGAGTGGCGGGTTGAGTATTCAGCCTTGAGCATGGGGACAAAGTGTTCAGCCTTGAGCGGGGGCTTGGGCGTTTGGGCTTGAAGCAAACAGGAGATAAAGAACCAGACAGAGGGTTTGAGTGGCCAGGTCATCCTGCAGCTAACTTTGTTTGGCAAGCCCTGCAGACAACTTATTCAGCCTGTCCTGCACCTAACACTTCCTTCCCACTGCTTGACTGCACTCTCCTGCTTCTGTAACCTGGCTGGCTTGCATTGGCTGGACCCCCAAACATCCCTTTTGCGGTTTTTTCAGGCTTATAAGGAATGCCCTTGCAATTGTTCAGGGCTGAGCAGGGGAACAGCTTTATGTTCTGGTCAGTTGCCACCAGTGTGCTTCAATAAAGGCTTGATTCGATTAGACGTGAGTGGTGTGAGTGGTCTGGAAGTCAGTTTATGAAACCCCAGGACAAAGCTTTAACTATAACAATACAAAATAGGACTGGGGATGCGGCTTCAGTGGTCGGGTGCCCCTGAGCTCAATCCCCAGTGCCAAAAATAAATCTCTATGTACATAAATTTCCACACAACACTGGTTAATAAGAAAAATGCTATTTAAATATTTATCCATAAAATATCCAAAATAGTCATTAACAAAATATAGAATATATTTACAGTTGTCAAAATTGCTATTTCTTGCACATTTCATGTAATTGATGGTAAATTGGAGACTGTTCCAAACATACTCTTTCTCCTCCCTTAGGTTTAACCAACTAATTAATATTCCCTTAGGCTCTTTACTTGACTTTGAATTAAATATTTTGATTCCCTTGTTCTCTCTATAAACTTGTTGCAATCACATACAATCTGTGTATGTGTGCTAATGATTAAGTCTTTAATGCCTCACATGCTCTTTTTTTTCAGGGGATGGCTAAACCGGAATTAAACCCTGGGGCACTTAACCACTGAGCCACACCCCAGCCATTTTTATTTTTCATTTTGAGACAAGGTCTTACCTAGTTGCTGAGGCTTAAACTGCTGAGGGTTTAAATTTCTGCCTCAGCCTCTGGAGCTGCTGGGATTAAAGGCGTAGTCACAACACCCAGCTTTACATATGTAATACAAATACTTTCACCACCTACCCCCAAATGCCCGTAGGGAGACACTTCCCACTCTGTCTCATCCTTGGCTTTTGTATACTGTTGTCAGGCATTTTAACTCTACATAGCTTTGATTTCTGTGAGGCATTTCTGATATTGTCCCATAAAACAGTGTTCATTTGTAATTATCCGTATATCATCCTTTCTGATCCTCTTCATTCCTTCCAGTCTTTATCTGGAATTATTTTCCTTTGAACTGAAGAACTCACTCTAGATTGTAATGTACCCATAAAAAACATTTTACATAATAATGTAATCATTGTGCTTCATTCATACACACACAACCTATTAGGTTAATCTCATTCCCCTGTTCTTCACCTTTCCTCCTCCTGCACCCTCTCCCTAATCCTCTCTAGATTTGGGTGGGTTTTGTTCTTTGTTTGAATTGAACCCAGAGCCTCAAGCATTCTGGGAAATCACTCTACCACTGAGCTACTTACTCCTCAGTCTCCAACTTTTTTCTAATTCAAGGCCGATAACAACAAAATTATTCAGGTTAACTTTTCTTCAGGTAACTGTATTTGGGGGCAATATTCCTGCTCGGTATAGACTTCTGATGAGATTTCTTTTAGCATTTTAAAAATGGACCTCCAGCCAGTCTTGGTGCAAGCCTATAATCCCACAACTTGGGAGGCTGAGGCAGAAGGATCTCAAGTTTGAGGACAACCTCCGCAACTTAGCAAGACCCTGGCTGGGAAGTAGCTCAGTGGTACAGCATCCCTGGGTTCAATAGCCAGAGCCACACACACCATGGATTGTTATCCATTTTATTTTAAATGTTTATCAATAATGTTTATCAAAAATCTTTCTAATTCTCAGTCTGGGGATATAGCTGAGTTGGTAGAGTGCTTGCCTCATGTGCACAAGGCAATGGGTTCAATCCCCAGCACCACAAAACGAAAAAAGAAAATCTTTCTCGTTCTCCTTGGTTTTTAGACCTTGATAGAGTCCATTACTGCTTCCTCTGTTTCCCTTGCTTCTGGGATGTGGCGGTGACTGTGTTGATGTCTTGTTTCCATCTGCAGCCTGCTTGTACATTTTCATTTCTGATATCCATTCTTCCCCCTAGTTCCCTCTACTCCCTTTCCGTCACATCCCACCGGGTTACCAGTCACTCCATCCTGAGTCTCTCCAGTGTTGTTTACTTTAGCATATTTGTTGTTACACTGTCTTCCAATGTAGTAGTCCAGCCTCAGGCTGGGTTCAATCTTTTAAAAATTCACAGCGAGATACTATTAGACACATGTCAGTTTTGCGAAAATTTAAAAAAAAAAAAAAAACAGCAATCCCAAATGCTAAGAAGGTTCCAGAATGATCAGATCATTCTTATAAAGCTAGTGAGAGTTTAAATTAGTAAAACCACCTTGAAAACTGCTTGGCAGTATCTGTGAAAGCGGGTCACAGGTCCACCGGGCTCCCTGCACCGTGTGCTTGCTCCAGTTCAGCCACGGTGTGTAACAGCCCTGGGATGTAAGTGAAATCGTGCTTATCAGAAAGAGAATGGACAAGTCCCGTGGTATCTGCAACAGGAAGAACCCGCACAGCAAGAATTCACCAATAGCACTGCCACATCACTAGGAGGAACCTCACAACCCGGTATCAATGCACACGTGGCCGTGGGATCCCGCGCACATTGAGAAGGGCAAGGTAGATCCATGGGCTACTACAGGACAGGGCGCCCATGTTGGAGCCAGAACAGGGTGGCAGGAAAAGCACCTCTGGTAAAGCCGATATTCTGCTCATGGATTCAGGGTAGGGCACAGGAGAGTGGGCAGTGTGTGTTCATATGATGGGCTACATGTTTGGAGGTGGTGTTTTTTTGTTTTGTTTTGTTTTACTTCTCCACAAATTATATTTCAGTAATAATTTGGAGAAGAAAAGACAGGTAGAAATACATAATCGGATGGACATCATGCCACAATCACTGTTCGAGAACAAAAATCACCTGTGAGCTGTGATGCCGAATTTGTTAAAATATTCCATACCTGCATTTTATTAGGAAGGAGAGTAGAAAAGTTTTAGATTTCTACCCACAAGGAAGAAACTGTACTTAACTTTTAGAAGTGGGAAGAGTCAGTGAAGATGAATTTTACATCTGATTGTACAAACTTGTCTTCCTGGACTTTTGTATGGAACACTCATCCACATGAAATCAGATGACCAAATGTATCGGAATTTCCATGCCCTGAAGACTCCCAGGTCCACATTCAGTTCTGCAAAGGCTGAGAGCATTTCCCCACTTTGGTTGAACCCAGGGCCTCATGCAGACTGAGCAAGTGCTCTCCCATGGATCTCCACCCCCAGCCGGTGCCCAGAGCATTTTTAAAACTGCTAAATAATATTTTGTAGGAGGCCTTTGATTTAGACTGGGTACAACATGCCAAAGGAACGTAGAGTTCAATCCTAGGACCTGAGCTTCGCTGGTTCGGAAGGCCCCTAGAAAGGTGTCAACAACTGGTCAAGCTGTCACCCACTGAGGGACTGACCACGCTGCAGCCATCCAGTTTTCTATGCCTCCTTCTTTCACAGAAATGCTGTCGGACCCCACGGTTGGCTGCAGTTCTCAGAACCTGCCCTGGTCGTGGAAGCTGCCTAATCTCTAATCTGTCTTGTTTTGCTTTGCTTCAATAGACCAATGAGATCTAGTAGAGTTTAAGAAATTTTCATGGGGGCTACTGGGGATTGAGTCCATAGGCAAACGCTCTATCACTGAGCTACATCCCCAGTCTTTTTTTTTTTTTTTTTAAATTTTTGAGGCAGGATGTCACTGTGACCCAGACTGGTCTCCAACTTGGGATCCTCCTGCCTCAGCCTCCCGAGCAGCTGAGATTACAGGTGAGTGCCACCACACCCAACCATGAATTTTCCTTTTAAGAATGCCTATGTTTAGAGGCTGGGGCTGTAGCTCAGGGGTGGAGCGCTTGCCTCACATACGTGAGGCGCCAGGTTCGATCCTCAGCACCATATAAAAGTAAAGATATGTGTCCATCTATAGCCAAGAAAAAATTTCAAAAAAAAAAAAGAATGCCTATGTTGAAAATTTTCACTTCCACAGGTGGCTTTATACTTCCTGAGTGATATTTTAAATTAGTACACATTTTAGTAGTTTGATGTAAATGAAGTGAGATTTAAAATACATAAAGAAAGTTATAAAATGCACCGAGCCCTTCCTCTCTGTGCATAGTGCTCCACAGAGTCAATCAACCATGGATGGAAAATCTTCAGGGAAAAAGTTGCATCTGTATTGAGCATGCTATATAGAATTTTTTTGATATACTGTATCATTTAGGAAATAAGGACAACAGTTGTACACAGCATTTACATTGTATGAAGTATTATAAGTCGTCTCTAATGACTTTAAAGTATGTGGGAAATGTGAGTTATGTGAAAATACCTCAGCATCTTAAATAAGGGGCTTGAGCAGGGTGGATTTGGGTATTCATGAGGTCTTGGAGCCAGTTTCTGGTGGATAGCAACACGCGACTGTACTTCCCAGACGCGGACCCTTTACCTGTGCAGGTAACTGTGAGCTTAATGGCCTGAGACTGCTGCATGAACAGTGGCCCTACCTGAGCTGACTGGGCCATCCCCCAGGGTGATCCACCCACCCTGCTCACCCACCCTTCTCCAATACATGCCTAACAGCCTCTCCATCTCCAGCCCATCCTCACCATCCTCCACGAGGCAAATGTTTTCGGTTGAAGATAATCAATAAAAACTCTAAAGCTAAGGCCGGGCACAGTGGTGCACACCTGTGATCCCAGCAGCTCAGGAGCCTGAGGTAGGAGGATCACAAGTTCAAAGCCAGCCTCGGCAAATTAGAGAGGCTGCTAAACAACTCAGTGAGACCCTGTCTCTAAGTTAAATGCAAAATAGGGCTGGGGATGTGGCTCAGTGGTCGAGTGCCCCAAGTTCAATTCCCTGGTAAAAAAAAAAAAAAAAAAACACCACTTAAACTAGGATCATTCCCTTCTCAACTTCACATCTTCCAACTAAGGCTTAATATTCAAGGGGAAAAATGAAACTTTTTTTCCTTACCTGCATGAGCCTGGTTAGTCTTTACACAGTGCTCAGCAGAGCATCAGAAGTGTCATGAGGTAACCCCGGGGTGGAGGGTGGGAGGCTGTGCCTGAGCCAGGGAGAAGAGGGCGAGAGAGGGCTTCTTCCCTGCCACTGGTGGGCACTCGGGAGCCCGCCCCGCAGGGACTCCCCCCAGGATGCTGGCACAGGAAGGGTGGAGAAACGCCTGACCTGCTCCTGATGACCTGGGGACTTGCAGTGTGCCGGCAAGGTCCAGGAACCAGCAAGGGACTGGTGGCAACGTCACCAGAAGCCCACTCACCCAGGAGGGTTACTGGGTACGACCTTTGCCGTTCACGGGGAAGAAGAACGTCTCCGGTGCCACCACCACGGTCCAGGTGCCTGAGCTCCAAGCCTGGTCTCAGCTCCTCTTCCCTCCGGGAACCCCCAGTGCCCGAGTGTGAATCCTTTCATACTGGGAGCGGGTTCAGGTGGAACCCAGGAATCCAGAGTTCTCACCTGACATCGTTTAACTTTAATTGGGATTAAGGCCCAGAAACCTAATTGTTCTCTACAAGGTGACTTTAATGGCTCTCCACCTGATGAGAATCACCAGGAGTTTTAGAACTACCTATGAGCGTGTCCACCCCCACAAATCCCGATTCCACTGGCACCAGGTACAGCTTGTGTTACCAAACCCCAGTCTAGAAGTTCATCCCATGGAAAATCCAACATCCAAGAGACAAATGTTGGCGAGAAGGAAAAGTTTCCTTCAGTCGTCAAAGAATGGAGAAGTGGAACCGGGAACAGGGCACATGCCTGTAATCCCAGCGGCTCGGGAGGCTGAGGCAGGAGGATTGCTTTAAAGCCAGCCTCAGCAACAGAGAGGCACTAAGCAACTCAGTGAGACCCTGTCTCCAAATAAAATACAGAATAGGGCAGGGGATGTGGCTCAGCGGTGGAGTGCCCCAGTATACCGAAAAAGAAGGAGAAGTGGAAACTCATCATCCCAATCAACTTTATTTGCTGATCGCCCTTCAATGAGGGGCCAAGCGCCACAGGGGATGGAGGTGCTCTCAATGAGGGGCGATCAGCCAATAAAGGGGAAGAGCATTCATGTCTCTTCTGGGAATAGGCAGAGAACTTCCAGAAACTCTGCACCACCCCAAACTCCTTCCCTGGCCTGCGTTTTCAGTCAGCACAGCGGGTATTTGTCCTTAGCAAGGACCAGGGAGGAAAGCAAGACTAGGCAAGGCTAGTAAAGTCAGCCCGTGTTATAAGTTTGGACAAAACGTTTCTCAAATGATTGACACGTCTACACGCAGAGCTGATTACAGATCCCTCCTCTAGCTGGTGGCTGTAGGCTTGGACCTTGACTGACATGAAAGACACCTGGGCAGTTGGCAAACCTGGACGTATCCCAAAGTGCTTCAGAATGACTGAGGGAGGGGCTAAGATAGCAGGATGCTGTCTTTTTGGGGGGTGGGATTATACTGAGGATAGAACCCAGGGGCATTCTACCACTGAGCCACATCCCCGGGCCTTTTTCACTGTTTTTATTTTGTGATGAGCACTCCCTAAGTTGCTGAGGCTGGCCTTGAACTTGTGATCTCCTGCCTCAGCCTCTTGAATCACTGGTATTCCAGAACTCCAGGTTTTTCTAACGTACATCAGGAAGGAGAAACTTTCTATCATTCTAGGGTTCCTCAAGCTTTGACACACATAAGAATAATATGGTAGAATTTTATGATGTTTTTATTAGTGCATTATAACTATACATAACATATCTATATACACACGTCAACTCCCCTTGTAAATCTCACTGGTCACCCTGGAAACACCTTTATGAATTTCAAATATTCTCATCTCAGGGTAGTTTGGGGTGGTCTCTTAGGAGTACATCCCTGCTACCCCATTTAGAGTAACTCCAACTGTAGCCTCAGGATGTGGGAAAGGGGACATCCTCATACACTGCTGGTGTGCTAATCTACTCATGCAGCCAGTGGGGGAAACACTGGGTGTTTCTTCAAAAGCTAGAATTCATATGACCCAGCCATCCCACCCCTTGGTGCAAACCCAAAAGAACTGAAAACACACACCCAAGCCAATCCTTGTGCACAAATGTTCAGAGCTTCTAATCATAAAAGCCAAAGGTGGAAAGAACCCAAACTTCCATCTGTAGATGAATGGCGAAAACAGAATATGATATACCCACAGAATGGAATGTTATCCAGTCATAAAAAAGGAATCAAAGGTACCGTGTCGTCTTTAAAGAAAGGGGAACAGTAAAGCACCATGTCCCTTTCTGTTCCCCAGAACTAGCCGAGCCAAGGCAACAGATGAGCAAGGCTGGGCAGGAAGTGCAGCAGGTGTCTTCCTGAAGGGCCCTGGCATCTCTCAAGCACACTGGGAACCAGGACAAGCGAATGTCATCTGCAGAAAGGTGCTTTTCACACCTACGCCAGGGCCGCTGCTCCCTGGGATGCGGCTCATCCAAGCAGACTGAGTGCGTGATGCTCACCACGCCCCTGCGTCCACGCCTAACTGAGAAGCGTCTGGGGCAGAGCGAGGGCCCTGGGGAAAGGACACGCACCACTCACGCAGTCGCTGCTGGGCAAATCTCCTTGAGGGTCAGGTGGCTCGGCTTGGCAAAGCACCACGGGGGACGGAGGTGCTCTCTTCTGCCCATTGCAATCTCTGATCTCCTGCAAGCCTCCCGTGTTTCCTGTGCTGTCTGCGGCTCTCTCTTCAGCCTTTCAGCAACCTACCCCACTGGCCAGGCACAACTGGGCTTGGCCATGAGATGACACGCGCTGTGTTGTGCGTGAACCTAAGACCCAATGTTAAGTGAAAGATGGCAGACACAGAGAGCAGCCCACTGACCGGAACCATTGGGAGCAGGTAAATCCATACCTGACCCTGCAAGGGGATTGTGGTTACAGACCCAGGTCAGGGGATTTGTAAGCAATGACTTAATGGGTGAGGAGTCTGATGATAAGGCAGTGGAAACATTTTGAAGCTACCCAGAGCCGACTCTAGCACACCCTTGTGAAGGCGCGTGTTCAATGAATGTAGGTGTCATCAGTGCTGGTCATTGGTCACATTCACACGGGTTCACACTCACTACGTGAATTTCACCTCAAAAAATCATTGTCTTCGAGGGTGAATCTGGAAAGAGAAAACCTTGGCAAAGGCAAAACCAAAATGCAGTAAATTGCCTCAACACATGATTTTAGAATCAGTTTTATGTATAGATTAACACGACACGTGCATGTGATAAAGGCAGCGTTTCAAAACATTTGGACAATGATCATTTAACAAGGTCTCCAGGGAAACAGAGTCTACTCAGGTAACAACATTGAACTTGACTGCTAGCTCTGTATTCAGGAAAAATTTCCAAGTATGTACTGATGCTAACAGCAACAAACTCTAAGTGAGTCAGAGGCAAACAGACCATAAAGTGGTGTAATTTAGATGCCTTACCAAAATACAAATATCTAATGACCATTGATTAATAAATAAAATATAAGTTAACATAATATGCACATTTTCAGAGACCATCATTGAAAGGAAAGTGACCACAACACTCGGAGCGACCAAGAGATCTTTATTGCAGCAGTGCAAAAGAGGAGAAAAAGAGAGAGAGAGAGAGAGAGAGCAAGAGAGAGGGGCCCGGCAGGAGGGAGTCTTTATAGCCCAAATCTAATGGGGCCTCTGGGTCTGCAAGCTGCCTTCTTGGCACGAGGGGGGCGGGGTTGAGTGTTCAGACTTGAGCGGGAGGTTCACTGCTCAGACTTGACGCAAACAGGTGATAAAGGACCAGACAGAGGGGTGTTTGAGTGCGTGGGTCATCCTGCAGCTAACATTTGTTCAGCCTGCCCTGCAGACAACATAGTTCAGCCCGTCCTGCACCTAACAATCATAATTTGATAGAGTATTCACGTTTGTAAAGTAGCTAAGGTTAGTTTTACACAATGACTTTTTAAACAGTCAGTTTCACTTATATGACACTAGGATGTAAACTCAGGGCAGTTTGTGGTTCAAAATCCTAAAAATATGCTACAGACTCATGAGATAAAACCTTAGAATGCCGATTTCCCTTAGCACCTCTTTTATCTTTCAAACCTTTCAGAGAATTCTCATCAGGTCTCTTGAGAATTATGTAGCACTTGGGGGCAAAGATGCAGCCCAGGAGCCCTGCGCTGGAGGCCAGGATGGAGAAGACCTCCACGGCCACCATGACCTTGCCCTTGGTGCTGTGGTACACAGGGAGGAAGGTGAGCCAGACACTGCAGAACACCAGCATGCTGAAGGTCAGGAACTTGGCGTCGTTGAAGGTGTCAGGCAGGTTCCTGGCCAGGAAGGCCACCATGAAGGTCCCCAGGACCAGGGAACCCAGGTATCAAAGGGCACAGTAGAAGGCAGTGACTGAGCCCTTGTTGCACGTGATGATGATGTGGCCATGGTCAGAGTGTGTGTCTGTGTCCACAAAGGGAGGAGAGTTCCCCAGCCAGACTCCACAGAGAGTCAGCTGGATGAGGGAGCAGCTGGGAATGATGAAGTTAGGTGCCCCTGACACGAGCCACCGCCTCATCCTTCTCCCTGGGGCAGTGACCTTGAAGGCCAGAATCACAGTGACAGTTTTGGCCAGGACCGTGGAAACGGCCACAGTGAACACCAGTCCAAATGTGGCCTCCTGCAGGATGCAGGTGGCTGTGCCGGGACGGCCAATGAAGAGCAGAGAGCAGAGAAAACAGAAGGTGAGGGAGATGAGCAGGATGTAGCTGAGAGCCCTGTTGTTGGCCTTGACTATGGGGGTGTCTCTGTGCTTCACAAAGACCCCAAGGACAGCAGCTGTGAGGGCAGAGAAGCAGAGAGCCGAGCAGGCCAGAGCCATGCCCAAGGGGTCTTCATAGGCCAGGAAGGTCACAGCCTTGGGGAGGCAGCGGTTCCTCTCACTGTTAGGGTGCTCGTGTGCGGGGCACTGGACACACCGCTCTGCATCTGGGGAAAAAGCAAAGAAAGGTTCAGTGTTTCTTTTCCACAACTTCTTCATCGTTGCCAGGTTGAAGAAAATGTCACCTGTGCACTATCACTGTGAGTACAGACTGCCTGCGCTGTCACACAGAGGCACACCAGAGTGGCCGCTACATTCCTGAGCAGGGAGAACGCCTCCAGCTGCAGGGGAGACCAAACCCACTCCCACAGGACCTTCAGCAGGTGGCCGGTGTCTCTGGGCTTCTCATGCGGCACAGTGAGGTCCGCAAGGCTGTGACTTCCCCCGACCCGCTATCTGGCAGAACAAGTCTTTCCTCATCCCACATTTTCATTTTTCAGTGACTATTCTTGTTAGTATTTCCATATAAATATTGAAAACAGATCAAATTGAAAACATTTGAATGGGGGAATTTAAATAATTAACCTCTAAGTAATAGGTATTTCAATCAATTTTTAAGAATAGATTGCATTTTGGGGAGTCTCCATTTATCAACATCTGGAAGTCTGGTTAGTTAGCCTTTCTTGTAAAGTGGCAGGTCACAAATACCGAGAGCTGCACATACCCTGGTGTCCCCAATGCAACGGCTCAGCTCTGCTTCTGTAGCAGAGGCAGTTGTGGACCAAGGAACCTTGATGGGTACGTCTATGTTTCAGTTAAATTTTGTTTGTGCAGGCAGTGTTTTGCCTCGTCTGTACTCGTGCAACAGACAAGATTCTGAAGTCATTAAGAGTGGTGCTGGGGATTGAGCCCAGGGCCTCGTGCATGCAAGGAAAGAGCTCTACCAACAGAGCTAGATCCCCAGCCTGGCACATCTTTTTCTTAAGATCCTCATTCCTAGCTGGGTCCCGTGGTGCATGCCTATAATCCCAGCAGCTCAGGAGGCTGAGGCAAGAGAATGGTGAGTTCAAAACCAGCCTCAGCAACTTAGAGAGGCCCTAAGCAACTCAGTGAGACTCTGTCTCAAAATAAAATACAGAAAGAGCTGAGGATGTGACTCAGTGGTGAAGCGCCCCTGGGTTCAACCCCTGGTACCAAAAGAGAAGACAAGATCTCATTCCTCTTCACAGAGTGAACAGGGGCTCCTGGTTTCTATCTCAGAGACATGCTTGGCACACAGAAGTGTGGGTATGTTGTATTATGGACCCTGTGTTTTATACTCTCTTTTTTTTATTATTTTGTTCATTTATTTTTATGTGGTGCTGAGGATCAAACCCAGTGCCTCACACATGCTAGGCGAGTGCTCTACCGCTGAGCCACAGCCCCTGCCCTGCATTCTCCTATTTTTCTTTTTGTTCTACACACTGTTCCGTGTTTCAAATCTTCCTCAAACAGGGAGATTGTTATTTTGTTAACTTAAACACACCTGAAGATAGCTATTCTGCCCAATGACTCAAGCCAAATGACTACTGCTGCTGAGATGAAGGGAATCACCCAGGGCTGTCAGAAATCTCAATCCTTATGTTTACTCTTTATATTTTGAAAAAATGGAGGCCGTTTTAACTATCCCTTTAACTTGTGCTTGACAACAACACATTTTGTTTTGATATATAAATCCTTGACTTTATATCTTGGGTAAAGACGACTTTGAGGGACACTGGATTATGCCTTTTATTAAAATATTCTGTCCTCATAACAAGTTAACATGTTCCTTTACCTTATCATATTATAATATTCCAAAGGATAGGGCCTTGTATTAAGTACAGTACTTAATACCTCGCATGGTGTTGAGGACCAGGGTCCAAAATGTAATCAGGGGTTTCCATGACAACTCACGCTTACCTGCTGTGTATTTATCATCTGGATACGAAACACACCAGTCTTCCCCTCTACATGTGGTTTCACCCCTTCAATCACCCACACCCTGAGAATTTGACATCTTACATGTCACAAGTAGATGTTAGCGGGCGCACCTGGAGGTCTCGGATTGAGACTGCAGTGCTGGACAGTCAACAAAGGTGACCACCGGAGTCAGTTTCACAGTTGAGCCCAACAGGTGAGCACTACCTGTCAAGAGCCTACGCATCAAATGGACATACTGATCATGTGCATGTGCAGATAGGGATAATGAATCCCACTGTTCCGTATAATCATGATGCACCGATGATCAAGAATAAATAAATGGATATATTGAAAGCTTGAGTGGTGCACTATGACCCCAAGAGGACACCAATCCTTTGGTTTCTTTTTACTGAGAAATAGAGACGTGAGCTATCCTAGGGCAGCCCCACGTCTTCTACCTGTCTGATTGGAAATGTGTCCCTCTGGGCAAAACACACAAGCAAAGCAGCAGACGGGCCTTCCTTCCTGGGGGATCTTCCTGAATCCCGGGGGACAGCTCTGTCTGCACACAGATCGAGGAGTCTGAGGGAAAAGAGAGCAACAGTCACGACTCTGCACATTATCAGCAGCTTTAAGAGAACGTCACGATCTCTCCTCCTAAGAAAGGACTTTGACCTTCGATAGAGGACCATCGCTACACCTCTGACCACCACCTTCTTGACACCCAGACGTCTAGTCCTGGGTTACCATGGCTGGCTAATCCCTTGCTTCTCATCTCAGGGCCAGCTTTGGTTTTGCACATCACCAGCCACACTTCCTGGGTTTCCTCTCTTCCTGTTGAACCTCAGCATCCAAGACCTTTTCAGTGCAGTTTTCTGTGTGGTCCTATGGACTTGGGTGCCTGAAAATATTCTCCTCCGCCCTCACACTCTCAGTTGGTGCTTTGATTTGAATCTGAATGGCATCCCCAAAAGGTCCCTAAATTAAGGGACTTGTCCCCGGGTGGCGCTGTTGGGAGGTACTGGAACCATTAAGAGGCAGAGCCTAGCGGGAGGTTTCCTGTATCCCAGCTACTCCAGCAACTCCACGAGGCTGAGGTGGGGGGATCACAAGTTCAAGGCCAGCCTGAGCAACTGAGTGAGACCCTGTTTCAAAATGAAAAAATAAAAATAAAAAAGGGCTGGGGATGTAGCTCAATGGTGGAACACCCCTGAGTTCAATTCCTAATACCACAACCAAATATATATATATATATATATATATATATATATATATATATATATATAATCAGTGCAAACCACGATTATTATATAAATTATTTACAAAATTGCCTAAGTGTTCCAATTGTGAAAAGTTGACATGACGTCATGTCAGTGCTTTAACAGATACTGAGTATAAAGACTGAACAGCACCCAAAATTCTAAAGAAAATGGAAATGATCCCTTCCAAGAGGCAAATGGTGTAGTAATCCTCATCGTGTTTATAGTGCATCAAAACATAATAAGGTTTCTGACCACCCATGACTAGGAGTTTCAGGATAGGTGGAGGAATATTTCTGGTATTTGTGTATCTGTATTTTTATCTTTATCTCTGCTCATCAACTTGGTTCAATTTTATCACCGCTGCATGAATAGATATACCCAAACTTTAACTGCTTCTACAAACTTCTCTTCCTGTAGGTGCTAGTTCAGAATCTACAAAAGCAAGATCACAGATCATGGAGTACAAGTTGAGTGGGGAAGGGTGAGTTTAGTGCCAGGTTAAAGGTCACGGTCAGGCTCATCTCAGGGCCCCATCCAGATCCCTCCCATGTACCCAACACTGAACTGGGATCGTACCTCTGTGAATCCAATAGGCCATTCTATCATCTCCTCATTGATGACCAAGCCTTGACCAAGTGGACTCCTGGGGACAAACTCTCCTACTTTAACCAGCAGCCCAAGACCAGCAGGGAAATTCACAGCGTTGTGGATGTCGTACTGGGCCATCTGGCTGCTCTTCTCACCCAGGGAGATGTGGTCCCCAGCGCTGTTGGTAAACCGGACGTTCTTCAGGAATGGATGCACCTGCGGGAGGCAGAGTTGGACATGAGGAGTGTTCGGGTGAGAGGTGGACGGTGCCCATGGGCCACACCGTCCTGCTTTTCCACCCCCTGCTCTTGGGGTTTCCTCCTCTGGAGGCTCAGGGCTGCTTGGGTGGCCACCATCCCGAGGGTGAAGTGGAAAGTCTTCTGCTCCCTGGAAATGGGTTGGGAGTGACGGAATCCCATCAGAACTGTCCAGGATGCTGCCCTCAGGGGCCTGGCTGGGCTCTGCAGAACCCTGACCGGGGGAGTCTGTCTGGGGCCTCTTCAAAGCCAATCCTTGTACTTTGAAATGGGCACAGCAGGGACGAATCACTTAGCACCCTGTCTGTGCTTATGGCCCCGGGGCATGTACATGTCACCACTCCTCAAACTGCAAAGATTAAACAGGTGTGACTTTGCATATCAGTTACACCTCAGGCTTTAAAGGACACAACACGAGTTGGTTTCTGTCCATGCTTTCTGACTTTTTTAGGTGAGAATGAAATTGTCTTGTGACATTGCAGGAAGCCCTATATGCTCCAAAATTAAAAAATCAAAACCCCTGATTCTAATGAGATTGTTGATAGAGAGCTAACCCTGGAATCTCTCAGCCCCGTGACACTGGGCTACGGGAAGTAATTAATCTCTCATTGCTTAAAAAACTATTGTTAAATTCTCCAATTACTTAAAGTTGAAGCATTGTAAAGAAAGAAAGGTCTGTATACGAGAGGCAGAGGGAGAGACTGCTGTAGAGGTTACCCACTTCTCTCATTCTGGGGGCACAGAGCACCATGTTTCCAGTGCTGTTACCGTTAGGGAAGGACATGTGAAATCCACCTGCGCTTCCATCTCCTGCAGCAGGAAATAAAGAACTCTGGATGACGCATGACCCAGGTGGCGTGTGTGCCTCATCCTTGACCCCAGCAGACAATACTGCATGTAAACTCAGGGAAAGAAAGAAACCTTTACTACATGGATCTCCTGGTACTTTGGACTTAATTTATGATCACAACAACTTACATCATCTTAAAGATGGCTTCCCTATCCTCTTTGATTTTATAAAATTTAATTCTTCCAGAACAGGATTCTCCAAAGCTAGTGCCTGTGATTGGCAGTAATGCCTCCTCGTCGTGGCTGCTTGTGTTGGATGGGTCCCCGGGCCAGGCCTGTGGTGTGGAGACTGGTAAGTGCGCGGTTCCCTGGGAGTGCTCACAAGAGATCTGCATGGGTGGAGGTGAGCAAGGCAGGCTGGGCAGAGGGAGCGGGTGACCACATGGGTATAACAGCCACAGCCAGCCCTTGGGATCCCTGGAACTGTGGTGGCCCTCAGTGCTGCTCCAAACAGAACCCAGATGCCCAGACGTTACCATCCCCCATGACAGTCATTAGCCTCTGGCTGTGCCTGAGACAGCTGTGTCCCAGGATGGGCAGGTTCCCGACTGAAGATATTTCCTAGCAGTCACATGACTGTGAGCTGCCAGCAGCCAGTGTCCCCAGTGGCTGAGGGATGGAAACAGTAGCCCTAGAAAGTAACCTTGGTTGAGACTAAGGTATCCCCAGGTATCTAGGTATCCCCGGCTCCTTCTCCTTCCACTGTGACAATCTCAGAACACGGGGACTCCCCTGGGACCTTCCCACCTGAACCCCCTCAAGGCATAATACGTGCTCGACCTCCACATTTTTCTCTGACCAGAGGTGACCGGGCGATGCCCGGGAGACCGGAATGTCTCTTTCCAGAATTTACAGCGCGCTTACCTGGGGCATCTTGTACAGCTCCAGAAGCGTTCCAATGGCCTTGCTCTGAGTCTGGCATTTGTAGTTCGGGAGAAACTCGGTGTCTCCAGAGAGCCAGAGCAGAGCCGTCTCCAGGGTCCTGTGGTCACTGTGAAAGGCATTGAAGATGTGGAACCCCAAGGTCAGGTTGGGGAGCAGGTGCAAGTCCCTGTTGATCTCCTCGATGGCAAAGTAGAAAGCCAGCACATACTGGTAATTCTTCCAGAACCACCTAAGAGGGAGCGGCATTGGAGAGAAAGGTCAAGGCGTGTCATTCAGGCCACTCCCCTGCCTGGTCCAGCAGAGGGAAGTCTCACCCAGGCTTCCTACGAGAGGTCCTGCCCTGGCATACGGAGCCAGTGTGAGCAAGGTTCCCAGGACTCCGGGAAATTTGCAGGGAACTGAGTGGGGTGAGGTGACATCAGCCGATGACCCTGTTGTCAACTGGACAGACTTGGTTTTGTACAGTCTGTCAGCACAAGACTCCGGGCCAAAGCCCACTTCACAGATCAGCCAAAAGCCTTTATTGAGGAATGGAGTCATGGTTCTGATGGACCCACTCTCTGGGTGGAAAGTGAGCCACCGAACAAAGGAGGGGACTGGGCTTGTATAGGTTATGGGTGATTTCGTGAGTGGGTCAGTTTGGGCACTCAGGAATTTGGGTTTGGGGTCGGGGGTCGGTGGCCAGCACCTGGAGAGAATTGTCTTGGAGGACATTGGTGCTTCCCAGAGACCATCCCTCTAGGCTTGGTGAAGCCCCTTCTCCCCACCAGTGGCCAGCATTTGAAAAGGTCTATCTTGAAAGAGACGAAAGCCATCAGTGAACGCCTCTCTTTTCACCCCCTCTCCCAGGCCACGCTATCTTGGGGTGTTTCATTTTCTGTTTCCAATGCAGTCCTGTTGGTGGGAGGTTCCCGCGAGAGCAAGTTTCACACAGTCAACAAGGAGGAGGTTTTTCCAATGAAGAGTCGTGTTTCTCCGAGTGTGTGCAGTCGTCCTGTGCTCAGCGGCTTTGCCTGTGGAACTTGACATTTCCTTCTGTTGTCCCAACAAATGGTCTGATTTTGTTTCTGTGCCATGAATCCTTGAAAGAAGTTTAGGGCTCATGGAGAGAACCATGTGGTTGCATGTCCAATAGACCTAACCCTCCTGCCATTGAGACCTGCCTGAGGCTTTATTTTATTTTTTGGATTATTATAAGTTAAGAACAGTGAATAAAAATGTTCTTTACTTTTAAATACTTTGTCTGATGTCCTGTGATTTTCCTTGGTGAAGGGAATAGTTTGGTCACGTTTGGTACTATTAACACTGGACATGGGTTTAAAGTTGGCTATTTAAATTCTCTTTTTTCCAACTTCAGACCTGCGAGAGGCTGGGTTCCCAATGCTGCACCAACCAACAGAAGCCTGAAGAGATCATAAGTGTCCAAGTCAGATTTGTACGCTCACTGTCCACGTGCCACTCAAAGCCCTAAACATGGATTGCTTTATCAGCGTCCTTTGCTACTCTTCAGTAATAAAATCTGAAGCACAGAACACAATGGAGAACTCTCTAGCAGGTTTTAATGAGCCTCAAATAGTCTCAACAAAAAATAAAAAGAAAAGATTTTTTTTCTCATTCTATGCACAAATCTGGCTGCCACCATTCTACATGAGAGAGGAGCAAACGGAACCCAACACAGCATCAAAAAGGAGGAAATGTTAGGATGAGGGAAGACTTATTCCAGAATCCAGAGTCTCCACAACAATCTATGCTGGTACATAAGTTAGAGATAACAACAATCCTACAGATTATGTCGAGCAAATTCAAGAACATATCACCCTTCCTTCTTATTCTCTGCAACCAGAAGCACCTTGAACCCCAAAGAGACCAAAATATTAAGGTTTTAAAAGAATGCACATTACTAACTGATCCATGCTACACCCTGAATAAATCTTAAACACCTGGCACAAGGCCAGGCGTGGTGGAACATGCCTGTAACCCTGGAGCTCAGCAGGCTGAGACAGGAGGATCACAGGTTTGAAGCCAGCCTCAGCAATTGAGCAAGGCTGTGAGGAACCTCGTGAAACCCTGTCTCAAAAATAAAACATAAAAAGAGCTGGGGAACGAGGCACAGTGGTACATACCTAAAATCCCAGCAGCTCAGGAGGCTGAGGCAGGAGGATCGTGAGTTCAAAGCCAGCCTCAGCAATGGCAAGACGCTAAGCAACTCAGTGAGACCCTGTCTCTAAATAAAATACAAAATAGGGCGGGGGATGTGGCTCAGTGGTTGAATGCCCCTGAATTCAATCCTTGGAACCTAAAAAAAAGGGGGAGAGGAGGGTGCTGGGGATGTAGCTCAGGGTCTAGGTGCCCCAGGTTCAGGCCCTGGTACCAAACAACAACAAAAATGTGGCACAATATGAATGAAGCCACTCACAAAATATCACAAATTATATGAATCCATTTATACAAAATGTCCAGAATCAGCAAATTAATAAAGACACAAATTAGATTCATGCTGGCGAGGGTTAAGGAGGAGGAGAGAAAAACGGAAGCAACTGCAAATGAGCATGGAGTTTCCACCTGGGGGGTGAAAAGTCGCTGTTTTCCCAGAAGCCCTTAGAGGCGAGCAGCCAAGGCTCCTGACGAAGCACATCTCTTTGTGCAACAACCAAGTGCCCCAGTTATCTTCTCCCAGGATTTAGAAGAGCTTGTTTTAAACTATGGATAAAGCAGGTGTTACTCAAGGTCATACAAACTGAGCCACATCACAAATGCCCAGTATTTTTACATAAATAAACAAGCGTAGGCACCTCTATGTGGAAGGACGCTTGGTAGGCACGGAAATAATAAGGGGAAGGTCAGTTAGCCACAGGGAAACGTGGTCACGCTCTGTGGTTAGGTATGAGTGAGGCCCAGAGTCTGTGCCCACATGGGAACGTCCACAAGTCCCGGAAGAGGAGATTTCAGGGCTTAACGACCATGTGCATGAGGCCTGGCTTCTCGTGGGCAGAACAGGGGGACCAGAAACTTCTCTGGCCAGAGGATGGAAGGCAGGGGGCTAGGTTAGGCCCCCAGCACTGTGTCCGGACTGGAGATGCCCACCCTCTCCCCACACTGGCCTTAAGGACAAGGCAGGTTCTCTCGGAGCCCCTGAGATTAGGACCCATCCTCTTCCTCTCTCCTTTGCCTCTCCGACCCTGACGGATTGGAAGCAACCAGTAGCTGCCACCTAACCAGAGAGTCCATCTGCATGAAGCAATGGCCGGAAAATACCCCATTTCAAATTTTGTTTAATAATAGAGAAGGAGACAAAGAAGGAAGGAAATTCAAAACAGCGAGAAGGGACAGACAAAGGTCTTCATCCAGATGAGGAACCGCAAGGCTGGGACCCCACCCCAGAGATCAGCAGCTGCACTCTCCCCTCCCTCCAGTGCAAGGCCACCTGCTGAGATGACAGGGGGAACTGCTAAGGGCAGAGACACCCCAGCAAAAGAAATTGCGTTTTGCCTAACCACCATCCGAGGACAGGACGCTGCAGGTTGAAAGGTTGAAAGGTTGAAGGTTTTAGAAGCAGACTCCACCGCTCCGCCCAGAGCCCGGGCTGTCTGCTGGGAGCCTCCTTAAGCATTTGTGCAGTAGCTCAGTTGCTAGAGACGCAGGCCACACTGTCACAAAAAGCCCAGAAATTAAGTGGTTTCTGTATTTTTCCTGAAGAAATGACCAAGATGCCAAGGATGGGCATGAACCCCTTGGAAAGATGAATTCCTTTCCTCCCTTGGCCTTCGGCCTCAGGGACCAAATGCCTCCCCTCTAAGTGGATTCCGTTAGTTGTGCATCTTTTGTAGGTCCTTCAGGTGTTTAGGGGGATGGCCTTTCTATAAGGCACATTTCAACAGTGCCTTTTGCAGCAGTGGGAATCCAGAGTGAGGCCCCGAGTGTGAGAATGACCTCAGGCCAGGGCTCAGTGTCTAGGACACCTGGGGTCCCACTCCAGGGTCCTGGCATGAAGAGGAATTGAGGTCCCAACAGGATCACTCATTCCAAGAACCCCATCATGGGGATCGGGTCAGTGGAATTCACCCAACAGGTGCAGGTTTCTCTCCTCTGTCTCCCTGGGCGTGGAGAGCAAAAGAGAAAGGAAATGGAAGGGTGCAGGTGCATAGGAGAGAACCGCAGAATCCACCAGCTTGCATTACTCTCATTTGCACACACACTTTTTACGGTTGTCCAAGCAGATCTGAACACACCCAAACACACACACTCAGAACCCTGTAACACATGCCTACAATGTGGAACTGACCTGTGAGGCACTTCATGACCATGTGGCCTGAGCAAAAAATAGAGCCGGGCCAGGGGCGCCTTCCGATTCACGTAGTAAAGGGGGAAGAAGGCACCCAGCAGCAGGTCTCCCTCTCTGTGGACACTGGGCTCCAGGTGTTGGAAACACCTCCACAAATCCAGGGCCCCCGGAGCGTGGGAAGGCTGCAGGAGGAGGAGGACCAGCAGGGACAACGGCATGACAGGGTCTGTCTCACACAGAGGCCGAGCTGAGGGGGAGACGGGCGGGGTGGGGTCCACAGGCTCAGGCCTTGCAAGGAGGGTGGGTGCCTGAGCAGGGCCCCTGGAGTCCCACGACTGCTCGATGTCCTCCGCCTGCGAAAGGAGTGTGTGGACAGGCTTCGGGGTCGAGGCATCCGTAGGGTGTCACGGGCCTGAAGCTGCAGCCTTGGCGTCTCTGTGATTTGCACTCCTGACTCCCAGTCTTCACTGCTCCCCCGACCGTGGCTCTGGGGACCCACAGCCCCGGGGCTCTGCACCTGTCCCCCTCCATCCTGCTGAAAAACACTTTGGAAAAACATGTTTTGGCCTCTCCTTCTCCTCCGGCCCCTCTGGTCTCATCACAGCCCGGCGAGGCTTCAGAGACCTCAGAGCATCCTGACACAGCCTTCTCTGTCCTCGTGTGAACGCGGCCGGGGGGATTCGGCAGAGTGAGGAAGCGCTGGCTGGAGCCAAGAATAGGCCTTAGCAAGAAGGGAAGGGCTGACATCCAGGACCCCGTGCAACCCTCGGAGGCCACCTGTGCTCAACACGGCTCCCAGGTCCACAGTGTGCTCCAGGAAGAAATGGCTTTTGTGGTTTGCAAAGAAGTGGGCCATGTCCCAGGGAAGCTCCGTGGGTCCCCCGACCTGCCACTGCAGGGTCAAACCTCTCAGCCAGGTGGCTGGGGTGCTGGGCTCTGCCCACGGAGAACCTGGCCCCAGGATCTTGTCATCGCGTGGTTACCCGTCACGTACCTACTGTTGACACTGTTGAAACATTCCCTACAGAGTTTTCTTTTTTTTTTTAACTTTAGTAATATTTTTTATTTGTCTAGTTGTACACGACAGTAGAATGCATTTTGACACATCCTACACAAATGGGGTATAACTTCTCATTCTTGGGGTTGTGCATGATGTAGACTCACACCCGTCATGTACTCATATATACACATGGGGTCATGATGACCCATTTGAATAGCTACGAAACATAACATTTATGATCTGCAGTGAGATGTTTCAGGGTGTGTAAATGTGGTGGAAGGACAAATTCACAGGTTTTTATTTTTCATTAGTTCATTTTAGACATACGTAATATTAGGATTCATCTTGCATAACTACACAAGCGTGGGATGCCATCTGCTCTAATTCAGTCCCCAGTTCGTTCCCTTTCCCTCCCTCCCCCTCCCTCTTCCCTTCCCTCTGCTCGACGGATCTTTCTTTTATTTACTTCTAGTTTCTTTATTTGGTGCATATGGACACACCTAGCTGAGAGTCACTCTAGTACATTCACATAAGTACACAGGAAGGTTTGGCCAGATTCCTTCCTATGTCCCTCCCCTCTCCAGCCACTCCTGCTGCCCCTCAATCCCCTTCCTCTGCTTCACGGATCTCCCTCCCATGTCCATGGGTCCCTACACACATGCCCTTTTCCCGTACTTTGATCTAGCTTCCAAATATGCCAGAAAACACTCCATCCTTGACTTCCTGAGTCTGAACTACAATCAGCACACCATGGTGAACTTCACCCTTACGTATATCGATAAAGCACTAATTTTTAAAACTGCAAATAAATAGGAGGCAGACCAGTAGAGTAGTAAAATTATTTTGTTGATTTAGGTTTCCTCGCATTTCACATTATTTTACAATAATTTTTTTCTATTTCTGCAAAATATGCTATGGGATTTGGATAGAGATTTGCTGTCTGTAGGTTGCTTTAAGTCATGGTGACCTATTAGTGATATTAGTCTTCTCATCTATGAACATAATTAGAAGCATTTGGGGGCATGAAATCTATGAACATTTCCATTTATATGCATCATCTATAATTTGTTGCTATAAGTTTTGTAGTTTTCAGTGTTTCTGTCTCTACAATTTTGTCGATCATGAAGTGTTTTGTTCTTTTTGGTGCTATTCTAAGTTGTTTTCTTAATTTCCTTCTTGGAATGCTTCTTGTTCTTGCATATATACACAACTGGGGGTCTTTATTTTATTTGCTTATTTTTTATGTGCTGCTGAGGATCAAACCCAGTGCCTCACACATGCTAGACAAGCACTTCACCACTGAACCACAACTCCAGCCCCACACAAGTGTTTTTGTTTTTGTTTTTTGTGGTGCTGGGGATCGAACCCAGGGCCTTGTGCATGTGAGGCAAGTACTCTACTCACTGGGCTGTATCCCCAGCCCCACCATTGATTTTGACTCCAACAACTTGGCTGAATTTTTCTTTATTATGGCTGAATAATTCTCCATGCAGGGATAAACAGCACTCCACATTTTATTTATGCCTTCACAAGTCAATAAACACAGCCATACACCAGTGATGATCTTTAGGTCAATGAAAGTCTGCACACACCCCATCGACTCCAAAGGTGACATCACCTAGTGACATCATGTCCGTCTTAGCTTGTGTAAGTACCTCTGTAATGCTCACACATGATGAAATGACTATGACACATTTCTCAGAGCACATCCTGACAGTACAGGAGGCTGCACATCATTTATTCATAGAACAGTGGAGTGAGTTCAATGAGTAACATTAATGGTGACTTTTAACATTTCTACTTGGCCACTCTTCATGTGTCCTGAGGTACTCTACAAACACAAGCCTTTGGTGCTTGGTAAAACTGCTACACCAACATGAAAAGAACTTTTGCCATCATGGCACAACTAAAAAGCACACAACATATACTACTTTGATCTTTAGGTGGATACCCATGGATGTTCCAAGATCTTATCCACAAGCTTAGCCTGAACACTCATCTGTTTTTTTAAAATGTTTAAAAGAGACTTCTAGAACACTGTATATTAGTCAGGATTCTCTAGAGGAACAGAATAGCAAGATAAGAAGGCTGACTCATAGTGGGGTAGGGAGGGGGAGCATGGGAGGATTAGATGAATTCTAGATAGGGAAGAGAGGTGGGAGGGAAAGGGAGAGGGCAGGGGATTAGCAAGGACAGTGGAATGTGATGGACATCATTATCCAAAGTACATGTATGAAGACTCAAATTGGGTGTCAACCTATTTTATATACAGAGATATGAAAAATTGTAGTATATATGTGTAATAAGAATTGTAATGCAGAAAAAAAGTACATGTATAAAGACATGTAATATATTATAGATATATAGCACAGTTCTTCATATCTTTGTATATAAAGTATGTTCATGCCATGAACATACTTTATATACAAAGATATGAAGAACTGTGCTGTATATGTGTAATAAGAATTGTAATGCATTCCACTCTTGTGTATTTAAAAAAATAAAATAGACCAAAAAAATAAAACAGGGGATTTATTAGGTTGGCTTATGTGATCAGAAGCTGGTGGCCCACAATGGCCGACTACAGGCTGGCAGCTGGGAGAACCAGTAGCTGCCCAGGCCGAGAGGCTGGTGCCCCAGAACAAGAGGGATCCACGGTGCTACCCTAGTCTGAGACCAAAGGCTTCTGGAGAATCCACTTTGGAAGAGTAAAGAAGTGAGAGCCCGGAAGCCCGGTCTCCTCCGACAATCAGAGCAGCAATCAAGAACATGTTCAAGAAGAATTGAGGGTCTAGGGTTTGGCTCAGAGGTAGAGAGAGCTCGCCTAGCACGTGCAAGGCCCTGGGTTCAATCCTCAGCACCACATAAAAATAAATAAGTGAAATAAAGGTGTTGTGTCCAACTACAACTAAAACATAAATATTAAAAAAAATGAAGAAGAATCAAGCTTGCATCTGCGGCTGCTTCCTTGTTCTTCCAATTTTTATTCCACCCAAGCCATCATCCCATGGGATGGTGCTGCTCATGCTCAAGGAACGTCTCCATCTCAGTTGGCTACCCCACATGCCAATCATTCCTAGACACACCTTCATTGACACCCCCATAAGCCTCTTAATCTTAAGCATCTCTTAATCCAATCAAGTTGGCAATTCAAATTAACCAGTATAGACGGGGACTACATCAGTGTCACAGGACTGCCAAAACCTGAGAGTTGACCTGCACAGGTAGCTTTTAGGTAAAGGACATCTCTCTCAAATGGTCCTGAAAACCAACAGGTGTGATGACAGGAGATTCCGAAATCTAAAGACAGGCAGTTGGCTCCAGCAAGTCCCCAGATGAATACTTCCAAAGAAGAATCCCACTGAGGACAAAGGACTGAGACTCTGATGCATGAGCACACACAGGACTCCTGCAAAGCCTGCAGGGAGAAAGCTCCACGGTAGTTTCTTCCCTGTTGTTGACACACCCACATGCAGGCTGGGGAAGGGCCCCAGGTGGAATGGCTGACTCAGGAGCACCAGAGGGAGGTGTCCACATGGACAGGAAGGAGTTCTAGGGTCACTAAATACAGGCCAGTGCTTCAGGAGAAATGGGTCTAGGAGACCCAGGTCACATTTCTGACCCACAGATGTTTAACATGAATGAAGGTCTGCAGAACAGAGGGTCTCTCCAAGCTGTACTCTCTGTCATCATTAGCTGAAGTCTTTCTGAGCCTGTTTGGCTGGTGTCATACAGCATGATCCCATTCATTGCCTGAAGGTGGAACTTGGTGCTACAGATTGCTCTGGAACTGGCCTAGAAGTGATTTGCACAACTAAGTACAAAAGTACAGTGAGGTCTGCTCAAAAAAGACACCCCAAAACTAGCAGGTGTCCATGATTCTGAAGGGAGCATCTCTGATTCTTGGCTAGGACTTGGGGGCTCAGAGTTCACCACCATTGGAAGGCATGTCTTTGGGCATTGCTGGCTGACCTGCCCTGTGCCCTACCACACATTCTGGGCCCCTGGCTCAGGGAGGGAGACAGAATTCTGAGGGCAGAACTGGGCAAGGACCACCTTGAAGGTCCAACTAGAATTCAGCTGCAAAGGGCATCTCAAAGAACCAGACTTGGGCAGCTGAGAGGAGCCAAGAGGGGCTGTGATTCTGTAACAGGTTTGAGGAAGACAATGTTCAGAGAGGAAGGGCAGATCCCAGACACATGGTTTCCTGGAAGTCTCATTGGTAACTGGAGGCCTTGAAGACCCTCAGCCTCCTCTTCTGTGTGGTGCACACATATTCCCAGTCTCGGGGCACTAACAGATTCATCTCCAACATCCATCTCCCAGGTGGTATTCATGCCTGTGAGTCAGAGCCATCAGGCCTGAGCAGGGATCCAGAGATCCTCTGATGACCCCAAGGCATGCTCAGGAGTGACCACAAGGACCACATCACTGAGTGTGAGTGGTAGGGCTCTTGAGGGGGCAGAGGGGAGACCTCAGCTCCAGGCGCAGCTGGAGTTCTATTTCTGGTTCAAGGGCCACAATGATCATCCAGGTGCTAGAGACCTCATGGTCCTCAGGGAGAAAAGCCAGGGGTCATTGTCTCACCAGGGAGGTTCACAAAGGGGGCAAGGGGAGGGAGGAAGCTACCAGGAACTTCCCAGGAGCCCCGTGGAGCTCTACAGAGCCAACAAGAAACCTCACTGATGCTGCTACCCAGTGGCAGGCTCATGTCCCGGATTTTCCTTGGTGCCTGGAAAAGGGGAATCCATGTCCACCCATCAGCCTGCAAGACCGAGGACCTGGTTCAAGAGACAGCTGCACATCACATCCTGGAGTCACCACAGCCGAGGCTCCTCCCTGCAGGAAGCCGAGTG